GAGGCAATATCGACTCAGAACACGTTAATGTTTAAAACGAAGCGTGTTTAAGGTAATGTGTCACACGAACGTAAAAAAATGTATCTACTAATTAGTTATAAATTTGTATATAATATTGAGTTAGCGAGAATTAGAAAAAGAAATTATGAGCTGTTCTTTTTTTTTTTTATACTCGTGTTTCCCCTGACATTGTCAGAGCTCTTATTTAGGTTTATGTAGATTTGTTTCCATATTTATGAAGTCTACTTAGAGTTTTGATTTTAAAATATTATTTTCCAAAGCTACATACTTCCCAAATAGAAGTTTATTAAGGTACACAATTTTTTAATACAACAGTTCCCCATGCTTACCAGGCCATATTATTTCTAATACGGTGGAAGCATGGGTCAGGCTTCCTTATTACGTTTTATTGTGTGTTCGGCTATTTTCGTTGCATACTTCAACAGAATGTACCTTTCCTGTTTTTCTCGCATAATGTAGCTTATGCTGTTAAGGCTCAGCCCCATCTGTAGCTCCTGTTCCATCTCGCACCTCTCGGCCGCAAAAACAGGGCATTCCAGAAGTATGTGAGGGACAGACTCAATCGCGCTGGGCTCGCAGATGCACGATGGGCTCCGCTTACACTTAAATCGGTGCAAGTATTCGGAGAATCCACCGTGCCCTGTTAGTACTTGTGTTATTACCCCCCGTGGCTTTATTTTGCGCACGATTTGGTATGCATCTCCAGCGTCTGGGAAAAACATTTTTGTAACCCCGCGGTTTCTCCGCTTTCAAACCTCCGGTTCCACTCAGCCAGCGACTCCAAACGGATCTGTCGCCTGACGAATGAAACCGGGCAGAGGTCATAATCCGGCTTCGTTTTCCTTTTTAGAGCCGCTTCTTTGGCCAGGTGATCGGCGCGCTCATTCCCTTCCAGTCCAGCGTGTGCCTTTATCCAGAACAAGGATATATCTTTGCCCTGGGATAAAGCCATGGCGAGGTTCGCTCTGGCTTCCACTGCTAAGGCATGGAGGGCACTCTGGTTCGTGACTGTCTGTAGTGCGGCATTTGAGTCACTATAGATGCCAAAAGTTCCCTCCCTGCGCCGCAGTATCTGCCTGGTGGCTACGCATATTGCCAGGAGTTCCGCCTAGTAGACAGTACAGCAAGAAGGCAGACTAAGTTTCGAGGACTTGATCTCGGCCTCCCTATCCCAAAGGGAGAGTGCCGCTCCGACTTTGCCCTCGATTCTGCTGCCGTCTGTGAAGGTTCGTACATCTTGGCTGTTGTGGGTTTCCACATGTGACTGGTCCACCAAGCTCACGAACTCCATGGTCATATGCTGCGCCGGGTGCGGCGTATCTGCTAACGCCACCACCCGTTCCACCTCACGGCCGGCCAGCGATGTCACCCCCTTCTTCATCTCGTACAGTGCGGCTGCTTCCTGTATTTATTATGAGCTATTCATATACTAAGTTAAACATAAGCGAAACTTTCTTTTAGCACTTTGAATTTGGGCATTATCAGCCCGTATGTTAAGGCTGTGGAATCTAACCCATAAAACATCCACTCCACCGTCCGACCCCCGCTGAGATAGACATCGGAAATCCTAGATGAGGGGAACCGGTCTTGAGTCGGCTTAATTGTTGGATCACTTCCTCATGTTTACTTCCACTGTCGCATAATTAAAAACAATGCATAAATTTGCGATTATGATTTTATTGCTAGTGGTAGGACTTGTTTTGAGCCCTCAGAAGCTTGTAGCGTCCTTTTTAATACGCTTTTATTAGCTTCAGACCTATACTAACATTAGTATGCAACGGAATCTTTGAACATGATTTTGACCCCCTTCAAAACGTCGGATCAACTCGAAATTTGGTATACTTATTAAGGACCGATGATAATTCAATTTTTTTTAAAAAATATTAAAAAATTGAAATTTAACTAAAAAATTAAAAATAAATAATAGGTATTTTTAAAAAACTAAAAAATACGCTTTTATAGAAAGTCAAACTAAAAAATAGGAAATAAATTATAATAAATTTGAATTGTAAATATGTAGTTTAGCATATAAAAGCGTGGGGTGCATAGTATCAGTAGTTATAAATATTTTATGAACAGATATGAGTAGAAGGGTTATTTTGATAATATCCTGAAAAGCATTTTTAACCTATAATTTTTTTTTTCTTACCTAAGCTGATGGTCTTGAGAGATCATTTCAGCGTAGCCTTAACTAGTAGGTGAGCTCACGGGGCTCAAACCTGACGACGTTGCTAACACTAACCCTAGCAAGAGGAGCGTTTCGCAGAATCTACCACCGGATCGGAAATGCTACCTACTGAGAAGATCCGGCGAGAAACTCTGTGAGCTGTGTCTGTGGGTTAATTTACTCGCCGAGCCCTTCGTCGCAAGCGACGGATTCGACGAGAACGAGGACCGGCTGTAACGTCTTATGTACTTATATCACAATATAGTCATAGATTCCGCTTTGAACTGTAAAACAGTATCTAAGCTTATAACTGAAACTTTAGCGCCATATTCCAAGGTGAACAGAGGACTTTACTTTGTCTATGAGCGGTGAATGGTTAACACCAGATGGACCGTATATACCTCCTCAAAGACATCCACAGGGCCCTGAAACTGCGATACTTTAAGACAAATAATTCGTTTGCATGGAAACTAGCGACATCTTGTTGCGGATGCCCCTAAACTTGTATGTTGTTAAAGTTAAGGCATTTAATTATTGTAATAACTAAACAAAAAAATAATAAATCATACAACTCTATTTTTTATAGACAAATTGAGTAAATTTTATCAATTTGTGGTTTCTGACAATTTACAAAATCCTTCATTTAAAATAAAATATAGGTTAGGTAAATTGCTACTGCCATCTACAGGATCAAAGATAAACTAATCGAAACAAATCCATCTAGTGGCCGACGCCCGTAAACATTTTTGTTGAGTGCTTGAGTTGCATAACTATAATTAATTTATGTGTATGATCTATAAACATCCACTTCAATAAGAGTTACGCCTGATTCAATTTCATTGAGTTATTATTTATTAATATATTGCTATTTAATTTGCACAGGCGGTAACCTTGTTTTAAATGGCTCATCTTGTACATAACTCCGAGTATGGTGGCAAGCTCAGTCTTCTCGTGGTATATATACGATTAAATCCCACAGTCCTATTTCTTTCGCGACGTCCTGCATTTTGGTTTGAAACTAGGAAAGCCAGCACGAATATCTTCTCTACACTTTTGTAATAAATCACAGAATTGTCTTTCTAATCTACCTATATTTTGACACATTAAAGGTGTTTTGCAAAAGTATCCAAAAATTAATGGAGTGCTGGTAATTCTCAACAAAGTTCCAAAGAAAATATGTGATTGAACCAGAATAGATAAAGGTTTGTAAGCATCTTAAGAATAAAACAATTATTCTCGATCGTGAGGTAGGAAATTTTAGGAGATTTTTTTAGCGGGAACGCCCGCCAAAGATGTTTTAACTATTTATGGCCTTTAAGAATTCAGGAAACCTGAACTTGATTAAAAGATTTTTGGCCTACTTTCGCACATATTTTATTTATTTGGACGGAAAAAAATTATTAAATAGTCAATGATTTTGGATTAACCCTTTGTCAAAATTATGACAACCAATGCGAGAGAGAGAGAGAAGTTTTTATTTTTAGTTTAAAATTCGACTGCTTTCAAATTCGACTTGTAAATATATATAATATAATATAATATAATAATTTATTTATTTCTCTCTTAAAGGTAAATACTTTGTTTGTTTGTTTATTATTGGAATTGTAAATAATTTGGGGCCAATTTTTTTTCAAAAATTACTGTTGCCGAAATTAATGCAAAATTTGAATTTGTCGCCACTTTTGCAGTTAATTATTGGCAACTCTGAAAAAAGGATAATTGGAGAGTTTAGGGTTTGTAAAAATGCTGATGCATTATACATGTTACGATAAAACAAAGTATTTTTATTATTAAACAATAATTAAATAGTAAAAAAGATTTCGGCCAAAATCATTTTCACTTTTAATGGCTTCCGATTTTCCCTTTGACGGATTTGTTAATCGTCTTATTGGCCGTGTTTATGGTTCGGATAACCCACATGATATCACAAGCATAATAAATGCACCCACATTGTCACTGTTTGGTGCGTATTGGGCTGGAGGCTCCATCATCCGTAGCACTGGCTGGTCAAGCTACTGCTTGATATCCCGAGATGATAACGCAGTTCTTTCTGCCGAACTTAGATGCTGTTAATGTGGCCAATATGGTTTAAATAAGACGTCGCCAAAAGCCATACAATCGGTGACACAATTCAATTACTGCACGAAACATTTTCAGACCTCTTGTGAGACCGCACGGGTAGGTACCACCACCCCACTTATTTTTGCCGTGAAGCAGTAATGCGTTTCGGTTTGAAAGGTGGGGCAGCTGTTGTAACTATAGTGAGACCTTAGAACTTATATCTCAAGGTGTGTGGCGCATTTACGTTGTAGATGTCTATGGGTTCCAGTAACCACTTAACACCAGGTGGGCTGTGAGCTCGTCCACACATCAAGGCAATAAAAAAAAAGTTGTCTTCGTGCTCTTTCGTTTCAGCGATTAGATTTGACCCCCTAAATGCTGTGATTACCACCATTCCTCACCAGATTTCTTCTAATGCCGTTTTTGAAATCAAAAGTCCATTTCATCAAGCTCCCGATCACGTACAAGAGGAAATTAAGCGCTGTATCAACGAAATTCAATCACAATTATCCAAAAAAAACGGTCTTGAAAAATCGCGCCAAAAGAGTGTGTACGTATCAGCAAAGCCGTGACGGCCATTTTCCAGATGTGTTATTCCAAAAGCAACCTTATCCAACCTACTTTATACTAAAATAATAGTCTAAAGATTGAAAACCGTGCTTTCAACTTAATAAAAAACGTGCGTTAATTTTGGGTCGCCCTTTATTTTTTAAAGATAATATATATAAACTTAAAATATAAAACTACATCAAAGTCAACAATATTGTTCCTTCAAGACTTTCCTCAGTATTTTCCCTGATGGATTTTTTGGTATACTGTCAACGAACGTAACGCTTTTTAATCTTTTAAAAGCGGCCACTTTCTCACTAACATAATCTAGAATGAGTTTTTCGTCCACTTTAGAATCCTTGTTGAGAACCACGAAAGCCCTGGGAGACTCTCCCGTGATTGGATCTGGTACTCCTACAACGGCCGCGTCGTACACGTCAGCATGCTCTTTGAGGACTGCTTCTAACTCAGCAGGAGCGACCTGGTAACCTTTCACCTGAGATTTAAAAAGGGTGTTTAGTATGTTTATGCAAAACATAATCGGGTCATAGAGCATAGTTTCTAATATATGATATATAACAGCCGTAGTTATAATAGTACTGTTGTTGAAATTATACTCCCCTAACTACGTTGAAATATAGGATTCACGTCCATATGCATTGGGTCTCTTAAATAATTGATGGAGAGCTTAGATTGGCCGCTTATGTCAATTGACGTTAATATGAATACTGTCACCTTAAATGATGAGGTCGAAGCCGAGACCTCAATCATATTGCGTAAAAGCCGTTCTACCTTTCAAATCTTAATTTATGGCCACTTCGTTAGAAATAGTCGAATTCTTGGTACTTATACATGCTGGGTCATAACATTGCCTAACACGAGTTTTATTTACGCGAATTTATTAACTTTTGCGACTGTGATGGCATTTTTTAGATGGGAATTATTCGTGACGATATCTATCCACCACTTTGGCCTGAAGTCGGACAACATGAAGCTTCGCGTCAAAGAGATTATTACGACCTGACGTGTAGAGCTACTTAAGATACTTTGGATGAGCGAGAAGAGAATTATGAGGCTAGATATGAAATTAGGGCATTAAGTAAGAAAAATGTTTAGTGGTAGGAAGCGACTTGGCTGTGACGGCATTACTGATATCCACGAGCGACGATGATTACTTGCCACCACGTCGACATCAATGCGCCATTTCGAAAAAGTGGCACGATTCGAATACCCTCTTGTCATGGCCGCCAGAAACTACATTCCCGATCCGCACGATTCCGCCCGGGTTGATACCACCACCCTGCTTAATTCTGCTGTGAAGCTGTAAAGTCTTTCGGTTTGAAGGTTGGGGCAGTCGTTGTACTGTTAAAACTGAGGCCTTTTAGCTCTTGTTTTGGTCGACGTCGCCCTAATCACGTCATTTCGGATCCTCTCGATCCAATAACGGTATTTAGGTACCCCAAGCACGGTCACCGTTCTCGTCGAACCCGTTGCTTGTGACGAACGCCTCGGCGAGTAAACCCACAGACACAGCCCACCGAGTTTCTCTCCGGATTTTCTCAGCGTATCGCGATTCTGATCTGGTGGTAGATTCTGCGAAGCATTGCTCTTGCTAGGGCTAGTGTTAGCAACGTCGTTAGCTTAAAGCCTCGTGAGCTCACCTACTCCTTCCGTGAATCTAGCATGACCCCTCGAGGTCACCAGAATAGGAAAAAAACACCTGGTGGACCCTGTGCTCATCTGCCTACAAAAGCACTAAAAACCTGAGCTACTATCGACAAATGATGGAATATAATTGTCTACGTATCGTTAGACAAACCTATTACCTTAATAAGTTCCTTGAGTCTGTCGACAATGGTGACAATGCCGTCTTTGTTAATGCGGGCGAGGTCTCCGCTCCGGTACCAGCGTCCGTCAACAAACACCTCCTCGTTTGCTTTTGGATTGTCTTTGTACCCTCGCATGACGTTCGGGCCCTTGATGAGTAGCTCGCCGACCTGTTGGTAAATCAGTTAAATTAATTGTAACTAAATGTATCTCCCTAAAAATGTAGAATTGGGACCGCGGCGCATAAAATAAAATTATTCCATTGTTGCATTTTTATAGCACTTTTCCAAAATCATCTTTAAATAATTCAAATTTAACTCGCACCTTCTTACGTTAAGTTCATTCAACCGTCTTCGCCATCTTGCTTTTCTCTGTCATTCTCTTTCTCCCTTTCTTACCGTTTTCTCTCACTCACATCTTAACGCTCCGTTCGACACTGTTTTCATACGTTCCGTTCTTACTAATCCTACACTGTTAGTATATAATTGTAAATAGACATGCTTTAACAAAAACCGACTTCAAATAGAAAAAAAAAATCCAAAACAAATTAATATACACTTAAAACAATAACCTTCGAAATCGGTTGGCGTGATATATTGAGTTAAATATTCTGGCGTTACACCTAATATGTTATTTCCTGTTATTTCTGATATTTCGAATACTTTAACATTTTTATTTATGTCGTGAAAATCAAAGAAGGAAACACCAAAAACAAAACAATTTAAGAAGACATTTTAATTTAACGTTAAGCCACGACTTGGGTCTACCTATGGCATTGCTGACGTCCACAGCGACGGTAACGACTTACCATCAGGTGGTTCATATGCTCGTCTGCCTACACGGGCAATAAGAAAAAGGTTGTGGGTTGTTTACGATGCCCATCGTACGACGCGAACTCAATAATAATTTTAATCTATCTTTACGTGAAACATATCGTCTTCTCGCATTAAAACTGTATAATCTCAAAAATTACTAATTTTACAAGAAAGTGTTTTAAAGGTTTAACATGTGATATTTTTAATACTACTCATCTTTGCAACTTTAATTTTCTATTTTTTACCAGTTACATTATCTGTCTTTTAAAGTAAGATAAAATTATGTATTGATTTTGTAGTAGTCAAAACATAGGTAAACTAAAAAAAAAACTAAAAAAACTACGCTTTTTTGACAGTATTTATGACAAAAATACTGGTGATACCAAATGATTCCGCATATTAGCTCAATTTCGAATATTTTTGGAAATTGTGCACTTTTAATGCAAAAAGACGATGTGAGCTTTTTTTTATTGCCTTTGTAGGCAGACTAGCAGACGGGCCACCTGATGGTAAGTGGTCACCGTCGCACATGGACGTCAGCAATGCCAGGGGCAGATCCAAGTCGCTGCCTACCATTAAATGTAAATCTTTTGACAACGGCACTGATGTGAAGTCGAACTTCAATGCGGCTTGTTAAGGTGCTTTATACCTCATCCGGGCCTAAATTCTTCATGTCTGCATCGACGACCCTGAGCTGCACATTCGGCACAGCACAGCCCACATCAGAGTAGTTCCCCTCGAAGTCTCTCGATGCTAACGTCACCAGGGGACTGGCTTCAGTCATTCCATATGCTTGGTTGAACTGGATATCGGGCTGGAACCGAAAGACAAAGGATATATAATTAATCTATTTCGCCGGTAAGAGAACCTCGTCCTATCAGATGTCTTATTATATTGTTCGTGATTGTCTCCACAGTTTTTAACCTAGAATTATTTACAACTTAAATACTAAGCGAACACAAAATTTTTAAGACGCCCAACTTTTATCATAAAACATTGAATTTATGGATTCTATAGGAACACTGTCAGAAAAAACATATTTATTAGTGAATTTTTGAACTCTTAAAAATTCGAATAATGTGATGAGGTATTTATCAAGCTAAGCAATAAATCAATGGAAAGATAAGTATGAAGCTAAAGGAAAAATGATGACTTAGTTACATGACACTGTAATATAGACAAGCAAATGTATGAATAATAATAATAGCTGGGAACACTCATTAATAATAACTGGGAAATGTGTGAATGATGTTCTCAAGATGTTTACCCGCGCTTTCTCTAAAAATTTGTGGATATCTGCTTCAGGTAGTGGCGCGGCGCCCGAAGTTACCACTTTCAAATGCTTTAAATGATCCCTCGTAGCTGCAGGATGCGCGCCGAGGAACAAAACTGAAAAGCATTAAGTTTTGAGGCAAGTGCGATATTCATTTTTGGGATCTTAGATCTTAGAGTTAGAATTAATTAGTGTTGCCCTTAAAATACCAGAAATAATTGTTCAGGTTTAGATAACCTCTTTTTTATTAAAATTTCTTCCCCACTTATTCGCTGGTAGCCTGAGGGGCTGGGTAGGTGAGCTCACGGAATCAACCTGAGAGAATTTGCTAACACTAGCCCTAGCAAGAGCAGTGTTTCGCAGAATCTACGACCGGATCGGAAACGCGACCCACTGAGAAGATCCAGCGAGAAACTCAGTGGATTGTGTTTAAAGGAGCTGGCTTCATAAATATTGGTATTTTAATGGATCTTTTCACAAAATATCTGCTCGGAAATCTGTCCTACCTGAGTAGCTAAAAATTACCCTGCAATACAAACAAAAAAAATCACAGAAATCAGTATAAAAATCGTGCTTCCGAACTTAAGGATATGTCTTTGATTACGATAAGAAAGTTGAAAATTTTGTATTATTGATGGTACGACCTCATGTGAGTCCGCACGGGTAGGTACCACCGCCCTTCCTATTTCTGCCGTGAAGCAGTAACGCGTTTCGGCTTGAAGGGTGAGACAGCCGTTGTAAGCATACTAAGACCCTAGAACTTATATCTCAAGGTGGGTGGCGCATTTACGTTGTAGATATCTATGGGCTTCAGTGACCATTAAACACCAGGTGGGCTGTGAGCTCGTCCACCCATCTAAGCAATAAAAAAAATTACTGCATGTTTCAAGTAGATACACAATTGCTTCTTCTTCTCAGTCGTGTCACTCTTGACAGAGTGGTCGTGATCGTCATGTAGTGTTGGAAGGGTAGTAGTGTAGTAGTAGTGGCGGTATAACCATAATCCTGGCCAGTGGTCAGAAGAGGCTTCAGAGGCCTTGGGGTTCAAATAACCTCAAAAAGTCTGGTGCAGAAGGCAAGGGGAAACCACTGCAACTACTTTCCCAAGAAAATCGTCATGGAAGTAAACATTATAGATACACAATAGACGACGCATTATCGCTGTGGTTATTAAAAAATTTAAACTCTGACAAATATTGTGCCTCTAATCATAACGGTCAGTATCGTTTGGGAATATAATCAATATTACTAGTAGGTGGAGCAAGGTACATCAATTCCATCGGGTGTTTCAGCAGCGCATCCAGAAAGGTCCGTGGTTGGAAACTCGGAAGTGTTACCAGTTTCAATCCGACCGATAGCTTGTGCATCATCACAACCGAAAGGCCGTAAGTGTGGAACAACGGTAGGAGGCCCAGCGTCGAATCCTGGTTTTTTTCTAGAAAGGAAAATAAAAGATAGGGAATTATCAGTTTACGCTTAAACGTGTCGATCACCAATCTACATTTGCCTCTAGTAACTATGCAATTTTCGACGAATACTATTATAATATCCCATTTCGTACGAAATACGTACTTAACTAATGTTCACGATTTACTTCTACGGTGAAGGAATAACATCGTGTAATAAAAATCAAACCCGCATAATTATAATTTGCATAATTACTGGTGGTATGACCTCTTGTGAGTCCGCACGAGTAGGTACCACCGGCCCGCCTATTTCTGCCGTGAAGCAGTAATGCGTTTCGGTTTGAAGGGTGGGGCAGCCGTTGTAACTATGCAGAGACCTTAGAACTTATATCTCATGGTGGGTGGCGGATTTACGTTGTAGATGTCTATGAGCTCCAGTAAAACATACTAGCCGTACTCGCCCGCTTCGCTGAACATTTAACATTAACATTATTATTTATTGTCATTATTATTAGGGAGTCCAACTGTCATATAAATATTAGCTTATCCATTAAGTACATGTATTTTCTACATGGATACCAAGTTTCAAGTCAATCGGATGCATGGTTCAGTAGTTATAGGTATAACGGAACATCCATAAAAACCACTGTAGATTTATATATTAGTATAGATTAGTATAGATTAATCTTTTTTCTACGCCAATTCAATAGTACTCTAATGAGAATCTAATGGCATACCCGCAACTGACCTGTCGTATATTCATATTGCCTCAATTCGGTGTCCTGTTGCGAAAAGTTAGCAACTTTATTGGTGTGCGTTAATTCAACTGCCTTAGGGAGTCCGGTCGTGCCACTTGAATAAACCATAAAAGCGATATCATCCGACACCCTTTTAACCTCTTTTAGAATTTCAAAATCAATGTGCTTATCCTCTGTCAGTTCTTTAAATGATATCGTCCCTTCTGGCTGTTGACTGTCGATATTCACAGCAATGATTTTCAGATCCTTCTTTGATAGTTCTAAAGATTTTTTGACGTTGGGAACCAAATCTGGCAGGGTTATCACAATCTTAGCGCCCGAGGTGTCCAGCTGTCGTTGTATTTCGTCTAGAATTCGAAGTAGTTATTATAAAAAAAGGGTGCGTGTACTTATGTACGCACCTAAGAAGTTATACTTTTTATTTTTTAAATATTAAATAAACTTCATTCTGTTAATTTTGTGTCACGGTGCGCGCGCATCGTAAATTTCACTCTCATCATTTTTTCATAACGCGCCTAAAGAAGTATAACTTCAAAAACAATGTATATTTTTCCACACTTCTTTTTATTTTATTAATTATTAGCGAAACGGACATGTAAAAATTATAATGTTATATGATGTTTAAAAACTAAAAACTCGGATTTAAATAGCAAACCGAAGCAATTGTTGCATTTATTGTCTTTTTGTAGGTCCTTAATGCGTGTGCCAGTCTTAAAATCGCAGTAAATATCTTTCAAAGATTCAGTTAAATACAAACAAATATACACAACTATTTATTGAGAATAATAAAAGTGTACTAAAACGAGAAGTCGAATAAATTATCACGTCAAGACCGAGCAAACAATTAATTTTCTCCCACTTTTAATAAAATTGTTATCACCATAAATATGATATGTATTTCTGATGACTTAAACAATAACAGCTTAATTATACAACCATTAAGCTGATTTGATAATAAGGTTGGAATTTTGATTGTTTGTGTTTTAACGGTAGGCGATGTCGCAGGCCATCAGATTTTAAATGGTTACTCTAAGCCCACAGTAACAGCTAGAATTCCGTCACCTATGTTGTACCATAAAGTCAGTCTCAATACCAGTAATTACGGAAACTTATTCCCAAACAAAAAAATAAAATACTCATTTTGTCTACACTAGGCCATCGAACTCATATATGAAGTGGTGCGCAGTTACTATTTCCTTCGTGCGGAGTCGGCAGGTTGCTTCATCAGCCAGGTTCCTTCCAGCAAGCAAATTTAACTTATTAAGACTCTTAAGTACTTTCATGAATTTCTAAACTAACAGTGCTCGAATGCTGTGTTTGACGAACTTATTTCTGTCTAGCTCAGTGATGGGCAAAGTACGGCGCGCGGAAGTATTTAATCCGGCCCGCCGAGAGTCCATCCATCCTAAATACTCTAGTCAACATTTTGGTGCTTAAAATAAAATCTGATGTTTATAATTTAAAATCTTCGAATTTTGAATGAAAGCTGCAATCCGTCAGGGGTGTTTTGAGCTTTCATTATCACATAATTAACTTGCCATCATTATAAGTATCTCGGCAGTCCGTCACAGGTATCAGTTTATTTATTGGAAAATAACCATTCCTTTCACCTATCTATCACACGCCTCACGTCTTACACGCTTAACAAGGCGTAAAAGTACAAGGTATTTTGTTTATTAAAAAGGTTTAATACAAAATGCATTTTTTCTATAATTCTGGCTCTGCTCTAGAATTTCTTAAGCTTTGTGGCCCGCCATTAAAAATGTTTGCCCACCACTGGTCTAGCTCAATACGGCCAATCAACAATTGAGTCGTCTATTATCAAAGGTCTGTGCATTTGGACAAAAAAAATTTATTGATATGTCAAAACAGATTGATTTGAATATAATCGTCTCCTTCAAAGAATACGGTTCAAAACCTGCATTAAATAAAGGTTAATAGTTAACCTGTTATTTATCTAAGATGTCGTTCCAAAGAGTTTTGTGACTGCCAATGGAATACAAAGTCAATAATTCGTTTTTCTGATTTACCAATCATTGTCCAAAAGTCAGATTGCCGGCTTTGATAATAGTCGACTCAATTGTCAATTTGTGTAACCAAAACCTCATTCAACTGAAAATATACTCACATGGCGTGTAAATTGGGTTTATAGTTGTGACTATACCCCCAGCAGCTAGTACGCCAAACACGGACACAGGATACTCTGGAACGTTCGGTAGAAGTATTGCGATGACGTCACCGTCTCTTAATTTGAATTTCTTTCGCAGATTAGCACCAAGAGTACGCGAACATTTGTAAAGTTCTTCAAAGGTGTAAGCGCGGTTTGTAACGCCACATACCTGTGATATCAGATTTGAAGCTGTTTACAAATAGATCCTCCAATCACACTTAACGAAGAATGCTTACTGGTGGTAGTATTGTGAGTCCGCACGGGTAGGTACCACCAACCTGTTTAATTCTGCTGTGAAGTTGTAATGCGCTTCGGTTTGAAGGCCAGAGCAGCCGTTGTAGGTAAAACTGAGGTCTTTTGGTTCTTGTTTTGACCGACGTCGCCCAAAACACGTCATTGCGAAGCAAGGCTCTTGCTAGGATTCGTGTTAGCAGCGTCGTCAGGTTTAAGCCCCGTGAGCTCACATACTAGTTAAGGTTACGCTGATTTGGTCTCTCTAGACCATAAATTTAGGTAGGAAAAAAAATCTTGTTTTGAAGTAGGTGGTAGCATTTACGTTGTAGATGTCTATGGTTTCCGGTAACTATTTAACACCAAGCTGACACTCCTGAGCTCGTCCACCAATCTAAGCAATAAAAAAAACATGCATAATGCTATTATTTCATAGTGGAATTCGTTCGTAAGCACGTTGTAAATTAGTTCGCATTTATTTAGAAAAAAACCTAATGACGCTTACAGCAATCAGCATTCCTTATGTCGGCTGCTTAGAATTAAAATCCCATCAATTTACTTTTTAGTTTTCATTAGTCCAATCCTCAAAGGCATCGACTTTGGCATATTGCACACGACAGAGCCGAACTTGTAATGTTATTTAAAATGAATGACATTGTTTCTTGTTTCGATTGTTTGGATCGTGTTCAATTATTTGCTACTGGTATTAAAATTAAATGGCCATCAGGAGATAATTGTAGACAAGATTATTTATCAAATCGTAAGGAGACGCTGCCATGCTTTGCTTTCGTGAAATGTGTGATATACAGCATCAATTATATAAGGTATTTCGTATTTTGATAGTATTTTCCAAAATTACCAAGAACTAAACCTGCCAAATTTCGAATCGGTCGAATAAGCCCCGCGTGAACGCTTGTGGTGTATTATGAAGCAAAGCAAAACAAACGTGGTGGTGGAACTGGTGGTAGGATCTCTTGGGAGTCCGCACGGGTAGGTACCACCACCCCGCCTATTTCCGCCGTGAAGCAGTAATGCGTTTCGGTTCAAAGGGTGGGGTAGCCGTTGTAACTATACTGAGACCTTAGAACTTATATCTCAAGATGGGTGGCGCATTTGCGTTGTAGATGTCTATGGGCTCCAGTAACCACTTAACATCAGGTGGGCTGTGAGCTCGTCCTTACAACTAAGCAATTAAAAAAAAAAGTACATACATTATATAAATTAGGTGTAGTGTGGTTTCTATTGAAGATACTGTAAGCTTTGTTTTGTGAAGCGCGGAACCAATCTCCAACAATGCTCTAGTCGAAATGACGCTCAGAGAATTTAAGTTTTCAACGTATGAAGCGTTCCACTAAATGTAAATTATGCAAATGATTAGTTTAACTACTGTTATTATAATGAAACTAAATTTTTTAAATTTCCATCTCTCTAGTCGCATGCCTGATCTAATAAGAAGTGATTTGTATACTTTTATTTTAAAAAAATATTTAAAATTTCCACGTCGAAAAAAAAGCCATCAAATCGTGAACAAAGTCAAATTCAAAAAGGGAATGTTTTTTTTTCTAGCTATGTTGATATCCTTGAGAGGCTATTTCAGCTTCACCCTAGCGTGTAGGTGAGCTCTCGGGGCTCAAACCGGAAGTGTTGCTAACACTGGCCCTACCAAGGGCAATAATTCGCGGAATCTACCACCGGATCGGAAACGCAACCCACTGAGAAGATCCCACGAGAAACTCAGAGCGCAAAATTTTATGCTAAAGTTGGTTACAATTGGGATATCACAAAATGTCCTTTAAATAGCCAGTAAACAAAACACAAAGTGAAGTAGTTTACTTAATTCGGTACAGTTTTGTACTTCTATTGAGGGTATCACATCAGTTTTTTTTATTTCCGCCCGTCATGGCGTCCATCAATAGTGTTGCCACATGGAAATCCGATAATTGTATTAATTTTATCATAATATTTTTTTGTTATAATTATTTTACAGTGTTGTTGAATAAGTCGATGACTGACTACACAATGTAGGGCTTTAAACTTCATTAACCAATACATTATACAAATAATGTAATATAACAATAACAATAGACAACGAACTTTAGACGCTTATTTAAATTTAGAATCGGAAAATTAAAATAATCATTTTCTCTTCATTGATCTTATCTTAACGTAATATATTACACTTGTATGGTGAGGTAAAAGATAATAAACAAATTTCAAGACGTTTATCGAATCTTTTATTTTTATTTTTTTATCGCTTAGATGGGTGGACGAGCTCACAGCCCACCTGGTGTTAAATGGTTATTGGAGCCCATAGACATCCACAACGTAAATGCGCCACCCACTTTGAGATATAAGTTCTAAGGTCTCAGTATAGTTACAACGGCTGCCCGACCCTTCAAACCGAAACGCATTACTGCTTCGCGGCAGAAATGGGCAGGGTGGTGGCACCTACCCGTGCGGACTCACAAGAGGTCCTACCACCAGTTAGAATCACCTTTTTATCTAGTTATTGAACCTGTACATTTATCTCGTCAATTAAAAAAGGTATGTTTTATCATTAGCGTATGCTATCATCGCTATATAATCAGCTTATATCAGTTTTGCACTAGAGACGGAAGAACTCATGGCTAGATGATAACTAGAGGCCACCCAACTCGAGATACAGATTGCAATTTATTTGTTTTGAACAATATCTGTCCCATCTATAAAACTTGAATCCATAGTGGCATCTACTCGTTTTGTAAAAATAAAAATACAATAAAATCCAAAATTCTTTAGTAAACGCCTTCTGTGTTTTTATTTCTTTGGGTGAATTGGTGTATCCACGTGCGAGATTCGAATCCGGGCATAGTGATTCAATGCAATTACACTCGCAACAAATACAATTACTCGCTACAATTTTGTGGGTGGCGCATTTACGTCGTAGATGTCTATGGGCTCCAGTAACCACTTAACACCAAGCGGGCTGTGAGCTCGTCTACCAATCTAGCAATAAAAAAATAAAAAAAATAAAAATGACAATGGCACAAGCAGTCTTCGTTTTCACAAAAAAAAAAGGTAAAAATATTCTCATTACAATAACTCATACCTTTGTGTGTTGTAATTCATATTTTTCTATATAAATAATTCATAACATAATAAAAACTTATCTATTTGATAAAACAAGATTACCATTTAATTGTGTCGGTATCTATCGTAATAGTATAGAGGCTCAATTTAGGCATTTTAGGGAAAGATAAAAAAATCAATATTCATTTTCATTATCCATTTTATACACAACTAGCGGCCCGCTCCGGCTCCGCTCGGGTCTTTAACAAAAATTTCAACGACACATGACGTTGTTATATTTCTTTAAATAAAAGAACCCTTATTGCGGCATATCTATAATAGTTAGACATATGCTGTCGCGACACTTTTTGTAAATAATAATGTGTTCTTCAAAGTCGTAGTATATTATTTTATTCTATCATCAATAGTTTTCGCAGGGCACGCGATGTAAAGAATATTTTAGGTAATTTTTTTACACTTTGGGTTACACTATTGGAGTCTAAGTAAGGATCCCTAATTTTTTCAAAAAAGATTATAAGCCTATGTCACTCGGGAATAGTGGAACTTCCCAACAATGAAAGAATTTTTCAAATCGGTTCAGTTGCTTCGGAGCCTATTCAATACAAACAAACAAATCTTTCCTCTTTATAATATTAGTATGGAAGTATATAGATATAATATTAGCCGGGAACAAGTCACGCACGGTCTTCCGACTCCAATTGCGGTTCCCTGTACTATGGAAATCACTGACAGAAATCTATACTAATATTACAAAGCTGAAGAGTTTGTTTGTTTAAACGCGCTAATCTCAGGAACTACTGGTCCAAAATTTTCAGTATGTTAAAAATTTGAATTGGCGCGTAACCGCAACGATGCAACGCAATAACTGCAACACGGTTTTCTTTAAGCGTCCATTCCATATTTAAAAATGAGTAAAATTCTAAAAGTATACATTTTTATTTTCATGAACAATTCGGAATTCGAATTCAATAAACTTTTTTGTGGCCAGCATTCTAAAAGAAAAGTTTTTACTGTGTGACAATACTTATAACCTAACTAGTTATATAGCCTTCCTCGATAAATCACGCTAAGACCAATGCAAGCGGAGCACCAATAAAGAATGTTTCAAAATCGTTTTTTTTTCCCCTTTTGAGAACTTCCACTGCGTGCGCTGCGGAAACGGTTAAAGTTTAGTTAAAAGTTAGTTAAAAATTATGTATGGCAGAATCATTCCCCTTTAAAAGATCTAAAAAAAAGTCCACGACAGCATATGTTTATAGGGTGGTTCACTCTAATCTTTTTTATGCTAACCGAATTTGTTCTAAAATAAAGCATTGTCTGTGAAGATGTTTTTATAAAGATGATATTAATCCTTATCCCAGTAAATACATTATTACAAGTATTTAATTTTTAAGCAATTTGCCCTCACTTCACTTCACAAATCACTTCAAGATAGGCTTTGAAAATCATAGATTTTTCTGGATTTCTCCAGGATCTCATCATCAGATCGGGAAGTCTACCCTATCGAACAAAAAAAGAATAAAGAATTACCAGAATCGGTTCATGCATTCTCGAGAAATCGGTGAACATACATAGATATAAAAATGGTGGTGGATTTAGTTATTCCGTCACAAAAACTCGAAAGAAGTATAATTCGATAGCAAAAATATCTAGACCGGAATACCACGTTAATCATGTGTCGCGTCTTTCAAGGATCACCGATTTAAAAAGAATCAAATTAAAGCTTTAGTTGCCCGTGAGCTTGCACGGGTACCTACCGCCACCCTACCTGCTTCTGCCGTGAAGCAATAATGCGTTTCGATTTGAAGGGTGGGACAGCCTTTGCATTATACCTACTATAAATCTGAGACTCAGTACTAATGTCTCAAGATGCGTGGCGGTATTTACGTTGTCAATGTTTACAGCCTGCGATAACCACTTAACATCAGGTTAACACCAGACTTTTGCTATACAAAGCACAGGTACGGCCTTGCGTGGAGTATTGCTCCCACCTCTGGGCCGGGGCTCCCAAATACCAGCTACTTCCATTTGACTCCATGCAGAAGAGAGCCGTTCGGATTGTCGATAGTCCCATTCTCACGGATCGTTTGGAACCTCTGGCTTTGCGGAGGGACTTCGGCTCCCTCTGTATTTTGTACCTACTGTATGTTCTATGGGGAGTGCTCTGAGGAATTGTTCGAGATGATACCATCATCTCGTTTTTACCATCGCACCGCCCGCCACCGGAGTAGAGTTCATCCATACTACCTGGAGCCACTGCATTCATCCACAGTGCGTTTCCAGAGATCTTTTTTGCGACGTACCATTCGGCTTTGGAATGAGCTCCCCTCCACGGTGTTTTCCGAGCGTTATGACATGTCCTCCTTCAAACGAGGCTTTTGGAGAGTATTAAGCGGTAGGCAGCGGCTTGGCTCTGCCCCAGGCATTGCTGAAGTCCATGAGCGACGATAGCCACTCACCATCAGGTGAGCCGTATGCTCGTCTGCTTACAAGGGCAATAAAAAAGGTGGGCAGTGAGCTCGTCTATTCATCTTAACAATAAAATAATGTAAATGTGTGTATGTATATATATAGTCTGACATAAAATAATTAAATTTAAAATTGAATGCAATTTTATTTTATTAGACGTCCGCACGTAAAATTTTCATTATATTTGTGCATTTCATAAAAAATGTTTAAAGCATCGCACCGTGTCATAAAATTCATAATTCAATTTAAAGGCTTAATTATTATTTGGTAAGTCGTCTAGTTATTATTGTATGGGAACAACATTTCTTGGGGACTCATAATTTGTCCTTCCTAGTAGTGTGTAGATTCGTCAAGTAGGTTGTTCGTATTGTTGTTGTCTCAATAATAACTACGGAGTCGCTGACAGATTGTCTCAGTGAAACCTGTCAATCCATTAAGCAGCATGTAATCCTATCTGAATTCTACTCAGAACGAATAAAAAAAAAATGTATTAAAAATAATTACCACAGCCGTTTTCGTTGCCCATTTATCCAGATTTCTAAACACATACTCGTGTATTGTAGTATCGGGCACCTCTATATCCCGATAGGGAGAATACACCACATTATCGGGAGTCCATACATTTTTTCTGGCAACACAGAAACTACGACGAATAAATTTAGAGAACATCTCTTTAATGTTTTTTTTTATCACAAGTTATCGCACTAGACAAAAGTTTTACACACAAGAAACACTTGTTTTATTACAGTTTACTACAGCTACGTCCTAGAGTCTAGACTACAGCTACCTACGTTCTATATATCATCAATTTATATCTAATATATTTTTTTCGATAACTAAAGACGTGTTCGAAGCAACGCGCGTCGCTGTTGTATGCATAGGTCTCATACGATATGCACTAACTACGTCATACCCTGATGTTTTAGCGTATTCAAGTTCAATAACATTTTAAACACTCATTATATAACATTGCGGTTACATCAGCGGTTGACGTTCGATTAAATTCACTGGCAATTTAATATTTCTATTCAATTCACGCATTGGATATTCTGTTTTGGTTTTATCATTGTTTTTTTTTCTATTTTTATCGTATCGATTAAATTCACTGGCAATTTAATATTTCGATTTAATTCACGTTTTGGATATTCTGGTTTAGTTTTATCGTTGTTTTTTTTTCTATTTTTAGCGTAGACGAGAAATTAACTGATTTTAGTTTTTTTTTAATGTGACGCCCAACTAAAATTCATCAGTGGCCGCTAAACAAGATAAAAACAGGTCTAACATAGCAGATAAAGGGGGTGTTTTGGATCTGCCTGTTTAAATATAGGTTTTTTTTATTGCTTAGATGAGTGGACGAGCTCACAGCCCACCTGGTGTTAAGTGGTTACTGGAGCCCATAGACATCTACAACGTAGACGCGCCACCCACCTTGAGGTACAAGTTCTAAAGTCTCAGTATAGTTACAACGGCTGCCCCACCCTTCAAACCGAAACGCATTACTGCTTCACGGCAGAAATAGACAGGGCGGTGGTACCTATCCGAGCGGACTCACAAGTGGTCCTACCACCAGTAATTACGCAAATTATAATTTTGCGGGTTTGATTTTTATTACACGATGTTGTTCCTTCACCGTGGAAGTGAATCGTGAACATTTGTCGAGTACGTATTTCATTAGAAAAATTGGTACTCGCCTGCGGGATTCGAACACCTTTGCATCGCTTCAACACGAATGCACCGGACGTCTTATCCGTTAGGCCACGACGACTTCAAAAAGATATGTATTTGATATGTATATTCGCAGCTTAATGCGAATTTCTTGATAACATTTTTTTTTATTTGTGTATTTGGAATTTAAAATGTATCGCTAGTGGCGGTGAGACACTCGCAATACGCGTCGTGTCAAGAATGAATGTTTTCTGCCACGGGCTTTTAACTCAGATGGACAATTAAAGCTTCTTGATTTACAAGTCGAAGCCTTTAGCTATCAAACTTAGAATTGGCACACTCGGAATACACTGATGATTGTTTGGAACAAGTCACGTAGTTGTAATCTTAGGTAATAACCTCGGACATGTCTACACATTTATTGTTCTTTTTTTCTAGTAGTTGTGTTTTTTTGCGACTCGGAATGGTAACGGTAGGCAGCGGCTTGGCCCTGCCCCTTGACATTGCTGAAGTCCATGGGCGACGGTAACCACTCACCATCAGGTGGGCCGTATAATCGACTTCCTACAAGGCCAATAAAAAAAATGTCAAGTTATTATAATCACCGTAATTCAAGAACTCGTTGGAAGATTATTTTAGCTTACAGTGTAGTAGTTTTAAAGAAAAATAATATTACATAATAAATAAAAAATATATTTTAATTAATTATAATTTTTTTAAATAAAAACATCAAACAAAACTGTAATTATGTAAATATAATATCTGTTTCATTCGTGTAATCAGATTATAAAGATAAACAGCCGCTTAACAACGCACAACAATTTCAAGTTTTTTTAATGATTATATTGATAAAGAGTAAAATATCAACTAGTAAAAAAATAATCATGTATTTCTCAATGATCTTAACGATGGTGTCTTCGACAAAATCCTGTGAGAGGGACAGAGAGAGAGTATTCTTTATTGTACACCAACAAAAGACACAATGCGAAATATTAAATACAAAAAAAAAGTACAATTGGCCGTCTTATCGCTAAGAGCGATCTCTTCCAGACAACCATCAGGTGGAAAAGAATCGTTTGGAAACTAATTACACGTGCTGTACCAATAAATAGAAATATATATAATTATATATATATATATGTGCGTTCATCTTAATAGAGATCTTGACTCGAAAGTACTTCTTTGTTTAAACCAGTCTTTTAAAACGTGTGGAAATTTTAAATAAAAGCCAATGCTTCAATATGATTAATATTACAATATATGTATTATAGAAAAATATATTCTGATAGTTGGCACAATATACAAACATCATCCAAAAATATTTCAGTCGTAAAGAGTTCGATGTGCCGGATATCATACATAAGAGATTAAACTATAATATATTAGTAGCTATAATAACAATCGTCCTCGCTGGAAATTTTCAAGTCCAGATTGAAATCGCACTACTTTGCTCCTATGATATAACTGTATAAGTTCCTACTTCTTTTGTATTTTATCTTGTATATTTTTAGTATTTATTTGTATTTAATCGTATGTAAGTTTATCTTATATGGTATTTATTTTTCACATGTGTATTTAAGTATATATTTTTATGTAAGTTTATTAAGATATAGCACCGTCNGTGTTAAGTGGTTACTGGAGCCCATAGACATCTACAACGTAAATGCGCCACACACCTTGAGATATAGTTCTAAGGTCTCAGTATAGTCACAACGGCTGCCCCACCCTTCAAACCGAAACGCATTACTGCTTCACGGCAGAAATAGGCGGGGCGGTGGTACCTACCCGTGCGGACTCACAAGAGGTCCTACCACCAAACCGGTCGAAACCGGCTTGGAACCATGATGATCGAAATTCAGCTAATTTCTTACGAAGTATTTCAGTTTCAAAAAACACAACGTACGCAGCTACCTAACTATATATCAAAAAGTCCTGTGCGTGTCTTTACATAGTAATTTCATTCTCTCTATTGCATCAGGGTCCTTATATCGTGCAATTGAAAAATTACGAGCCGTGTCGAGGATCGAAATCAAAGAACTTGACCTCTCAAAACGTGAAGATTATATCAGATAACAATATCTGCAAGTTGTTTATTAACGTCACTTGTTTTGTTGCGACGCGTATCAACGAGGTAAGATTATCTATATTACATTGGAATTAGAATGCCTATATATTTTGGCTTAGCCTTATCTTAATCTAATGCTTTAGTTCTGCAAACAGTTGAGAAAAATCGGTCGTATAAACCAATCTATAAGTGGGGGCTTAATTAATTGACCTTGTAATCTATAAAAGCGATTCACTGAAGTCCTTTTTACTAGCATTTGTGGGTAGGAAGGTTAAAACTCCATCTGGTTTTAAGCGACTAATTATAGCCACAGATGACATAATATGAATAACCCTGCTCATCGTAAGAGAAGAGGTAGAAGTATCAGTTGCATCAGAACAATTTGAACCTTTCCCAATCTTAACTCCCGCTCTTAATCCACCCAATCCTATCTCAAGGGTTAAGTGGGTTAATAAGAAAATGATTAATTATAGTGACCGCGGCGAGGATACCATTGCTGTACCCTCTGGTAAGATCTAAAAATAAATAAATGAAGAAATAACCGTGTTCCCATTTTAACCACTTTGAATGTACAGGATTATGGATTTGGCACCATTAAAAGCACACGGTCTAAAACGGGTTCATCAATCTAAATTCTGTAGGCAGGATAGTGGGAACACCCTACTTCTTGAATCCTGTCTAAACTTTAAAAGTTAAGCAATACCTTTAGTAAAATTATTGTACAAGTTAAGGTGCATCGTCCCAAAATTATCACCGAACTTTTCAAATTAGTAGTAGCGGTCTTCGAGTTTAATTATTTTAAATGAAAATCATTACAATTCGCATTCATAGTGCCTTAATTTATACAGATAAAGATACAGGTATACCTCGTGAAAAATGATCAGGGCAAAAAGAATTTAGTGTGGAACTTTAAATTGGACAATCCCTGTCAGCACTTCGCGTTCGGCGACATACTGCAGAACAGTTTTGGAGCAACGAATTGTTATTTAAAAAAAGTGAGTGCATGATAATCATGATATCATGAAGCTCTATGGATAATTTACCTAGTCAGGTCATAAATTCTGTCACATGTTTAATGTAAAATAATTGAAACAAGTTTATTCATTATGTAANTGGAAATTTTCAAGTCCAGATTGAAATCGCACTACTTTGCTCCTATGATATAACTGTATAAGTTCCTACTTCTTTTGTATTTTATCTTGTATATTTTTAGTATTTATTTGTATTTAATCGTATGTAAGTTTATCTTATATGGTATTTATTTTTCACATGTGTATTTAAGTATATATTTTTATGTAAGTTTATTAAGATATAGCACCGTCCACATATTTATATCCATTATCACATAACTTATTCCTCTCCCTGCAAGGTTGCCTGGAAGAGATCGCTTTCAGCGATAAGGCCGCCAATTTATATACCGACTTTTGTTTTATAACTTTACTGTGTACATATTAAGGTGTTATATAAATAAAGAGTTATTATTATTATTATAGTGTATTAAACACTGCCACGCCTGGGAAGACGGCAGGACACACTCCGGCGAGGTGGGCAACAATCGGCCATTATTATTAGTATTATTATTATTATTATATCTTGATTCGCGAAAACCGAAGATAATATCTAGATATTTAAATAACAATGAAACGAGAACCTTCTCCTTTGTTTATTCAAAGTCGATTAAAAGTTACATCGTTTGTAAGAAACCATCGCGCCCGCCAATAGCAATGTACGTGGTGCGTAGCTAACGCAAATTTTCTTTACTAACATGCACTTTTCTTCTTAGTGCGAGTTATTTAACGTTCTCGATAGCGTAAAAGTTAACCGAAAGTATGCAGTTGGAACAGCGCCCCTAGCGGCAAACATAGGCAAACTCCATACTTGTGTTAACTTTTACTCTAGCGAGAACGTTAAAAACTCGCAATAATCACACGGAAACTTTATTTTTATATCTGATTGAGGAGTAAATCACATAAACAACAACAGCACCCTTCTAAAACTTTAAAGGCCACAAAAGCTTCCAAAAGTTATCTTTCACGAAATTAACAATCCTGTCTCATCCTGTACACATGATATAATATATTTAATTATCGTACAAATATATTTTATATTAAAAATTAATTTAATTAATTAATTTGATCTGCTTTTGTTAGCCATTTAGTCTTCAAGCGCGATTCCTCTTCTCCACCACCACCAACCACCATCGATCATTTGGAATATTATGAATTATTGGTACATCATTGATTTCCCTGAAGGTCACCCTCGATTCATTTTCGTATAAAAAAAAAACCATTACACGCTGCATCAACCAATTCTTCGCCTAGCAGCAATATTGCTCCTTCAGAACCTTCCTCAGTATCTTCCCCGAAGGACTTTTAGGGATGCTATCTACAAACTTAAAGTCTTCTATTCTCTTGTAAGCCGCTACCCGCTCTCGGACGTAGTCTTTCAGTTCTTCAGAGTTATCGTTGAACCCTGGTTTTAGGGATATAAATGCTTTCGGGGTCTCCCCTTTGGTTGGATGCGGGACGCCTATGACCGCAGCGTCGTTGACGGACGGATGAGAACGAAGGACGGCCTCCAACTCGGCTGGTGGCACTTGGAATCCTTTGACCTAGGAATGTGAGTCCAATTTTAGACAGCGTTTTGAGACGATGTTTGCTAAGCCGTGAATGGGATCCAAGTGGGACCAAATAGGATCGTCTTTTTTTTATACCTACCTATTCGCTAGTAGTCTAAGAGGCTATTCCAGCAACACGCGGACGCGTAGGTGAGCTCAAGGCACGGAGAATTTGCTAACACTACCCCCCTAGCAATATTAGTGCTTCACAGATTCTACCACCGGATCGGAAACGCGACCCACTGAGCAGATCTGGCGAGAAACCCAGTGAGCTAGGATCGTAACCTTTTTAAATACGACTTAGTTTATTGCTTGCACGGGAGAAAATAAGCTTGGGAATGGTCATATCGATGCCTCCAATGAACACTACTCTAACTCAAAATTTTGAAATTTTCGTTTTTCACGCAAATCGCTTCACTATTTTAAAAGTATTACAAATTTTTATTGATGGGGTTCTAAGCAAGAGTAAATCAGCTAGTCACACAAGAAAAAACCGTAAATATATCTACAATCATAAAGATTTTATTAACTTTTTTCGTTTAAATGCTCCTTATGTAAACCTACGAATTTGGAGTTAGCGTAGTGTTCATTGGAGGCATCGATATGGGAGTTTGCATTATGACAATTCAATTCGCTGTACGGAGGTATCGAACAGAATTGTATTAAAAAAATTAAATAATTGCTAATGGAGGAGTCATCTAAAGGTATATGGAAACTATACCTATTTCTGGATAGTTGGTCTCTGTCCGATTTACCTGGTTTTAAGTGGTTACTGGAGTTCATAGACATCTACAACGTAAATGCCGCTGCCCACCTTCAAACTGAAACGCATTACTGCTTCACGGCAGAAATAGGCAGGGTGGTGGTACCCACCCGTGCGGACTCACAAGACGTCCTACCACCAATTGGAATCGTCTTTTTATCGAGTAATTAAGCCTGTACATTTATCTCGTCAATTAAAAAAGGTAGGCGTTATCATTAGCGTATGCTATCATCGCTATATAATCAGCAGTTTTGTACTAGAGACGGAAGAACTCATGGCTGTATGATAACTAGAGGCCACCCAACTCGAGATACAGATTGCATTTTATTTGTTTTGAAGAATGTCTATCCCATCCATAGAACTGGAATCCATAGTGTCATCTACTCGTTTTGTAAAAATAAAAATACACAGCGGCATTTACAGTGCGGTCGTGAGTCTGTCTGTGATGACAAGTAATACCTTGATAAGTTCCTTGAGTCGATCAGCGATGGTCAGCGTTCCCTCCTCGTCCACGTGTCCCAGGTCTCCGGTCCTGAACCAGCCGTCCGCGGTGAACACCTCCTCGTTGGCTCGCGGGTTGTTCTTGTATCCTCGCATCACTTGCGGGCCGTGCACCAGGATCTCGCCAGTCTGGGATGCGAAATATAGCCATCTCATTATTACCAACATTTACGAAGTCCAAATACATTTTGATATTAATTGAAGACATGAGTGGATGACGGGGTTATGTATCATTTTTAAGATTTTTGAGTTTTTACATTGAATGAAGGTGTTATATGCCTATAAGTCATATTCGACCTTAAAGCTCCACGTTATTTTTAGAAAATGCATGTGATGAAGGAGCTATGTCCGAAGAAATGTACAAGTAACAAATGTTTGTTGACCGTTTTCTCAAAATTAACAATTTTTTTTATTGCCCTTGTAGGTAGACGAGCATACGGCCCACCTGATGGTGAGTGGTTACCGTCGCCCATGAATTTGTATTGTATCATATCCCCTTCATCCACTCATGTCTTCAATTTTGATTAGTTTTAGAATATGCGTTAGACATTATAGCAAAAAAATTGGGGCTAAAAGACTAAAGTCCAGGTCAATATATTAGAAATCTTTCATCTGGCGGTAAAGTGTCTTACGAGTTTGCACGGGTGAGTGCCACCACCCTGCCTATTTCTGCCTTGAAGCATTAATGCGTTGCCATTGGGAGGATGGCACGACTGTTAAACTTTACATTATTGGGTCTTACTTAAATTAGGAAGTCGTCGTGGTCTAAAGGATAAGACGTCCGGTGCATTCGTGTTGAGCGATGCACCTGTGTTCGAATCTCAGGCGGGTACCAATTTTTCTAATGAAATACGTACTCAACAATTAATGTTCACATCGTGTAATAAAAATCAAACCCGAAAAATTATAATTTGCGTAATTACTGGTGGTAGGACGTCTTGTCAGTCCGCACGGGTAGGTTACCACCACCCTGCCTATATCTGCCGTGAAGCAGTAATGCGTTTCGGTTTGAAGGATGGGGCAGCCGTTTTAACTATACTTGAGACCTTAGAACTTATATCTCAAGGTGGATGGCGCATTTACGTTATAGATGTCTATGGGCTCCAGTAACCACTTAATACCAGGTGGGCTGTGAGCTCGTCCACCCATCTAAGCAATAAAATAAAATAAATCTCAAGTTGGTTGGGGACTTTCACGTTATGATGTCTATTGGTTCAGATAACTACTTAAAACCAGATGGACCGTGAACTCCACAGATCTCCTTCTCTCGCTCGCTATGACTTATGTAAAATTTCTTGTGACCCTAATAATAGTTGCACCAAAAATTTATCACAATCAAATGATTAGTTTAAAAACTTACAGAGGACAAAATATATGAGATGTACCTATGTATGTACATTCGGACAAACATTTAATATATGCATGTAGATCAGGGGCTCCCAAACTTATTTTGTCTTCTGTCCACTTTGTCAGCTCAGTCGGTGTCTAAGAGTCTTCCTAGATGAAATTACAAATAGCCTACCAAGCCTCTACACAACGCCCCCATTTTTTTCTGGGTCTCTTACCGCTCTCCTTTAGGATTGCAGCGCCCACAAGGGGGCGTTATCGCCCACTTTGGGAAAGGCTGATATAGATAGATAGAAGTGACATTTTGAGGTTTTCGAGATAGAATGTTGAAAAAGAATGTTGCATTGTGAAATTATTGTCTCGTCTAGAAATCACCTGATTAGGTCCGATATTATTGAGGTCGTTGTCGACGATCCTGAGCCGAGTGCTGGGTATGGGAGGTCCAGTCGCATCGTAGTTCTTCGAGCAGCCTTTAGGAGTCAATGAGATCGTAGGTGATGTTTCCGTCAACCCGTACCCTTGACGGAAATCAATTTTTTTCTGAAATAAAAAGTGTATTCGTTACTCTTCTGTATATTAAAATGAAACTTTTATTACATCCTCTCAAACTTTTTCGTCTGTGTGTTGCATGTCGCGTGACGGTCGGCCGCGGAGTAGGGGTAAAGTGAAAGGCGCTCGTCAGCGCAGCTAAGGTCAATATGGCGGCGCCTATAGTTCGCAGCAGCTGACCGTGTAGTGTATAGACTACTCGTCTATATTACTCGTTTGTGCCAGTACCCCACGCTATTTTGTTTGTTTTTGTCAGTGTTTAATGTAAATGTTGTTTGTCACGAGTTAAATGTCTATAATGTGAAAAAAAGTTTCATTTTTACCACACAATCCTTTTTTTTAAGTGAGCATTATAAGTAGATAATGGTTATATGGCACCACTTGGTTAAGTATTACACTACCTAAAAAACGCCATTAAACTTGAGACATGAGGTTAGAGTATTATATTATTATAACGGTTGTCCCGTCCTTGTCACTGGAACGAGTGTCGGTATGCAATTGGAACAGCGCCCCTAGCGGCAAACGTAGGCAAACGTTCAGACTGCATACAATTTGAGTTAACTTTTACGCTATCGAGAACGTTAAAAAACTCGCAATAAGCACACAGAAGTCTTACGTTAGCTTTCTCAAAGAATCTGTGAGTGTCGGAGGCGGAGAGAGGCGCGGCGCCGGACACCAACACCTCGATGTACCGAAGAGACTTCTCCGTGGCCGCCGGGTGCGATGCCATCAAAAACACTGAGAAAACGACATTATTACAATGAAGGTATGCTCTCAATTATTAAAGCTTAATGAAATGCAGATTATCCATATACTAAATGCAGACTAACCATGTTGTTTTTGACAGTTGAAAGCAATGTAGACTTTATGACGGGAACGCGAGGAGTGAAGTTGTGTGATTTGTTTTATTTTGTCTATTTAGTGTTTCATCAGGTTTAAAATGTGTAATAACGGTGGTTTATTAACTGTTTAGAATCTGTGAAAGTGCACAATTGTGGGAAAATGAAACAAATTGAATTGAACAAACAATGAAGTCGTCGTGGCCTAAGGGATAGGACGTCCGGTGCATTCGTGTTGAGCGATGCACCCGGTGTTCGAATCTCAGGCGGGTACCAATTTTTCTAATGAAATACGTACTCAACAAATGTTCACGATTGACTTCCACGGTGAAGGAATAACATCGTGTAATAAAAATCAAACCCGCAAAATTATAATTTGCATAATTACTGGTGGTAGGACCTCTTGTGCACGGGTAGGTACCACCGCCCCACCTATTTCTGCCGTGAAGCAGTAATGCGTTTCGGTTTGAAGGGTGGGGCAGCCGTTGTGACAATACTGAGACCTTAGAACTATATCTCAAGGTGTGTGGCGCATTTACGTTGTAGATGTCTATGGGCTCCAGTAACCACTTAATACCAGGTGGGCTGTGAGCTCGTCCACACATATAAGCAATAAAAAAAATAAAATAAAAACAAAGCCGGTGGACGTAGCTCCTCAGGATCCTCCAATAAATCCACTGAAAAAGTCACAGTAAATGACCACCTTTTACTGAGATTATATTTCATCACATATCATCTCATTTGTAAATTTAATTCGTTTTTAATCATTTATGTTATGTTGCGAATAGTTTCCTTCGTTTTTTATTATTCATAAAAGGTAAATAATTAAAACGGCGAATTGTAAAAAAAATTATGACTTGACGCTGGCTAATGCACAAACCGTGCCGGAGCTAAAAAATAAAGAAGAAGAAGAAGAAGAAAGCAATATAGCAGCGCGCTTGCTCATTGTATGGTCCACATATCTGCTTATTTCTACTGATTGTTAACAACGCATGCAAAGCATAAATGTCAGTCAAATTTCATGAATAGTGATGCTTCGAAAATTGAAAGCGCCCAATAGCAGCAAATTAATATTTTCTTATATGTTTGGATACAGTAAACACATAGACACACAACACAAACACACTCAGGCATCTAATAGCTAATTCGCTAATCCTTTATTCTGATCAGGAATATAAATTATACTACACTCAGAGAATACTAAGATGCAAGCGAAGAGACTTTTTTTTTGTTATTGCTTAGATAGGTGTACGAGCTCACGGCCACCTACTTTAAAATATGAGTTCTAAGGTCACAGTTTTACCGTATAACAACTGCCCCACCGTTCAAACCGAAACACATTATTGCTTCAAAAAAGATAAAGGCAGAGTGGTAAGCTCCCGTCACAAGACGTCCTACTACCAGAAGATTTCTACCACAATTTAAAAAAAATGTCAACATACAAGCTTCATCTCCTGTCTCCGACTTTTAAAATTAGCACAAAGAAAACGTGACTTACTTAATGGAGGAGCAACAAACAACAGATTAGTTTTGTAGCCTTCGATTGCTTTGAAGTAGTCTTCAGGAGTGAACTTCTTGACGGTCACTAATTTCGCTCCTTGGGCCATCTTGTGGAACATCAGCACTGATGCCGAGTAGATGTGGAACAGAGGTAGAACGACCAGCACCTTGTCCTGATGGGTTTCTGGAGATCAATAAATATGAGTCCTTAGTTTTGGTATATTAATTATTTTCCGACTAAGCCACTGAGCAACGGAGTGAGACACCTCAAAAATCGGTTGTCTGTAAAGTCGGCTTACTAACGATAGTTGAACGTGACAACGTCATAAGAAAATACTGATGGAATGGTTTCATTTTTCAATTATCGCAATTATCGTTGCTATAAACAATTGACACCACATTCACTTTTCACTGAGCTTCATACTTGACGAAAACATGTAAATGTATTATTGTATAGCAGCTGTCCACGCGGATGCATCGCTCACTCAAGTAGGAGAGAGACAGATGTCGAACGCTGCCGAACGCGGAGGCCGATTGTGCCTCTTTGTCGCTCGTTGCGCGCTCTCGCTTGCAGTTCAAGCCTTAAATGGAACGCCTCAGAGCGAGGTCACGCCGCATGAGTCATGTTTTTTCGTGCGTGCAGCCGGCTTCATCGAATTATAAGACGTTGTCACGCCAAAAACTCTCCAACTGTATGTTTAAGCGATATTATTGACTATTTAACTATTGTAAATATGTACTATAAGATCTGGAAAATACTATCATTATCCTGCCCTTCTCCCAGTCACCTGGGGTCGGTGCAACATGTTTTCTCTTTCCATACTCTTCTATCATATACCATTTCTTCGCTCACTCCCTTCTTACCCATATCGTTTTTCACGCAATCCATCCATTTCTTCTTAGGTCTACCTCTTCCTCTATATCCTTCCACATTCATAGTTAACATTCTCTTACCAACCTCATTTTCATTTCGTCTCATAACATGTCCATACCATTCCAAACGCGCACTTCTCAGCTTCTCGGTCACAGGTACCACTTTCAGACTTTCTCTAACATATTAATTCCGTATTCTATCCATTCTCGTTACTCCACACATCCATCGTAACATTCGCATCTCTGCTGCATGCAATCGCCTAATATACTAAAATATACTAATAATATCTATACTAATAATATCTATACTAATAATATCTACTAGAGGTCCCGCAGTAGTCGAAATTCGACTATAATTAATTGGAATTGTAAGTTTGTACACTATTATGATAGTATTTTCAACGCCAAGACTATACTATAGAAAAATATTAATAAAGACAAACAATATTTAATCTATTCTCAATTTGACCACAGATGTCAAGAACAAAAATTTGACAAATAAATAGTATGCATGCCTGTGTGTCAAATACATGGTAGTGTGTGTAATGTTTTCTTTATTGATTTAATGTATCTCTTATGCATTATTTTAAAAAAATATTAGCATTCTGCACTTCTTCTCTATATTCTCTATAAGTGTGGAAAATTTCATACTCCTCCGTCCGCGCAATTTTCGTAAAAAGGGACACAAAATTTTTGCTTCATGTATTAATATATAGATACTAATAATGTCTATAGTGTCTATACGTATAATATTTGTTTCGAATTCATTCAATAAATATATTTTTGGATACACCTTGTAGTTCTAAATACATTTATAATATCACTAGCGTCCCGCCCTCGGTTCGCTTCGGGGACTTAAATTTATCATTGATTTAATTGAATTTTCTTTTATACAAATCTGAACCTGAGAAAATGATATATAGGATATTGTATAGCGAATTGTTTGTAGTACCACCATGAGGATCCAATAGCAAAGATTTGTTGTAAATGTTCAATTCAGTTTTTTTACATCCCCTTTGACGATATTTGCAGCACGCATTCTGTCAACGTTTTGTCATAACCATAAGGTTACATTAGAAAAATTCATATGGTAATTAAGATTTCTTAATTTTTTAATTTTTCAGCGCAATTTCCTTAAATTTTTTTTCACAAGAACCTTCTAACGATAATAAACACAACAAAAAAATATATATAACTTGTTGACGGCGTTCTGAAGCTATGCGCATACATACATTACGCAGATTCATTTTTTTATAGATGGATTCTTATAGATATACACACTTGGTTAAACAGAAGGCGGTGAGGAATAATAAATTAAGTGTACATTAGTAATTGGCTTGCGATGCAAATATTGATCATTCAAACTGCCAAAGTATCACAAAACGCTTTGTAATTTATTTGTATGATTTGAAGATGATAAATATACTTTAGGAAAGGGCTGGTGAATGTCACTTGTCTGTTAAATAAATCGATGTTAGTCGATTCTAACTTCTATCTTCTCGATATCGATATATTATAAATAAATATAAATATAATATAAATATTTTACTAACAATCACGCCACGTTAACTGGTCCCGTGATAAGTTCGTAAAGAACTTGTGTTACAGGTACCAGATAACGGAAATAAATGTAAGTTTTTATTATACACATACATATATATTTAATATACATCCATAACCCTGGAAAAGACATTTATATTTATCATACAAATATCTTCCCTTGGCGGGATTCGAACCCGCGACCCCCTAGTGTAGTGACCATGTCACTTACCACTACACCAGACAGATATTATTACGACGATGAGACGCAACCCTGTCCATTGACAACTACGACTACTCCGCCAAGAGTATCTGACTAGGAAGACGAAGAAGAATATTATTACGTAATCTGGTTGACAATAAAACTATTATTTTAGTAATAATACCTAGCCGTTGTGTTGACGGAACTGCGAAAAGTGTACATATTTGTGAAAGCAAATTCTTATATTTACTTTAATAGTATCCACTGAGCTTGTTATTTGTTTTTCTATTATTTTTTTATAACTGTATTTTCCGGGCGTTTAGAATTGCTTGTGTCAATTTCAGGTCCATAACATACCACTGGGTTTGAAGTTCCATTGGTACGTAAAATCGCGAACCAAAGAACATATTGTCATATTAATTGTACCAGATTTACGCGATAATTCATTTATCACATAGGAGTTTAAATGACTATTAAATAATCACTGATCCCAGTAATTTAAATGAAATATAAAAATGGAGACTGAACTAATTAAATGCCAATCGTGAATGATAACGGTCACATAGGGCGGTACTATCTGTCACGGACAGAGTTCCGTGCACCCAACGCTAAAGGGGCAGTACTAATCGTCAAAGACAATGTTCCACATCCAGAGGCGGATTATCCGTAAGGCAAACTAGGCACGTGCCTAGGGGCGTGTAGCTACAAGGGGCGCCCGAGCTCAGAATTTTTGAATAAATAAAGAAAATAACATATCGACGATTAAGAACTAAATGCTGATCTATAATCTAAATAGTTAGATTAAATAGTCTACATAGTCGCTGTGGCCTAAAGGATAAGACGTCAGGTGCATTCGTATTGAGCGATGCCCCGGTGTTCGAATCTCGCGGGCGGGTACCAATTTTTCTAATGAAATACGTACTCAACAAATGTTCACGATTGACTTCCACGGTGAAGGAATAACATCGTGCAATAAAAATCAAACCCGCAAAATTATAATTTGCGTAATTACTGGTGGTAGGACCTCTTGTGAGTCCGCACGAGTAGGTACCACCGCCCCGCCTATTTCTGCCCTGAAGCAGTAATGCGTTTCGGTTTGAAGGGTGGGGCAGCCGTTGTAACTATACTGAGACCTTAGAACTATATCTCAAAGGTGTGTGGCGCATTTGCGTTGTAGATGTCTATGGGCTCCAGTAACCACTTAGCACCAGGTGGGCTGTGAGCTCGTCTACACATCTAAGCAATAAAAATAAAAAAACTATAATAGATTATATTGTACAAGCATCGATATACTCGTATTATGCAATATTGCGGGTTTGTTTGTATTTCATTCGCGCATTAGCGTAAATACAAGGGTCCTGGTCTACTAAAGTCGAGGGTCTTGATGATACAACGTCATCGTAATTGCAAAAACAACTAGTTAAAATTTATAGTATTATGATGGCCATTTATGGCCTGTACAGGGGCGCCGATAAAGTGATTGCCTAGGGCGCTCTGGACCTTTAATCCGCCACTGTCCACATCCAATACTGTGCAATACTGACTGTCGAAAGACACTGGTCCGTACACCAAGACGCATCCGTTCAAATGCGTCCAGAGCTTCTTCTTTTTCCTACCTATGCTGATAGCTTTGAGAAGCTATGCCAGCGTGATCAAGCGAGTAGGTGAGCTCTCCGGGCTCTATCCTTGGGGCGTTGCTAACATTAGCCCCAGCAACAGTAGGAAGTGCTTCGTGCAGAATCTACCACCGGAAGGAAATGCGACTAACTAAGAAGATCCGGCGAGAAACTCAGTAGGCTGTGTCTATAGGTTAGAAGTAGCACAATCTTGTCTATTCCCACCGCAAAGACGTTAGGAAACTTCGAATTCATATCTCTAAGTAGCTGATGGCATTCATATATATTAGCGCCGTACCGTGAGATCGTTGATTTTTCCACATAAAAAGTACAGTATTCAAAATTATGAATGAAGTAGTGGCAGATGGACAAAGATGAAATAATAACAAATATAAAATCAACTCCGAAGTAAGTCCGTAGCACCGTCCAAGGCAATATCAATTACTTTTGAAATGCCAAAGTCAACCCTTATTCTACGAAAAGCTGCACCATCAAGCCCATGTCTCACACGTGATTTCCTCGCATCTTCGTCAGAACCTAATCTAAAATGCTACCACAGTTGCACGTGTGCTAGTTATAAAAATCACTCAAAAATTGAACATAAAACAGAAGAAAGGGGAAAAATGCATAGCTGGTCTCTGAAACTTTCATTCCTTGTACTATGAGATATAGAGACAAACATGCGTATGATTCTATGCAATCGAATTAAATTTCTAGATATGAAAAATGCCGACAAAGAGCAAACACACGTCAAACAACTGTTTTTACGGTCGAGGTAACGCTAATCGCTTAGCAATCCGATAATCGTTTGTAATTGAAAAAAGTCATTGGTAGTGTCTAATAATAATGTCTCATAGTGGACGGAAGAAGACCACGACATAGAGGCCCGACACGTTGGGCTGACCAGATTTGCACTACTCTCGACACCATTTCATTTTTTTCTACCTAAGCTGATAGCCTTGAGAGGCTATTTCAGCTTTGCCCTAACATGTAGGTGAGCTCACCGGGCTCAAACCGGAGTGTTGCTAACACTGGCCCTAGCAAGAGCAGTGCTTCGCAGAATCTACCACCGGATCGGAAACGCGAGAAGATCCGGCGAGAAACTCAGCGGGCTGTGTCTATGGGTTAATTCGCTCATAGAGCCCTTCGTCGCAAGCGACGGGTTCGACGAGGACGGTGATCGGTGCTTGGGGCACCTAAAAGCACCGTTAATGGATCGGAAGGGTGCGTAATGACGTGCTTTTTGGCGACTCGACACCACAGTTCACACTCAGCGGCAGATAGCACCAAATATCGTAGAATGATTCAGACCAAACTCTTGTTGCGAGGAGATGGTTACGGCCCTCAGTATTGACGAAACCGAAACGAGAAGAAGAAGAAAGTGTCTAATGTAATGTTTTTTACGCTTAAAATTTCAATACAATCACTTCTAGCCTACTGGCTGTTCAGCCCACTGAATTTCTCGCCGGATCTTCTCAGTGGGTCGCAGTGTTAGCACCACTCCGGTTTGAGCCCTGTGAGCTCACCTACTAGTTAAGGTTACGCTGAAATAGCCTCTCAAGGCTATCAGCTTAGGTAGGTAGCATAAAAAAGAAAAAGAAAGAAAACTGTCTGTTGGTAAATGCTCGTAAACACACAGACAGATAAAACTTACCAGTAGTCTCGTTATGGCACGCGATCAACGGTTCATTAACCTGTTCACAATTTGCAATCAAATTCCTGTGAGTAAGTTCGACGCCTTTTGGAAGGCCGGTTGTTCCACTCGAGTACGGGAGGAAGCAGACGTCGCTTGCACTCCTCCTGACCTCCCTCAAACAGGATTTGTCCACGTGTACGTCTTCCGTCAAATCGTTGAAGAGTACTGTTCCTTCCGGTGTCACCTCTCCATTTGTTTTTATGGTTATGATTGGAAGATCTATTTTGGCCATCTTACAAGCCTCCTTTATAATGGCCACTGTCTCCGGCAATGTAACCACGATTTTGGCTTCGGATAATACAAGTTGCCTTTGGACTTCATCTGAAAATTTGTATGGGATTTTGTTGAGTTAAATCAAGGATTTTTCTCATTCATACTATGATTATATCCAGATTCGCTGATCTCGAAGCTCTGTAATTTTGGAAGCGACCAATAGAGCCTTCGAGTTGATGTCTTTGTGGTGATCGTGGCTTTATAGGCTTCGATGATCGATCGCTCCACACTAGGCAGCTTATGAACTCATCAGCGCTGTAAAGCCAAAGACTACAAATCTTTGCCTTTGAGGATCATGCTTATATTATTTTCGTGAAATAATCAGAACGAACAAGGATGAGCAGAATATTTGCTGCCGAATAATTTAAAATATAATCAGATATATTAAATTACTCGGTTTTTTTTTTGTTGTTTACGGAGCTGGAAGTAACTTACGCGCTGTATAAATCGGGTTTATAGATGTTATAATGCCTCCAGCTTCTAATATTCCCATAGTCACAAGGGGATAATCTGGGACGTTTGGTAGCATCACAGCAACGACGTCTCCATCGCGGACTTGGAACTTTCTTCTAAGGTTTGCTGCGAACGTGTTGGAAAGCTTGAAACCTTGCTCGTATGTGTACCCACGGCCTGTGGTGGCGCAGACCTGAAATCAAGTGAATGGTTATCATAATTTTATTCGCACAGAAGCACACCGCTTTCCTTATATCAATCGGTAAGGCGGGCTTCGGATAGCCTGCCGACCGAGAGGGCTGGTGGTCGTGGCGCCGACGTCCGCCGGTCCGACGTCTTGAGGGGGAGGGTGATGGGAGAGATGTGCTCCGCACTAAAGGATTCACTTTCCCCCTTTTGCCTTTTCATGAGTTCTGTCTCATGCGAGGTTCGGCCGTGGATTGTTGAGCGACAGAAGGTTTTAGTCAGTTCAACTCCGTCATGCCCCGTCCTCAGCGAAGGGAGGAAGATCGGCGATTTGCTCCTGACCAAAAAAAAATATCAATCGGTAAGTATTGTGAGTATGGTCTAAGTATTAACTGATCTATATTTTAATTAAATAGGGATAGTCACTGCTGTGTGTTTCATTTCTGTAATTGGAATACGTATTCATGATCCATTCGGTATTGAGCTAAGAATGTGAATGCCGAAAATCTTGACACATGAGGTCGAGGTCTTTACTGCATATTAACTGCCAAATACTTCATACCAGAATGAATGTTTAGTCTGGTATTAGAGTTAGCCTTAGGGTATGCTGCTACCTATTCCCTGGTTTTTACTCACTATTAATTCACGACAACGGTGCTGCTCTAAGACGAAGTCTAAGAGTCAATCTTTAGACCAGAATACGATTCGATGTATGTACCTTCGACAGCAATATTAATCATCGCATTATAGTTAATATTCATCAAAGTTATAATGACTGGAACGGCCTTCATAAGAATGTCTTCATAAGAGAAGCAAAAACAATTCATGTTTATTAAATTCTGTTTTTACAGTACCTGATTACCTAAGTAATTACTGTTTGATGATTCAAATTCCCATTAGTTCAATGCAATCGTGACTTACAGTTTCACATCGTGAATCTTACAGGACTCATTGCTAAATTTCAATAGGATTGTATAATCTGACGCGGTCACAACGGAAAAACAGCGTTGGACTGTTTTTGATAACACAGGACAGTCATATGTGCGAGTGAACGTATTTAACAGAATTTTGAAGTCATCGTGGCCTAAAGGGTAAGACGTCCGTGTATTCGTTTATAGCGAAGCAACGGTGTTCGAATCCCGCAGGCAAGTACCAATTTTTCTCGTGAAATATTATACGTACTTAACAAATGTTCACGATTGACTTCCACGGTGAAGGAATAACGTTGTGTAATAAAAATCAAACCCGCAAAATTATAATTTGCGTAATTATTGTGAGTCCACACGGGTACGTACCACCACCCTGCCTATTTCTGCCGTGAAGCAGTAATGCGTTTCCGTTTGAAGAGTGGGGCAGCCGTTGTACTATAAAAACTGAGATCTTAGAACGCATGTCTTAACGTAGATAGCGGCATTTACTTTTTATATGTTTATTGGCTCCCGTAACCACTTAACATTAGGTGGGCCGTGAGCTCGTCCACCCACCTAAGCAATAGAAAAAAAATTACGGCTACTTTTAAATAATTGCAACATGTTTGAAGGATCTGCAGTGAACAGATCACCTTAGTAGTTTCTCATCGATTTTAATTGCTATGTTTTTTTTATTTGTACATGACTCACACTGACGGATCACGGGACCTAAATCCGTTTCGCAGTTGCGTTAAACCTTTTTTAAATAAATATCAGACATTCGAAGTGTGGCTGATGTTCTTGTCTCTTTCTGGCAGAAATCGTCCATTAAATGCCGTTTTTTAATTCAATGCATGCCATTAATGGCAAATGTTTTAATTGCGGTAATTATCTCCTGTAATTTACAGGCAGCGGCAGAATAACAGCGATAGTTTCACATAGCTGAGCCGCGGCCTTTTTATCTCCACTGTGTTAGTGATAATATATTGTAATATTGTTTAGAATTAGAATTTTTATGTTATATTAATTGAAAATTTATTTGTATTGTGGAGTAAATAAATGCAATTATTATTATTATTATCTAATCTTTGGCGATCGCCGGTTTCACCAACCACGTTGGGGGGCGCTTGAAGAAGAAGATCCCTTTATTGATCGCCTAAATCTCTATATATAAAAATGAATTGCTGTTCGTTAGTCTCGCTAAAACTCGAGAAAGGCTGGACCGATTTGGCTAATTTTGGTCTTGAATTATTCGTGGAAGTCCCAGGAAGGTTTAAAAGGTTTAAGAGAAAATATAAAAAAAGCTCGGAATTATATAAAAACAAACAATTTAGTTTTTCCTTTGATGTGTCTTTTATTTATCGATTCAGGCACTACGAAGTCTGCCGGGTCAGCTATTATAAATTACATACCGCCATAGTCCTCTCGGGCCATCTCTCCAAGTTCTTCCATACATATTCGTACAGCGTACTGTTAGGTATTTCCACGTCTTTATACGGAGAACTTATCACATTATCAGCACTCCAAACGCTTTGCTTACGAATCAACTTCGAACTTTGAACCCATCTTATTAAAGATCTTTTTATGTAATTCTTCGACAACATTCTCCAGACTTTGTTCCTATAATAAATAAATAAACATATAATCAAAAGATAAAATTCTTATCTGTTATTTAAATATGATCCTTACGCTTAACGAAAATATGGAGCGCGTCTTCAAAGTCAGAATTAATATGTTACTGCAAACGACAGTTTCTTATATAACTAAAAGATAATAGGAACAGTGAAACAATAACGCGAACACATTTGCCTTTTTAATTATTTTCATTGTTTCATTATTCAGTCGTATCACTTTCAAAACGTTTAACACAACGTTAAAACAAAACGTTAATTCAGAAATGAATGACTCATGCAGAATTTACACGAAATGCGTTAACAATAATAATGTATTTTCGCTTACTTTGTGCCTTAGTGTAAATCCTACAAAACTCACAGGAGCTAAACATTAATCTAAAAATGCAACTAAGCTACCGTTAATTACACTGTCATACTGACTTAAATCTACCATCATAGCAATAACAAATGAATGAAGTTGTCTCATTAACGGGTTGATCGAAAGTATTATAAAGAATGCAAAGGTTAAGTAAGCCCTTTGGAACCAGTCATACGAGAATGCATCTTAATATACCCACTTAACTAATACAAAATAGAAATATACAGATTACTCGATACTCGACTGCTCCACTATTCAATTACGAATGAAATTGAATGAATAAAGCAAGTATTAGCCAAATACTCAAAACGAAAGAAATGATAGTGAAACGGCAAAAATACCAACCTCAGATCACGTCAAGTAAATAACAGACAACTTCCAAACAATTAAATTTTTGATGCACTACCCGAAACAGTTATAAAACACATATAAGATTATAAAATGATACAATATTGAAACAAAAAGTAAATATTGTTATCACGACGAGCCGTGCGACTCACTCCGTTTCAATCTTAGCACTAAACAAACCACAACAAAAAACAGTGTACTACTATGAATGCGTGCGATATATTTGTGTCGACCGTCTCGCACGATATCATGTTTATTCAACAACAACAAAGTAGTAGATGTATGGACGCTTCGGCATACTTAACAGAAGTATTTAAACAAGTTTTAAATGTTACTTTTATTCGGTAGCTATAAGAATGAACTGAACAAACATTAGATGAATTTAGGTAAACATTCGGTTACATTAGTAGTATTTACTTTATTTAATCAGAAGCCGGTTCCGCGGCAAGCTTGGGTGCTTTAAAACGTGAATTGTGGTTTATAAGGTACTAGATGATGACCATCTTGTTGTGCCTTTAAACATTTAGTTGCCCTCAATTTAGAAAAATAGTATTATTATTCGCCAATAGATGTCGGGAAGAGTTGATTATTGAAAACACGAATAAAACAACATTTTCTGAAAATAAATCGTAGCTAGATCGATTTATCGCCCCCGAAATCCCCTGTATACTAAATTTTATGAAAATCGTTGGAGCCGTTTCCGAGATTCAGATTATATACATATATATTGCTCGTTTAAAGGTATAAGATAAGATAGTATTATGTACATAGCCTTGACATTTATTTTATGTTTGAGGTCACCGAGTTTCGAATACGGCACTCGGCAATTCTCGTTGATGGAAAACGTATTGCACCGCATTCGTAATTGAATTAGGGTTACTGCTATCATGAGATAGAATGTTTTGTATATTGCCAAATTTGTATGTTGATTTTTTGTATATTTTGCCGAAAACATCAGACAGGCGAAAGTAGCTTGAGGTGACTCCAGTTACCGTTCTCGTCGAATCCGTCGCTTGCGAAGAAGGGGTCGGCGTGTAAATTAGCCCATAGACACAGCCCACTGAGTCACCGGATCTTCTCAGTGGGTCCCGTTTCCGATCCGTTGGTAGATTCTACGAAGCACTGCTCTTACTAGGGCTAGTGCTAGCAACGTTCTCAGGCTAGACCCCCAAGAGCTCACCTACTCCCTCGGTTACACTAGTATAGCCTCTAAAGACTACCATCAGCTTAGGTAGGTTTTTTTTTTCTGAGGTGGTATTAGTATAAGACAGTAACGACTGCACAGATAACAAAATAGGTTTAAATCAGACGAACACACACATTTTTAACGCGCGGAGTGAATTGTCTAGGGATCTAATGAATCCCATAGACATCATGATGGGAGTACCACCACCCACCTTTAGAGACGGGTCGGACATCTGAATTTTTTTAGGAAATTGCTCTTTAGTGTTTTTTTTTCTATTTACCTGCAACTAATGTCAACAAAAAATACTATCATGTTGTTTTGATATTTATTTATTAATTCAACATGTGGATAAATATTCATTAATATTCTATTAAAATTTGTTACAAGATTATTGAAGACGTCTGTTTCATTACATGGTTGTTCCTGGAGAAAATTTGCGTCTATTGATACTTACTATTGGTCCAAAACGACAATATGACCTTGGTATGCTGGTGACGAGTGATGGTTGCGTTTAAAAAGAACTCCTGATGTAGCACCAAAGATAAAAATAATATTTAACAATCGTACTTGATATTGTGGACCAAAGGCGTCTCTTGCCCATGTAAATAGCGCCCGTGTGTAATCATTACCCTAGTGCCTCTGGTAAGCGCGCTGTAAAAATGGAATAGGCACAAATGTAACAGTTTCATTGAAAGTGCCGAAGCTAGCGCCGCCGATCCGGTAGTAGATTCACTCTTCAGTTGTTAGGTCTCCTCCGGAGCCGTAACTGGCAACGTTTACATAATCCTACCCCTCCTGGTTGAGCCTTATATCACCTGTCCTGAAAAGGCCTTTGGGCCACCAGTTATCCTTGAATCATTAAAAAGCGGGTGCTGACTGACTATGTTGTATTCGTGCACAGCGAATACCCCGCACCATAGTCGCCTCTGTCATGCCGGAACCACACTGCGCTGTCCGCTATTCGTTATGCGAGCTATTCACGCGCATACGGTGAAGTGCGGAGAGTATATTCGCCAATATTCGCTTTATTCGTACGCATAACACATAAGGGCGAATAGCAAATACGCGTATCCGTCGACTTGTCGGTTTTTTGTCACACTTCAAAGGACACGAATAAGGCGAATATGCGCATCGACTGCCCACACTTTGGTGAATCATTCGCTCGCTTGCGGCGGTCGTGTATCGAGGTGTCTTATGACTTGCAATCAATCATCCACCAGCGTTTTCTTTTCGGTCTTTTAGTAACTTAGTGTTTGTACAACAAGTACTGGTAAGAAGCATTTAGGAAATAATAAATTGCGGCAACTCTCAACACGTCCCATCGCTCCACGCAAACAACACACATATTTCCCTTATTTGGCATAATTCAACGTACAAGTTCGAAGTGTGGATGGCATGATTGTTGTTTGCGCGCATAACAAATATTTTGGCGAATACGGCGTAGTCACTTAACGAATAGTGCATAACGCAGTGTGGTTCCAGCATTACGGACAGCCCTATAGAGACGAAATGGCGTTTACACACGAAGTTAGCAACAAACCGAAGCCGTTACACTCCATAATAGCTACGACACTGTGGTTTAAAGTTATCAGCGTATTTTTATCTATTGTATGAATGTTACTTTAGGGATTGCGAATGAAAATTTTATATTTATAATCAAGGACAGCGAGTTAATGACACCCAAGCTGTTGTGTTGTGAAGCGGCATAAATTGGCGTGACGTCATTATTTGTTTGTTATTGTTTGACCGGTATAGGGTAAAAGTAATATACATACATATATGTATGTAAGTGTAATAATATGTTGTTCCCTCACAACAAATGACTGTAGAATGTGCTAGTTGTGGTACCTATTTAGACATTTTGAACGTCTTTGTGTTAAGATATAAGGGCGGTCATAGGACGGCATTGTCATTAGATTATTCGTGGGAGTGACACGTACCACCACGTTTGGTTAAATCTAAATTATGTTCGTTTAATAATAATGTTGTAGTACGTAGTATGTTCATAGATGAAAAACGGTGGTATATGATGACGAACGAACAAATTTTTTTCCAGATTTCATCTGGGCTACATACAATGGATAGATAAAACAGACAATGTATTGGGCGGTATCCATAGATAATACACATACATATTAAGTTATATCGGAGCCATTGTACATTGTACCTGAAAAATAAAAAGTCCTTGGACTTTCGCGTGTCATATGTATAATTAAAACTTAATTTACTTTTAAATTTGGCGTTTTCTATTGTCATTATAATTCGACAGGTGAAAGGCTATTTGATTTAAACGACATTTCGCTTAAAACGCGACATTTATTTTTGTAATTAAAGGTGCATTTTATTTTGTATTAGCATCAACATTTCGATGTTTTTAATTGAACTTCAATTAAGTTTACTCAATTCAAATAGCTGAGTAGGTAGGTAATTTTGTTATGATATATTTTTCAAATTTTAAAATGTATTTAAATGTCTCTCTCGTGTAAGTACATACACGCCGACTTCCTCTTTGCAGTCATATCTATCTATCAGTTGGGAGTGTGAGAACATCAATAATATAAAAATTAAAAAAAATCGAGCTCATATCTCAAAACGATATTCATGTTGCAACGCCTGTTCTCAGAGAAGTACATCACACCAAGTAATAATCATTTATCAATTTAGAGCTTTGGTCCAAATTTGGAGTGGATCCAAATTAACGCCTTCTATCGGCTGTGACCTAAGCTTTAGCGAGGGGCAGTCTCACATGACCCCACTTACCTCTACGGTGCTGGCATCTCGTAGAAATTCCAGGGACCCCAACCAAAAAAGAACAAGGGAGGACGGATTTGGAATTGGCGGGGGATTAGTGTCGATGAGATTATTTAAAAAAACAAACAACCTGCAAGATTTTGTTGTTGCTGCTGGTAATGCAATTGCACTTATATCTCAAGGTGGGTGGCGCAGTTACGTTGTGGATGTCTATGGGCTCCAGTAACCATTTAACACCAGGTGGGCTGTGAGCTCGACCATGAACTTCAGCAATGCCAGGAGCAGAGCCAAGCCGCTGCCTACCGCTTAATACTCTCCACAAGCCTCGTTTGAAGAAGGACATGTCAGAGCGCTCGGGAAACACCGTGGAGGGGAGCTCATTCCATAGCCGGATGGTACGTGGCAAAAAAGACCTCTGGAAACGCACTGTGGATGACCGCAGTGGCTCCAGGTAGTATGGATGAACTCTACTCCGGTGGCGGGCGGTGCGATGGTAAAAACGAGATGCCGGTATCATTTCAAACAATTCCTCAGAGCACTCCCCATGGAACATACGGTACAAAATACAGAGGGAACCGAAGTCCCTCCGCAGACCCAGAGGTTCCAAACGATCCGTGAGAATGGGATTATCGACAATCCGAACGGCCCTCCTCTGTATGGAGTCAAATAGAAGAAGCTGGTATTTGTGAGCCCCGGCCCAGAGATGGGAGCAGTACTCCACGCGAGGCCGGACTTGTGCTTTATAAAGCAAAAGTCTTTGTCCAAGCGTGAAGTACCGCTTCGCTCTGTTGAGGACTCCCAGCAGTCAGACGTATTCCTTTTGAACAAAAGCCAATCCCGCAAATTATAAAAATCAAAAGTGTAGACTGAAATTTATTTCGACCCGTAAATCTCAAACGACCTTTTTTATAGAAATATTTATTTATTCTTCCGAAAATAGCGTAAATATTTATGAATGGGCGGTAAAAAATTAAAGAGCCTCCAATTAAATTTTAGTTTCAGATTTTACTTCGATTATCTAGAACATTCCGAACTCTGTACCTACCGTGGGTATGAGGATATCTTTAAAAAAAAAAAACAGGTAACAGAAAAAAATGCATTTATTTCTTGAACATTTTAAATGTTGTCAAGTAAATCATTTCTAAAGTATAAAATCATTTAAAATACACACAAGTAAAACAAAATAAATGCACCACAAGTACCTAAATTTAAATTTAAAATACAAAAATACTATGAAATTTTAATTTTATTTCAAATTTTATTAATAAAAAATTAATTCAATCTAAACCTAATCCAACAATAATAAGATTTAAAAAAAACAATCAATAACCTATACATAGATAACATAATTTAATTTGGCCAAATAAAAACAATTGGACGGAAACCTGTTTGACATTACCCTCACCGTAACTTTTTTCTGTAAAATACAGAGTAGAGACGACTCATCCCATACTTTAGAATGGTTCTCTTATTTAAAAAAACAAATGGCTCATATATCTTCAATATCAGAGACTCAATCTCATCACGTCACATCTTTTTTTTGAATTTATTGTTTAGACAAGTGGACGAGCTCACAGTTCACTTGGAATTAAGTGGTTACTGGAGCCCATAGACATCTACGACGTGAATACCGCCACCCACTTCGAGATATGAGTTCTAAGATCTCAGTATAGTTACAACGGCTGCTCTACCTTTCAAACCGAAACGCATTACTGCTTCACGGCAGAAATAGGCAGGGCGGTGGTACCTACCCGCGCGGACCCTACCACCAGTATAAAATCTTGGACATTTCCCTTATGCGACAGTATTGTTTGCGATCTACGCATACATCTTCTTCAAGTCCTTCCTCAGTATCTTCCCGGAGGCTGTCTTTGGTATAGCATCAACAAAAGCCACCTCCTCTATCTGCTTGTACACGGCCACTTTGCTAGCAACGTGGGCTTGTAGCTCTTTCTCCGAAATGTCGTGACCGTTTTTACGGATGACGAACGCTTTAGGCGTTTCGCCGTAGAACTCATGTGGGACTCCTATGACGGCGGCGTCGGCCACGGCCGGGTGAGAGCGGAGGAGACTCTCCAGCTCGGCGGGGGCTACCTGCATACCCTTCACCTGCAAGTTTTGTAGTACCAGAATATCGTCAGTGACAGTTTTTTTTTAAATCTTTTGAAATTTTAATAACATTCCGCTGTACTGTTTGTTCACTGGGGTTCAAATGGTCTCACCATTTTATTTATTCCTCCTCTAAATTAATTGGGATATTTTTTTAGATTCTTTATTTTTTATTGCTTAAATGTGTGGACGAACTCACAATTCAGATGGTTTTTTTATTGCACTTGTAGGCAGACGAGCACACGGACCACCTGATGGTGAGTCGTTACCGTCGCCCATGGACTTCAGCAATGCCAGAGGCAGAGCCAAGCCGCTGCCTACCGTAAAACCATTGAAAACTTTTTTATTGCTTAGGTTAGTGGACGTGCTCACGACCCACCTGATGTTAAGTGGTTACCGGACCGCATAGACATCTACAACTCCAGAGTTCGTCCACCCGACTAAGCAATAAAAAAAAAAAACTTCTATCCGTACTAATATGCCTTTTTAGGGTTCCGGTCCTTAAATAAAAAAAATTAAATCGTTATAAGGTCGCTTTGTTGTCAGCCTGTCCGAAACTAAAGACCGTTTTTCTTAGGAACGCGGGTAGTCGTACGTTTTTGAAATTTATTTTACCTTAATGAGTTCCTTTATACGGTCGGTGATGAACAGACCAACGCCCGGCTTATAATATCCGAGATCACCGGTCTTGAAATATCCGTCTTCCGTGATTGTATCCTTAGTCGCAGCAGGGTTCTTGTGATAGCCCTTCATCACTGTAGGACTCTTCATGTACATTTCGCCTTGCTGAAACGGGAATTTAAAATGAAAACTTCAATTTCAATTGCGGTTGGAACAACAGCTTCACGGGAGCAATAGGTAATGTTCTGAATACGATCTGGGATCTGTTAATATGAAAATTATCACAAAGAAAAACAAGGAGGTAAAAAGATAAGAAGTAATTGTTGTGGCTATCATAAATACCGACATAAGCCCTAACGACATTTAAAAGATAAGCCTACATGTCTAAAAGTTCCGAATAACAAAATTTTGAACGTTTTAGTTAACCAAATAACAACATTATTCCCTCTGTCTCTAGATCCTTATAAATCTCAAGGCAATGGCAAGCAAGACATCACACATTTCATCTATTTAATTTAATTAAACTAATAAAGAGCATATCCGAGATAACTGATTTGGTTAATTTGTGATACAAATACCCACTACTTTATGAAAACCGATTTTCACCATTCATCGAAAAACTATCGGTTTATAGACTCTCCTGTATTAAGTAGTGACTATTCTTATAACTTAAACTTAATATTTGCTGCATACACAAAGAGCCATCAATTTCGATTTTTAAAACCTCTGCGTTTTCGACGCTCCAAAATAATATAGTATAGCTCGTTATTTTGCAGATTCGTTGGCCTACCACCGATCCTGTTCGCAAATGCGTCACTTTAGAATTGTGACAATTTTTACATCCTAAGTCAGAGTTTAACAATTTAACTTCAATATTTATTTATTATATAACTAGCTGACCCGGTAGACTTCGTTGTGCCTCAATCGATAAATAAAAGACCTAAACTTTTGTATAAAATAAACATAAAACAAACAAAAGGAATCCGTCCGACGTCAAAGGAAAAACAAAATTGTTATTTTTATTTAATTCCGAGCATATTCATATTTATCTACCTTTTAAACCTTCTCTGGACTTCCACAAATAATTCAAGACTAAAATTAGCCAAATTGGTCCAGCCGTTCTCGAGTTTTAGCGAGACTAACGAACAGCAATTCATTTTTATATATATAGAAGATAGAAGAAGAAGATGACACAGAGCATGCTGATATAACACGTTATCAGCCAGCGTAAATGCCGAATAGCGTAGTCAATTCTGTAGTTTGACGAAACTTTGTAAACTTATGTAATTTTGGGAACGGCTTATAGAAAAGTCCTTTAGTTCTAGTTAAGAAGGAATGTGGTGGACATGTTTTATTGGCGGATAGTGTAGTGATTACACGGAAACCTGCAGTAGAAAACCACATTATACAATACAATAGCTAGCCATTTAGATGCTTGTAAAATAATCATTAGGTGCCTTATTTAAAATAGATCAAAAATCCATTATCTAGCATAGGAACATTCAATGGGCAATATCATTGTTGTTCTTATGTTCTAACTCTTCAAAGTGATACTTTTAAAATGTCAAATCTCTTATGGATCACGATATTTTGTCTTCTTCTGCACTTAGTTATAATGGATTTTCCTGGAACGAGTTCGGACCCAAATAAATATGTAAGTTTGATGAATGATAATCGAATACTGGCTTACTAGCGGTAGGACCTCTTGTGGGTCCGCACGGGTAGGTACCACGGCCCTGCCTATTTCTGACGTGAAGCAGTAATGCGTTTCGGTTTGAAGGATGGAGCAGCCGTTGTAACTTGAGACCTTAGAACTTATATCTCAAGGTGGGTGGCGCATTTACGTTAAAGATGTCTATGGGCTCTCCAGTAACCACTTAACGTCAGGTGGGCTGTGAGCTCGTCCACCCATCTAAGCAATGAAAAATTGTGGCTCAATAACTTAAAGGCCGATGTTAATTTTGTTGCTTCTCCGAAAGTTTTGGACTCATAGTTAAAATTACTGGAGCTGTTTGGAAATCCAGATGCTCGATCCCATTCAAGACTTTAAAAGCTATTCCCATATATTTATCAACAAAATAGTATACAGATTGTTGACTATACACGTTGATATATATTTATCGGATTTGGAATCATGATATAGGATCTTGATCTCTTAGTTCTAGAACTGTGTCAGGTAATCGTGTGAAATTAATTTTATTTTATTCATAGGATCTCAGCCTCTAAAACTATATATATTATTAAAAAGACATTGAATATTCAACGAAATCTTTGTCAAAAAAAATATGTAACAAGTATCGCAATACGTTAGATTTCTTTGAATCTTCACTCGGAAGCTTAAATAATTGATAGCTGACATTAATACTTACAAAAAAATAATAATTGAAAAATAGACCGCCTTCCACCATTTTTTACAACTTCGTGGGTGGTGTTCTTACGTGTAGCTTCTGTTTGCGCACGTTTAAGAACAAGATAGGCTAGTGTAGCCATATTAGAGCGCATGAGAGGCGCGGACATTAGCTTTTAAGTTATTAAACGGAAAATTTTGGTCGCCGTGGTTTTTTTTTTTGTTTTATTGCTTAGATTTGTGGACGAGCTCACAGCCCACCTGGTGTTAAGTGGTTACTGGAGCCCATAGACATCTACAACGTAAATGCGCCACACACCTTGAGATATAGTTCTAAGGTCTCAGTATAGTCACAACGGCTGCCCCACCCTTCAAACCGAAACGCATTACTGCTTCACGGCAGAAATAGGCGGGGCGGTGGTACCTACCCGTGCGGACTCACAAGAGGTCCTACCACCAAACCGGTCGAAACCGGCTTGGAACCATGATGATCGAAATTCAGCTAATTTCTTACGAAGTATTTCAGTTTCAAAAAACACAACGTACGCAGCTACCTAACTATATATCAAAAAGTCCTGTGCGTGTCTTTACATAGTAATTTCATTCTCTCTATTGCATCAGGGTCCTTATATCGTGCAATTGAAAAATTACGAGCCGTGTCGAGGATCGAAATCAAAGAACTTGACCTCTCAAAACGTGAAGATTATATCAGATAACAATATCTGCAAGTTGTTTATTAACGTCACTTGTTTTGTTGCGACGCGTATCAACGAGGTAAGATTATCTATATTACATTGGAATTAGAATGCCTATATATTTTGGCTTAGCCTTATCTTAATCTAATGCTTTAGTTCTGCAAACAGTTGAGAAAAATCGGTCGTATAAACCAATCTATAAGTGGGGGCTTAATTAATTGACCTTGTAATCTATAAAAGCGATTCACTGAAGTCCTTTTTACTAGCATTTGTGGGTAGGAAGGTTAAAACTCCATCTGGTTTTAAGCGACTAATTATAGCCACAGATGACATAATATGAATAACCCTGCTCATCGTAAGAGAAGAGGTAGAAGTATCAGTTGCATCAGAACAATTTGAACTTTTCCCAATCTAAACTCCCGCTCTTAATCCACCCAACCCTATCTCAAGGTTTAAGTGGGTTAATAAGAAAATGATTAATTATAGTGACCGCGGCGAGGATACCATTGCTGTACCCTCTGGTAAGATCTAAAAATAAATAAACGAAGAAATAACCGTGTTCCCATTTTAACCACTTTGAATGTACAGGATTATGGATTTGGCACCATTAAAAGCACACGGTTTAAAACGGGTTAATTTATCCAAATTCTGTATACAGGATAGTGGGAACACTCTACTTCTTGAATCCTGTCTAAACTTTAAAAGTTAAGCAATACCTTTAGTAAAATTATTGTACAAGTTAAGGTGCATCGTCCCAAAATTATCACCGAACTTTTCAAACTAGAGTAGCGGTCTTCGAGTTTAATTATTTTAAATGAAAATCATTACAATTCGCATTCATAGTGCCTTAATTTATACAGATAAAGATACAGGTATACCTCGTGAAAAATGATCAGGGCAAAAAGAATTTAGTGTGGAACTTTAAATTGGACAATCCCTGTCAGCACTTCGCGTTCGGCGACATACTGCAGAACAGTTTTGGAGCAACGAATTGTTATTTAAAAAAAGTGAGTGCATGATGATCATGATATCATGAAGCTCTATGGATATTTTATATTAGGAACAATTTTAGTTTTCTGCAATTTACGATTTTATGACGGATCACTCACTAAATTCATCCGAGATACTTTAAATGAAGTCCCTATTACTAAGGCCAGTAGGTATTTCAACGGTGTAAGAGGATAAGAGGCAATGATGCCGAGTAGTTTCGGATAATAAATTGTAGATACCTATTATGTTCCTACTCGTATGTTTTTTTAAGGTCCTAAGGCCCGGCGGTTGGGCAGAGGACTTAATTTATATCTGACTTAGGATATACCTCGATCGGTCTTGGGCTAGCTGCTTTACTTTGACCCATTAGCTTCATCTCTGCTACCACAGTGCGCTGCAAAGTCTGCTTGGAACCCCTATGGCAAATGGAATGTAGGTCACATTCCATTTGCCATAGGGGTTCAGTAAAGCTTACCTCGTGATTAGTGCGGTTTCTCTTGAGTCTATCCATCTCCGTTTAGGACACATGAACTCACTTGTCAATTGTGATCTCTCAACACACCTCCCACAGGCGTCCGTTGAAGATCTTCTCAGGCCATATATCTAGTACTTTCGATACGTAGGTATACGGATACGTACGATATCTTAAGATATGAAATTATTTCTGTTTATACACTGAACGTTACTCTCTCTATGATATTCAATTCTACGTAATTCCACATAATTTTATTTTACCTACCTTATTTTTACAGTCACACTTATAATTAATAAAAGAATACATGTTTTTCAGGAAAACTATCACAGCGCCATAAACCTCAAGGAGATGATAGATAAATTTTTTGGTAACTCCTTCTTTTACGGCGAATTCCAAGTTAAGACGATGTTTTTGGCTCGCGAAGGGAACTTGGGCTGTTTCAGCTTACAATACGAATTCAAAAAGAAAGAAAATTAAAATGTTTTTTATGCTACTATCTATTATAAATTTGTTTAAATGTTAAATGTGTGTAAATTCTTTATCCAACCGTCCTTAAGTGAACTGAACGAAGAATTGTTTTGAATGCACTTTCAGACACCGAATCGAAACTGTTAAATATTTCATCGAAGTGATTTCTATTGAATTGTGTAATTTATAATCTAAATATGCTATCCAATTAACGAATAAAATTAACACTTGCTCCATTGTACGAATCATTTCAGCAGCGAATCCTAAGAAAGAAGAAGAAAGTGGTTCGATTTTTTCCTGATTATTAAATGATTACCGGAACGTATTATTAATATTATTTATACACGATATTTATCTTTGTAATTAAAGATGCGTTTATTTATTACTAGCATCAACAGTTCGATGTTTTTAACCTAACTTCAATTAAGTTTACCGCATTAAAACAGTTGAACAAGTTTGTTTGCTAAGATATTTTTTCCAAATTTTAAACTTTAAACGGCTTCGCTGTAAAGTTGTGAAAAAATGTCGCTCATAACAGTCTTTCGCCCCTCGATATGATTACTTATGTTTTAAAATTGCTAATTACTAATATAACTACACTAATGTAACTTTGTGCCAAGTGTCAAGTCAATCGGATGCATGGTTCAGTAGTTATAATGGAACATCCGTAAAAACCAATGCAAATTTATATATTAGTATAGATTCATGTGAACTCACTTCGCCGATCGGTATAGGTTCACCAGTTACAGGGTCAGCGAATTTCAGCTTGAAATTGACCATGGGCATTCCACACGCAGAGTAGTCTACATTAGTGGAGCCTTTGAAGGTCGACGTGCCCAGTGACGTTGTTTCTGTAGCTCCGAAACCTTGATTGAATTCTATGTTTTTCTGGAATTTTAAAAGAAAACATTGAGAAAACATAAGCTTAATGCAATCTATACTTAGTCTGGCCATAAATACTGTTACAATTAAAAATAAACAAAATATTACATTTGAATTTGGAATCTGTCATTTTTATATGATTGCTCATTGAGTTTTCTCATTTTGGCGCCAATACATTGTACAATATTTTGCGATATTAAAATGGAGTGGGGTGATAAAGAGAACCGAATCGCTGTGATTGCATTACACAAAGTAGGTACGGAGCCAAATGCAATTTTTAAACCTCTCCATACGCTTGGTATTAGTAAAATGTTTGTGTACCGGGCTATTAATAGGTGCAATGAGACCTCCTCTGTTTTTGACAGAAAAAGATCTGGCAGTCCACGTAGTGTTCGTACGAAAAACGTGGTCAAAGCAGTCAAGCAGAATTCGAAGAAATCCTGTCCGAAAGCAAAAGATTTTATCTCGGGTGATGAAGATAGCACCTAGAACCATGTCGCGTATTTTAAAAGATGACTTAGGACTTGCAGCCTATAAGAGACGTACTGGTCATTTCTTAACTGATAATTTAAAAGAGAATAGGGTGGTAAAATCGAAACAACTACTGAAGCGGTACGCAAAGGGAGATCATAGAAATTTTTTGTTTCCGTATGAGAAAATTTTGACAATTGAGCAACATTTTAACAAACAAAATGACAGTATTTATGCTCAACGCTCTAAGGAAGCTTCCCAATTAGTCGACAGAGTGCAACGTGGGCACTATCCGACTTCAGTGATGGTTTGGTGGGGTTTTAGCTATCAAGGAGTGATTGAGCCATACTTTTGTGAAAAAGGTATCAAAACATCGGCACAAGTGTATCAAGATACCATTCTTGAGAAGGTAGTGAAGCCCTTTAACAGCACCATGTTTAATAATCAAGAATGGTCCTTCCAGCAAGACTCGGCGCCAGGTCATAAAGCTCGGTCTACGCAGTCTTGGTTAGAAACGAACGTTTCGAACTTCATCAGAGCTGAAGACTGGCCGTCGTCTAGTCCTGATCTTAATCCGCTGGATTATGATTTATGGTCAGTTTTAGAGAGTACAGCTTGCTCTAAATGCCATGATAATTTGGAGTCCCTAAAACAATCCGTACGATTGGCAGTGAAAATTATTCCCATGGAAAGAGTGCGTGCTGCTATTGATAACTTGCCTCAAAGTTTAAAGGGCTGTATTGCAGCCAATGGAGACCACTTCCAATAAGCTTTTTATACTTTAAATTGTTTTTTAATTATGTATTAAACTAACACACTCTAAAAGTAATATATGTTATTTGCAATAGATTTTTTTTATTTTTAATTGATCAGTATTTATGGCCAGACTAAGTATATATAAAAATGAAGTGCTGTTTGTTAGTCTCGCTAAAACTCGAGAACGGCCTCTACCGATTTGGCTAATTTTGGTCGTGAAATTAAATAGAAAATAACAATTTTTTTTTCTCTTTGATGTGTCCCCCGTCGGACGGATTCCTTTTGTTTGTTTTAAATTTATTTTATACAAAAGTTTAGGTCTTTTATTTATTGATTGAGGCACTACGAAGTTGCCGGGTCAGCTAGTTTAATTTAATTCACTAGCAAGAACACAAGAGAACACAGAAGCTGAAGCTTATTACCGGTAGTAGGACCTCTTGTGAGTCCGCACAGGTAGGTACCACCACCCTGCCTATTTCTGCCGTGAAGCAGTAATGTGTTTCGGTTTGAAGGGTGGGGCAGCCGTTGTAACTATACTGAGACCTCAGAACTCATATTTCAAGGTAGGTGTCGGCACTTACGCTGTAGATGTCTATGGGCTCAGGTAACCACTTAACATCGGGTGGGCCGTGAGCTCGTCCATCAACCGAAGCAATAAAAAAAGCTTTCAATGTTTTAATTAGCTTTATGTGTGATTAATCGATTAGCGAAGTGTTTTAAATAAACAAAAATAATCCATTCGGAATTTCAAAAAAACCACATGAATGTTGAAAAGAGATCCACAAAAATTACAATTATTGGTCAAATTGGAACATTGATACATTTTTTGATGACTAAATTTTATGAAATTATTCGGTCCATAAATATAGGTGAGTTAGTTTTGAGATTAAATAAATTAATTTAGTTCATGGCAATAAGCACAAATATAATTTAGACTGGTTACGCATTAAATCTGGCAATACTCACTTTACTCTTTTCCAATATGGCGTCGACATCTGAAGCCGCCAACGGCGCGGCCCCACAGATTATATTACGAACATTGCGGAAATGTTCTGCCTGTACATCTGGATGCTTACCCAACAATATCGCTGAAAACAAATTAATAAGTCTTTGATTCTATGACAGAAGCAACAATACGATTTACTTAACTAAAATTAGTTAAAGTTAACCTAATGTTTCTTTAATGTTAAAATTATTGGTTAACTATTAGAAGTATAATACATTGGCGGTATTTATGAGAATTCATAAATAGGAGACACGCGCTTTTCTGCCTTAAATACGAATGGCCATTATCGCAACATATCGCACGTCACTTCAGATCCTCCTGATCCACTATCGGTGTTTTTAGGTATTCCAAACACCAGTCACCGTTATCGTCGAATTTATTGAATGCAACGAAAGGTTCGACGAGTAAATTAACTAATAGACACGGCCCACTGAGTTTCTCGCCGGATCTTCTCAGTAGATCACGATACCGATCAGGTGGTAGATTTAGCGCGGCACTGCCCTCGCTAGTGTAAGCAAATTGACCAGGTTCAGCTCAGTGAGTTCGCCTAAATGCTAAGTGAAGTTAGTATAAATCCTCGAGGCTACTAACGTGGGTAAGCAAAACAAGGAACCATTCATTCTGGCTTGAGCAGCCAAAAGTTGGTAATGCTGACGTCATGATTTTAAAAAACAACATGGCGTCAGTAGCGGCGCTTTATATAATGTAGATGTAGCCATGAAAAGGAGAAACCCCATTTTGGGCCTAAGCGTTACACGAATGGGATATGTACCAAAAAATTCGTCTTTTTTGCTTGATTAACCTATTGAAATCTTAGCTTCATTGACAATGGCCAAGTGTAGAAAATAAGTTGAATTCAATTTTTTGTTTTAAACAATCTTTGTAAACATCTGCAACACTTATTTCAATATACGTAACTAGCTCCACAAACGTGCGGATTAGAATTAGAGCATCCATAAAATAGGATCGATTTAGTGGAAATCAAGTGTAAAAAATAATTAATACTCTTTTGCTTAAGGATAAATGACTGTTTTTATAGGTATTTTAATCAATGTAAATAGAGTATGGCCATCGAATCGTGACACAACTACTTACAATGGCGGCAATTCAAAATATCTACAACCGACAACATTAAATATAGCATGAAAGGGTAGTTTTGCATTTTTATATTAATGTGACTATGCCATAGAAAAACACAAATGTATCAAATCGTGTTATGTTATCTTTAATGTTGCCAACTGAAGATATTTTGGATTTTGCCGTAAAGCAGTAATGCGTTTCAGTTTGAAGGGCGGGGCAGCCGTTGTAACTATACTGAGACCTTAGAACTTATATCTCAAGGTGGGTGGCGCATTTACGTCGTAGATGTCTATGAGCTCCAGTAACCACTTAACATCAGGTGGGCTGTGAGCTCGTCGATGGGTATCTAAGCAATAAAAAATAAAAATAAAAAAGGCATGAAATAAAATAAAATGAAATGTGATGAGATAATATGGGAGCACGTAATGATTTATATTTTATATAAAAAAGTTATCATATAAATATAGTTTTTCATATAAAAAAGTTTTCATTAAAATTAAAATAAGACTGACCTAAAGGTCTTAGTTACCAGGTCATAGAATCCCTTAAAAAATCATTTCGTGCGCAGCGCGTTTCGCTTACGTTGTTTTTAATTTTTGGCTTTCGTTCGTTTTCGTAAACAACCTAACGCGCGATTTCTCGTAACAGGTTCCATTTTTATTTTAAAGCAACCTATTACAGCAATAGGTTTCGTAAAAAATTACTCATCTTTAGTAGGAAACAGCCTCAAAAATATCGTTTTTATTAAAATATCTCGAACAATAAACATAACCTAAAATGTAAACATTGTCTGATTTTACCAATTTGGCCATTGCTGGGAGACCTGAAAATTGGGCTCATGAAACCTTCTTAGGTATTGTAACTTATGCCCAAATTTTAGCACTGTAACGCCAGGCCCAAGTTTGTATGGATTTCGGGTTTGTCCTTTAAAGCAATTCATAGCGCAGTGGTACAAAAAATAATACCTGTATATAATTACATCTGTAAAAGCAGTGAGCTAGAGTTAAACTACTCACCTACAGGAGGCACTATGTATAGTAAGCTAACATCTTGGTTCTTCAGTACATCGAAAAAGAGATTCGCCGAAAACTTTGACATTGTGACCAGTTTGCAGCCTTTAGACAAATGCCCCATTAGACTTATCACGAGGCCATATATGTGAATGAAAGGGAGGATACATGGAACAATGTCTTGATTTGATAACCCTGAAAGTTTGAGGTTAATGATTAGATTTTGGTCTATCGATCTTAGATAGTCGCATATGGTCTTTGAGTGGAGTGAGATCCTTGTAGTTCTAATATTAAACGCCGGATAATTTCTAATATTTACTTTAGTAAATTCTAACAAACAAAAGATAAAATTGTCAAAAACGTACAGTTTATCTAATATATAAAATTCTCGTGTCACAGTTTTCGTTGCCATACTCCTCCGAAACGGCTTGACCGATTTTGATGAAATTTTTTGTGCTTATCCAGTATCTATGAGAATCAGCCAACATCTATTTTTCATCCCCCTAAATGTTAGGGGTAGTCCACCCCTAAATTTTTTTATTTATTTTTTAGACAAAATTTTTATATTCTATTTTTTTATGATACAACATACAAAAATACATACAATCCTCAAATTTCACCCTTCTACGATCAACCCTTATTTTTTATTTGCTAATTAAAAACTAAATTTTTTTGCAAGAATTTTGTTTTTATTTTGTCATGACTTAGAATAAAAAAAATCATATTACTCTGAAATTTTCACCCCTCTACGATCAACCCCTATTTTTTATTTGTTAATTATAAATTTTAAATTTTTTGGCAAGATTTTATTTTTTATTTTGTCATGACTTAAAATAAAAAATATATATATTACTCTCAATTTTCACTCTTATACGATCAACCCCTATTTTTCCATCCCGATTTTTATTTGTTTTATTCTATGCACAGATCCGCAATAAGGTTGCAAGATGGCAATCAAATATTATAATTGTAGTACGATAAATTCTTATTCAGAGTTTATAATTTCAAGTTCCTTTAATTATGATTTTTTTTTAAATTCAATCGATCTGTTATCCCCGCCAGGTGTCGCCACTCATCCAGCAAACATCACGTAGTAGGGATGAGGACGAAGCCGGTCTCCTGTCTTACTCACTATACATTTTTCAGCCATGTTTCTTTGGTTTTATTTGTGTATCAATCGTAGCTTGCCAGCCATGTTTTTTTGGTTTTATTTGTGTATCAATAGTATGTTCAGTAGGTCTGAGAATCGGCTACTATCTATATTTCATACCCCTAAGTGATAAGGGCTGTCCACCCCAAACATTTTTTATTTTTTATTTTTTTTCTTGGTTATAATGAGGTATAGTCCCCGGCACGTAACTTGGCAAGAGTCGCTAGATGCGCAGAAGTCGTTTTTTAGGTCTCTTTGGTTGTCAAGCGGGACGCGGGGAAAGACGTAGCACCGTTCCGAGCGCGCGATTGGTAAGTCAGTCGACCCTCCCCTCCCGCACCGCGTCCACGTTCCGTTCGCTCCCAGTTACACATGCGCCTACTAAAGTTGTAGGAACCCTTTGTTTATATTGAGTTTTTGTTACGAGTTGTTATTACTGTTTTAAATTTAGTTTTTGTTACGAGTGTTATTCTTTTAAATTTGCTTGCAATGGCAGGACCAAATACCAATGACCATAATTATAGTCGATTCAGTCACTGAGCGTTTTATTATTTACGCCAGTGACGACAGCGAATCTTCGTTATGTCGACGATGAGGAGCCAACTCCTTCCACCAGCTCAGGTGCTACCATAAATTTAATCCAAGGGGTAGCACTATTAGAAAATGATAGTGACGAGGGCGACACATAATTTTTAATATTAAGTATATTTTTTTAAATAAAATTTTTAACTTTTAATTGTATTTTATTTATAACACCTAATACACTTCACGAATTCCTCTCTTTTCTTTAACTTTCTTCTAAACACACAGGCTTAAAAATAAAATTTGGCAAATAAAAAATTTAATAAAATAAAATTAACATATATGCGGGCAATAAAAGTGACCATTTTTTTGTTGCAATGTACACTATGCGCGACATTACCCCCACTACGCCAAAACCTTGCCAACTTACGTGCCGCTTACTATATTATGTGGTTGAATGAGTCTTATTTAAGGCAACACAACGTTTGCCGGGTCAGCTAGTTTATTTTATATTCCTTTGTTCATTAGTTACCACGCTATTTATCTTAACAGAGGAGATTGTTAAGTTTGGAGAGTTAAACTTGTCTGATATATTCATAATGGAAGATTTGTGAACAATTAAGGTCAAGAACAATTAGCAAACTACGCTAAAGGAATCGCTTCACAAACGTCATGTAAGGGAAGCTGTCATTGAAAAAAAACAAATACCATATTCACAAGAAAAATCACAGGACTATCATCCAGTATTGGCAAACTGTTACATTATTCTGAAGTAGAACGTAGATGTTCACGATTGACTTCCACGGTGAAGGAATAATCGTGTAATAAAAATCAAACCCGCAAAATTATAATTTGCGTAATTACTGGTGGTAGGACCGCTTGGGAGTCCGCACGGGTAGGTACCACCGCCCTGCCTATTTCTGCCGTGAAGCAGTAATGCGTTTCGGTTCGAAGGGTGGGGTAGCCGTTGTAACTATACTTGAAACCTTGGAACTTATATCTCGAGGCGGGTGGAGTCAAACGGATACTTTAGCTTATATTTTTATATATCAGTGTAAAACTCAAATGTCAGTTTTAGTTATGATCATAATTTTAATGGTTAACCTCAAACCACTTCTAATTTATTGTACGAATTTCAACACTTTTTAGACGCTCATCAATGCTGTGAATAACAATTAAAGATCTTGAAATGCGATAACTATTTAATTAATTTAAAAAAAAAAACAATAGTCTATAATTTAAAAATATATATGTTTAATAGTTTCTTAAAAATAGTTAAATCCGCAACTTATTTCGTTACTATAATTTTAATGGTGGTAGGACATTTGGAAAGGTGGGGTAGCTGTTTTGTACTTTAAAAACTGTGACCCTAGAACACATGTCTCGAGGTGTGTGGCGCATTTACGTTGTAGATGTCTATGGGCTCCAGTAACCACTTAACGCCAGGTGGACTGGGAGCTCGTCCACCCATTTAAGCAATAACAAAAAAAAAAACAAATAAGCAACTCACCTGTCGCCAACTGAGGAAAACAGTTTTCTTTCATATGCATACAGACCATTCCTGCAATAAGGTTCCTATATGTGATCTCTACACCTTTAGGCATACCCGTAGTTCCACTAGAAAAAGGTATGCACGCAACATCGTCGTCACTCTTTTCGATTTTGTCTAAAACACCGTTATCTATCTCGGCTTTTTCAGCTAGTTCGGAATATCTGATTGTGCCGCTAGGTATCGGTGAGCTTTGATCGTCGATCAGGACTATTTTGGCATCGCTTTTAGCGAATTTCAAAGCTTTCATCACGTTATCGTAGCATTCGGCAGCCGTGATGAACAGTTTCGGTTCAGTTATTGCCACTTGATGACCGATGTCCGCTGTAAGAGGTAAAATTATTTATAAATGTCCATTAGTATTAGAGATTGTTGAACTTTAATTTGATGGACTGGTTTTAGCGAATATTATCCCACAGACGATAAAATAAGACAAATAAATGTCCGTCAGTATTAGAGATTGTTGAATTTTAATTTGATGGACTGCTTTTAGCGAATATAATCGCACAGACGATAAAATAAGACAAAAACAACATTTTTGTCCATTGTTCTCTATGTGAGAACCTTCTAAGAAATAAATAAAATATAAGTTTTACATTTCGCAATTACAATGATATGTAAAATAGTGTATCTCATTATTTAAATACAATTCAAAGATATTTTGAACAAATAACATTTAAATATAGCAACACTTTAAAATTAAATTTCTCTTAAATCTGGTTTTCTTAAAAATCCCTATTTACTTGCATTACCTAATGCAAAACATACCATCCTTACATCTTTCAAAGCAATCTAAAAGGTGATAAGATATTATTCGCTGCAAATAAACTGTTAGGTGTAATAATTATCAATACCGCCTTTTATGACTAACACGATACCGATAACATTTACTATGAAAAACACATTGATACAAAGTAAAAAGATAAGTAAATACCAAGTTCTCTTATTTGTCATCAAATATGTATGTAATTACTAAAAGTCGTGGTAGAACTGTAACTTTGAAATTTTTTCTCCATAAATTACATAATATGACATGCTAATATTTGACTTTGCGTATCCCGTTGTGTTTCTTGCCGGATCTTCTCAGCGGGTCGCGATTACGATCCCGTAGTAGATTCACTCGCGAAGCAGCTGCTCTTGAGTTGTTAGGTCTCCTTTGGAGACACTCGGGTAGTTGTTAGCAAAACCCACCCCTCCTGGCTGAGCCCTTGCTTGCCCACCTGTCCTAGTGAAACTGGAAAGGCCACCAGTAATCCTTCAATCCCATAAAAAAATATTTGCGTATTTTAGCAAGTACTATTTGGTACAAGTACATATAGGTAGGAAAAAAAATTCAAAATCACAGGCTTATGAGTGGTGGTACAGAGCCTTCAAAAGGGATCGACATAGGATGGAAGATTTGCCTTGCTCTGATAGGCCACCAATGCTTGCAACTAAAGTTAACATCGAAAAGTGAAGGAAATAGTAACTGAAAATCCCCGTTCAAGTTTAAGAGAGATAGTCGTTGAACTTTCTATGTCTCACAAGTCGAACCATAGTATTAAATAATCACTTTGGCATGAAATATGTTGCCGGTCGGCTATCCCCAAAAGACCTGATGTTTCTCCAAAAAATTCAACCGCATAAGAGTGGCTGAGGGCATGAGTAGTACGTGTCAATCCAGACCGAACATTCACAAAACGCATTGTTACTGATAACAAGACGCGGCCACGAGCTTACAATGCAAACTTTTTTTTTAATAATTGGAAGATTACTGGTGGCCCGATGGCCTTTCCAGTTTCACCAGGACAGGTGGCCGAGCAAAGGCTCAGCCATGAGGGGTGGGATTTGCTAACAGCTGTCCGAGCGCCTGCGAAGGAGATCTAACAACTCAAGAGCAATTGCTTCGCGAATGAATCTACTACCGGATCGGAATCGCGACCCGCTGAGAAGATCCGGCGAGAAACTCAACGGGCTGATGCATGGGTTAGGTTGCACGTCGACCTCTTTGTCGAGCTCGATGAGTACGGTTACCGGGGTCCCTAAGCCTGCTCCTAGTGCTAGAGCTGAAGGCGTCTAATGCAAAGGTTATTGGATCTCATGAATCCGTAAGGACGTGTAACATGCAAACCAGTCAGCAAAAGTCAGTGACAGTTCGGAGAGACGCCTTCCAACTGAACTGAAACCGAAAAAAACACACCAAAGTCGATCAAAAGTCAAAGTCATGTTGACTGTTTTTCTTTGATTATCGCGGTGTTGTAGGTACATTCGGAATTTTTGCGGTAAGGTCAAACACTAAGTAAAGAATATTATATTTGAGCGTTATGTGGCGTAAAAGAGTGCAAATTCGACGAAAAAGGGCAGACTTGTGGAAAGAAAATTCTTGGAGTTCGCACAACGATAACGCGTCTTCGCGAAAGGCCGTCATCGTGAACGAACTTTTGACCAAAAGCTCAACAAATACCATCGAGCAGCCGCCTTATTTAGTAGTCTTCTTTTTTTTGCTAAACTCAAATTTCCACGTGTTCGTGACACCGGTTTTCATTCGGCAGGAGAGATAAAAGAGAATTCGCTGCGAGACGTGAACTCAATTCCGGGAAAACCGCTTAAAAAATGTTTTAATAATAGAATTATTATTTGGCGTTTGTGTGTTGTTTCTGAAGGCAGCAGAAGAAGGAAGCATACTTTGAAGGTACTAAAACAAATTTGGATGAATAACATTTTGGGTATTATTGACCTTTTTCTGGTATTCTCTTGACAGAATAGAATTTCAATAGATTGTGTGATGAACTCACGGTCCACAGACCAACAAGACTACAACCACTTATCTTGATAATAAGATCGAAATCTTAACTATATTGGACAGCGGCTGTTCCACTCTTCTGATCGAGGCGAGTGACTGCATGGCGGCAGAATTAGGCAGGTTACGGTCTTACAAGACTCCCTACCATCACCAAACTAAAACTTGGGATTTGTTTGAGTTTTATCATTATTAGGTATTACATTATTATTACTTTGTGGAAGTTGTTCGTGAATACGTCAAGTGAGTAGTTCAAATATTCGTTCAAATACGCCGAGTGAGCTACCAACAATATTCTATGATGAATATTGATGGTAGGTACCATCACCCTGCCTATTTCTGCCGTGAATACCATCACCCTGCCTATTTCTGCCGTGAAGCAGTAATGCGTTTCGGTTTGCAGGGTGGGGCAGCCGTTGTAACTATACTTGAGACCTTGGAACTTGTGTCTCAAGGTGAGTGGCGCATTTACGTTATAGATGTCTATGGGGTCCAGTAAAAAAAAGACTGTATAAATGTGATAGGAGATAAAGTTCTTAGGGGTTCGTTCTTTGCAAAAAGTTTCATTACTGCTCCCGAGACAATATGAGGTCGTGAAGGAGAAACGAAACTGGAAACAGCGCTTACAAGCAGAAAACAATATAGTAATTTGTATTTTTTTATTGTCTTGTAGGCAGGCAGACGAGCACCTGATGGTGAGTGGTTACCATCGCCCATGGACGTCAGCAATGCCAGGGGCAGAGCCAAGCTGCTGCCTACCGTTTTTGCAAAATTTGCAATTTAATATAAATACTCCTTATCATAGTTATTTTATAAACTGATTATCGACAGTCAATTCAAGCGATTTGAATACTAGTCTGCGTGGTTAGTTATAACAACACTTAACCAGCCCGCAACTATGTATTTACGCAGTAGTTAAAACTCCAATAAACTCCATAATGTAATCGAGTCTAAACAAACGTTTAACGAAAATTAATGTACCGAATGTTCTTTTTAAATACACTCCATTATTAAAAGTGTTCTTATTTAAACACTAAAGTAATTTATGGTATAATTTTAAAGTAATTTATGGTATAATTTTAACGTACCTACTTATATACAGTTGAATACAAAGAGACCGAGACCTATGATATCATAAAATTCATAATCTTTACCACATACAACGAAAAGTGACGAATATTACCGTATGCTTGTGAAAATTTTTTAATACGATGTAATCTGTAGATCAAAGTGCAGAATTTTTTTTTTTTTTGGCTAGTTTAGATAATGTTGAGCACTCTGGATCCAAACCAGCCTTTAGGTTAAGGTAGTTTCCATGTTAATTTAGAGTTTTTGTTTTATTATTATTATTTGATTTTTTGTTTTTATTATTATTATTATTGTTTTTGTTTTAGTCCGAGATTAGATATTATTTTTATTTAATTTTAGTATAAATGAAATGTTAATGCAATGTAATGAAGACGTGTAATATGGATATAAAATCTGAAGTAAATTAAATAAATAAATAAAATAAATAGATCAGCCTTTCCCAGCGCATGGGACTACGCCCCTACGCCGCCGCGCCGCCTCTTTCCTTAATCATCGCCGTAAAACTCGTGATCACCCTTCTTACCGAATTACCAGTAGCATATCAACTTCTGGTTTTGTCGGCCTGGTAGGCGGGTTCACCATGCTCAGCCTGAGAAACTGGTAGCATCTGACCTACCAAAGACAGTACTTCGCTCACTCTACCACCGGATAGGAATTGCGACCCACTGAGAATTGGCATTGATTATCTAAAATATTATATTAGAGTGATCCTTAAAATTAATAAGATTCTAAGACGGATATTCGGTGCTGTGCAGGAAAACGAGATATGGAGGACGCGCTATAACCACGAGTTGTATGATGTTTACAAAGATCCTAACATCATAACAACTATAAAGATTGGACGCCTACGATGGGCGGGACATGTGGTTCGAATGGAGAGTACAAGAATGCCGAGACAATTGCTCTATGGCAAACCAGAGGGCCGCAGAAGTCGTGGCAGACCCAAACTCCGATGGTTGGATGACGTGGAGCGCGACCTCAAAAATATCGGCGTCAAGAACTGGAAGGAGAAAGCCCTGAACAGAGCAGTCTGGAGAGACATACTGGACCAGGCTAAGGCCCACCCTGGGCTGTAAGGCCTAAGATGATGATGATCATTAAAATACAAGATTAACTATCATCGCGTAACATTCATTCTACGAAATTTATTTCATACAAGTAAATGGAATACACTAATCACGCAAAATTGCATAATTTTTACATGTATATTTGTGTTCATAAGTGTGTATTTTCCTGACATAGTGACAGTTACAAGACGCCATCGAAAATAGTAAGAATGTCATCAACATTGATTGATTGACTCATCAATTAAATATGCATTATAATATAATAACTTATAGCACTAATGGTCAGGTCGTGATAAAATACAAATGGAACCACAAGAGAATTAAAAAATCATCAATATCGATAAACTTAGAACAAAGTTTTGAGGTAGCACACGCATGAAAGAATACAGACAAACTGAGAACCTTCTCCTTGTTTTCGGATGAGTTGTTATAAAAAAATACATGGAAACGAGACATTCCCCGATTAAGCATTGTAATACAATATTCGGCAGAGGGCCACCCCAGCTCTAATAACAGACTATTAAACTTTTCCTGAGATTTATCGATACATCTGTTATAGAGCACAGACATCATTTACCACGATATATTGGACAATTTTTACAAGTATAAGAACATCCAGTAAAATGTTTTGCAACGAGTGCTGTTGGACGTATGTCGGTAACTCTTGGTTGCTGTTGGTTACTCGTAACTCTGTAGCGGTTCAAAGCGGCCAAATGCGTGCTGATCTAACACCTTAGCAAGAATTCAAGAGCTCACCTTCCTTGTAAAGAGGATTGACAGTTGTCAGTATACACCCAGCCTGCATTGTCCCGAAAGCAACGACAGGAAACTCGGGACAGTTCGGAAGCATTACCGCGACCACATCGCCTTGATTTAACTTCAACTTCTTCAGCAGGGAAGTGGCAAATGCTGATGTGTTTCTCTGAAGCTGTGTGTATGTGTACGTCTTCTTTGTTTCCGAACTTTCCTGGAATTGTTAGTTCTAGTTAAATTTCTTTTTTGTAATTAGCTGGGTAGCTGAGAATACATCATCTTATGATGAGTGACCGCCGTGACTCATGGACCAAATGCGACAGAGGTCATCGAGCCCTTGTCTGCAGCTGCTTGACTGTGTATTTACACGATAGAGGAGGACAAATTGATAAAATAGATCTGTCCAACGACATTGCGCGCCATGTGGCGTGATGATTCAACATTATTCAGACAGTATGGCCGGTGCACGAATTGATAGCAAAAAGTTTAGACCTAACCTTTTCGTTTTCCAGGTCCGGCCATTAAGCAGGCTGAATGCAGGCAACATTGGAGGTGGACTGTTAGCTCGTCCACACAGCTAAGCAATAAAAATAAAAAAAAGATAGCTTGTGGACCAAAAAAGTGGACCCAGGTGGTCACGACCCTCAGTAATAAGGAAGCGACAAAGAAGAAATACACGTATATTATTTTAAAAGACCGTTAATTTTCTCTATATATAGCTGAGCGGTTGACATCACCGCGTATGCCAAAAACGCAGAGTATGTAGGCACAAATTCAAAGACAAAACCCTGAATAGAAACTTGACTTCGTACAAAAACAGTGTAAAAATTACCAAAAATAGAACGGCTCTGTTTTTATCGTCTATTAGAGAAATTAGGTTTTAGACCTTCAATAGAGTACATGTTGATTCTCTTTGTTTGTCCAATTAGCGCATGAATAAATGGTCGATCGAAATTTTTAAATAACAAACGTTGTGCTACTCTCACTTTCGATAGAAAACAGTCAATGAACTTGTTTTGGGTCGAAACAGTGAATAAAAAAATTGTTTAAGTATAATAATTGTTCTAGATCATTAGAAAACGTTCAACTCGATTAGTCTCTGAGATAACAGAAGGCATACGTGGCTTGTTATTGTAAGTATACTGAGAGCTTAGAACGTATATCTCAAGGTGGGTGGCGCATTTACGTTGTAGATGTCTGTAGGCTCCAATAACCACTTAACACTAGGTGGGCTGTGAGCTCGTTCAGCCATCTAAGCAATAAAAAAGAAATTGGCTTATTGTCTCGTTAGTTAATTGGATATTGAACAAGCAGCAGCGGCAGGCGATCATATTATTTTTTCCCTACCTATTTTCTAGTAGTCTCATGTGCTATATCAGTTACACGCGGATGGGTAGGTGAGCTCACGGGGTCAACCTGAATGAATTTGCTATCACTAGCCCTAGAAAGAGCAGTGCTTTGTGCAGAATCTAGCACCCAGATTGGGGTTGGTACCCACTGAGAAAATCCGGTGTGAAACTCAGTGGTCTGTGTCTATGGAATTGAACCTAATCTAGTACCAGACTCGAGACGGATTCTCGGTCGGAGTTAGTATTTTTATTTTCTACCTTATTTCACCAAGAACTAAGCTGATATTATCTAAATCGCTATTTTGTCAAACTAATAGTTTTTCAAAGAAAATATTATTTTTTGTTGGGCCAGTATAAAATTCTGACATTTGGTAGAACTGTCAAAAAATGCAAAAAAATAATATTTTTGGACAAAACTGCAAATAAAAACAAACATCTCGATTAGTTATAGTTAGGCAAAAAATCATTGGTTTCAATTTGGACCATTACCATAATTACGGGACACCCTTTATATATGTATGTATGTTATTGCACACGGTTCTGCATTATTCTTCCACTGCGCAATCACGTGTCTCTGTCTTGGAGCAGCATCGCCGTTAGACTAATGCAACAGAGTTTTCTCTGTGTGAATAAAATTTTCATTTATTTCTTGTAACAAAAGATATGATTGTTTAGACTTACAGGTCACCAGCTGCGAGGCCAGTAGCTGAAGGTCATTAAAACATAGCGTCGTTCTAAAGTCCATGGCAGTCCATTCGGAGAATATTCGATTGTTTTAGTGTAGAAACAGATACGAAGATACAATACGTTTTTTGTCTCATGTCTCAAAGTCAGGGACGATGTAACACCGGGATTAAATGCTTATCTATCCTTCTACAATAATAATAAAATCGACTTGTCTGTTTGTTCTTTTTTACCTATGCTGATAGCCTCAAGAGGCTATGTCAGCTTCACCCTAACATGTAGGTGAGCTCACGGGGCTCAAGCCGGGAGTGCTGCTAACACTGGCCCTAGCAAGAGCAGTGCTTCGCAAAATCTACTACCAGATCGAAAACGCGACCCACTGAGAAGATCCGGCGGGAAACTCAGTGGGCTGTGTCTGTGGGCTAATTCGCTCGTCGAGCCCATCGTCGCGAAGCGACGGGTTCGACTAGGCCGATGACCGGTGCTTGTGGTACCTAAAGGCACCGTTAATGGATCAGGAGGATCCGTAATGTTTGATACTGTACTGTCTGTTATACAAAAGTCGTAAACAGTAAACAGTTAACTTCGTATAACAATTCCACAATCAAACAGTGAGGATGAAATTTCGAAGGTCAGCCACAGATACTGAAGGCCAATGACCTCAGTGATAGTCGATTACGAAAAAAATAGCCTACGTTAGGCATACATAAAGTTTATTATGTCTTAGTGTGTATAGAATTCAGCAGTAAGACCCATATTTTTGTTCGTTCTTGTAATATACCAATGAGGGAGTCCGTATCGAGTTCCTTCTGTATTTCGCGGGAAAATCGTGTTTTGGATCACTCGTAATTAACACCACAATAGGAGTTTTACTGTTGCAGCGGCTTACACAGTTTTAAGTTGTATCATTATTTTTTCGTCCCATGTCCTTTTTAAATTTTCGGCGGTAAAAAGGTCCCGTGTCACAGACTATCTTCTTTTTCCCACCTCTCGTGCGTTCCGGCTTACGCATCATAAAAAGGTGCGTTCATAAACGCCACACCAACTTATCTGATTCTGTCCATCGGGATATGTTTGTTGTTGTTATCAAAATTGTATTAAGTAGCTACTAGGAGTCACTTTGAGACATTAAATCAAAGTCTTCTGCCTTCAAACTGAATTGCGCTACTACTGCACGCCAGTAATACAATGTTTTTTCCCCTACCTATTGGCTGATAGCCTAAAAGGCTATTCCAGCTACTCCCAGACGGGTAGGTGAGACTACGGGCTCAACTTGAGAGAATTTGCTAACATTAGCCCTAGCAAGAGTAGTGATCCGCAGAAACTACCACCGGATCGAAATCGCGACCCACTGAGAAGATCCGGCGAGAAACTCAGTGGGCTGGGTCTATGGATTAGTTCGCTTGTCGAGTTCGACGAGGACGGTGACCGGTGCTTGAGAGGCCTAAAAGCACCGAGAGTGACGGGAGATCCGACAGGACAAGTTTCGGACGCTGGTGGCTTTGCGTTGTCCCGTCGCGGTCGCATTAGTAGAATGGTGGTACAGGCTAGCGATCCGCTCTACCAGTACACATATACACAGTGGATGAAGTAGGCAGGGCAATAGCTCCGACCGACCGATAACTACGTCAACACTTATTCCATACTATGTCTTTATTTATTTACCTTCAATGCACCAAGCGACTTTTATGACGCACGCATAATGAAAATTGAATTAAATTGTGATAGATCTAATTTTGTGTAGGTACTTGTTAGCGTTATATTTGTGTTCTTGTTGATTTTGATATTCTGATGATTCTTATTATTATTAGCTAGCTTGATTATCTCGTTTTTTTTTTTGTAAGCAGAATATTGTATAAATTATTTTGTGTTATTATAATCATTATTGTAAATCGACGATTTTTTGTTGCTTATAAGACTATGGTGAATGGTGTATTTTAGATTTGTAGTAGGAAAAGACCTCGGGGGCGCAGCCCAATACGTTGGTCCGACCAGATCCGCACCGCTCTTGATTCCACGTTTCATAACGCCCTCCACACCGCTAGAGACAAGAATAGATGGAGAAAGATCGTGCGTGCGAAGGTGATACAAAAGGGTGGTCACGACCCTCAGCAATGAGGAATACGACGCAAGGAGGAGATTTGTAGTATAAAAAAACATCAACAACAAACAGCAGTTAATTAACTATTTTGCTGCGGATCCTGGTTTAAAACTGATAGAATTTGAACGCAAAAATATACAAAATTTAAGTATCATAATTGCTTACGGTAATGTTGTCAAAAAATATTGTTTTATAAAAGAAATAACTAAGTTTTATGCATGAAAAAAACAGATACATAAAAAAACCGTGATTTTTAGTCAGGGCTAACCATAATTAATATAAACGTCTTAAACATGGCCCCTTTTCTAGATTTCCAAAGTACAAAAAACGGCCATTGTTAAGTTAATCTCACAAGGTTTTATTCGTAGAATTTTTTTTTTTAAAAACGCCCCTATTATAATATTTTAATAATTATTTACAAAAATAATTGAATTCGCATTTAAGTTTCTTGGCTCACATAATGTATGTATAATTATTGAATTAAGACAGTTTGTTCGACTCTGGGTTTAGAGTTTCCCCTTCTCAGATAAGTGCTAATTTCTTATCTCTTGTAATTTGGGGTTATTCCAGTTTGGGAGGCACTGTTTATTCTAGTTTTATCTTGTAATCTTTAGCTTGTATTTCGATTTTGTAGTAGTCGGCGGCGCTATCGAGAACTTGTTGTCAAATTGTAGACTTGTTTATCCGGTTATTCTTGACATAATATAAAATAGTGGTGTGTGAATGTTAGTTTTAATAAAATATATAAACCACATATAAAATAAATAACACATAAAAGTATATCTAACTCTTTACTCCATTAACATTGTTTTGTATTTGTAATCACAGCGTAAAATGTAGTTATAGTTTTTTTACTTTATTGTGAACTAATAAAATTTTACCAACTTCCTGTTATTAAGATAACAAAAAAACAGAAACTTGCTCATATTTGTAACAAGCGTTCCTTCTCGGGCCACATTGTGATACGTTAAGATAAATATATATTTTATTATATATTTCCCCGAGAATTTAGAAATGAAGTATGAAATTCAATATTTATATTCTTGAATTCCTCACAGTCCACTTGTGTGTTTAGTACGAGTTTTTTAACGTTCTCGAAAGCGTAAAAGTTAACTCAATTTTAAAGGCAGTTGGAACAGCGCCCCTAAACGTAGGTAAACGTTCCGACTCTATACAAATTTGAGTTAACTTTTACGTTATCGAGAGCGTTAAAAACTCGCACTGAGCACAATTATGTGAAGCGCTTATCGGAACAACAGACATCATATTTTTTTTTCCTACCTAAGCAAAACAGCGTGGGGTGCATGGTATCAATAGCTATAAATATTTTATGAACAGATATGAGTAGAAGGGTTATTTTGATAATATCCTGAAAAGCACGCCACGCTTTTTTTTAACAATAAAACCTTTTTTTCCTTACACTATTTTTAATTCAAATTTATTAAAATTTATATTCAATTTTTTAAATGGATATTCTATAAAAGCGTATTTTTGTTTTTTTTAAACTATTATTTATTTCTCTATATTTATATGTAGCGTTGAAAGCATACGGCTGTCTTTACAGGGCTTGTACCGAGCTCAGAGGTTTCACAGACTAAAATTTGTAAAATACGAGATTTCTCTTCTTTAACAAACTGTTTTGTTATTGGTACAAAGAATTTGTGTTCATTAAAATTCGCTCGGCTACTGAGGCGAGTCGATACGATTAAAACGAATTTAAAAACATACTTTCGCTGAACTCTACGCGTTTTTACGTCCTGTTAGCTTCTCTGTCTCTCATTAAGACGAACTTTAGATAAGGACAAACAATCCGTTTAGGATACTTTGCGGGATCTAAAGGTGTGTTTAGTTCGAGCACGCATCAGAATCCGACGAACTAAGAGCAAGCGCATATTATTAAAGTTTAATCTAGTTATGTGAATAATCAAGGTCTTATTTTTCAATAATTAAGTAACTTGTCTCTATCGTGAATATTTCCAGTCTACGATCGTTTACTGAGGCGATTATTTTTTAATCGAGAATCAATTAAAATAACATTAATTTTATATAAACACGTTTGTTTTGGCACATCGGAATAGGAAAGATACTGCTTTTAAATTACTTTAAAGAAGTTATAGAACACTTACGATGGCAGTTAGATTTTTGTAACTTCCCGATTCTTTCCACAAATAGTCGATGAATCTTGTCTGCGGCAAAACAATATCGGGAAGCGGTGACGAAACAATAAATTTGTCTGAGTCCCTAAATGCAGAACTTAAGCACAGTCTCCTTTGAAAGTTTACAATTTTTAATTTACGTATTAAAAGTTTTCGCGCCATATTTGATGAGGACATCGTGAAAGCGCGCGTATCTCACGAAGGTTGAGGAGCGACTAATGTTATGAGCATAGATAATTAATACACTTAAATAAAGTGAAACTACTTTGTTTCAAGGCACCGCCAATCTTTGCATCGCTGATGGAGGTTTCGCGTTAGCCCGAGTTTCTAGCTTAAGGAGGTACAGAAATCGTCATCACCACTCATTAAGCTTAAATAAATAATACAGTAAACATGCAGTGGATAAATGTATATATATAATATGTATTCATTAATAAAAATAATACATACTCTTAATTACAGTCGAGAAAAAGGAAAATTAATCTTTTTTTTCCGTTTTTATATTTTCTATATGCTTTTTTAGTTCGTAACGCACACCGCCGCTGGTGGTGGGTACTTCGGTGCTATGGTATACCGCCACAGTAGCAACATTTACAAAAGTAGGGATGAATATTTAAAAAAAACCTAATATTAAATAAAAGAATGACATGCTCGCTGAGTTTCTTGTCAGTTCTTCTCAGGACGGAGGCTAGTTTTTGTGAATTTGCGGTAGTTCTTTTTGACGTTCAACAAGTATGTACTTTCATTTATGTTGAATTTTTTTTTTTTATTTGACTTGATTTGATTTAAATGTACGCAAAGATTTTAGCCCACTGAGATTCTCGCCGGATCTTCTCAGTGGATCGCGTTTCCGATCCGGTGGTAGATTCTGCGAAGCACTGCTCTTACTAGGGCCAGTGTTAGTAACACTCCGGTTTGAGCCGCGTGAGCTCACCTACACGTCAAGGAGAAGCTGAAACAGCCTCTCAAGCCTAGCTAAGCGTAGGTAGGGAAATAAAAAGTGCGCAATGCGCATAGACGATGTACAAGTACATAAGTTCTACGAAATTTTAGAAAACATACATAGTACAGCTGCTATTTATGACTCATTGCGAAATTCAGAGTTATTAGATAATATGTAGTAAACATAAATAAATAGTGACCATAATGTGCGAACAGGTACGACACGATTAGAATTATAAATAAGCAGCAGTCACAGTTATACATAGAAGCGCATGTGCAAATATTTGGGAATCCTCAAACCTCTCATTTAGAAACTTCTATTTCTCATTTAAAGAGATTTTAGAGGCTAGATTGACGGGAACAGGCAAATACTGCCACTTAAAGAGCTCTTGCTTACCCAAAGCTCTTTGAGTCGGGTCGCACACGGCTGTAATACGGGAAAAATACGTAGGGTGGTAGAAACCGTGACAGAAACATAACTTTTTCTCTACCTAATCGTTGGTAGCGTAAGGGACTATTCCAACTACGCGCAGATTGGTGGGTGGGCTTAAGGGCTCAACCTGAGAATTGATCCTAGCAAGAGCAGTGCTTCGTGGAATCTACCACCGGATCGAAATCGGGACCCACTGAGAAGATCCGGCGAGAAACTCACTAGGTTTGCAACGTAACAATAATATTCTGCTTTCTTCACAGATTAAGTAAGATTTAAAATGCTTTAGTAGCGCCTGAGACTAAGGTTTGTTCAGTAGTGTTGGTTAGTCCTTTTTTTTTTTCGTGCCGAGGGCCGAACCTCCTACGAGGTCCCCGGGCCTAGGGGGCGCGCGGGGTATGTGAGACTCAACGATCTGCAGGTGTTGAGAGCAGACCGCGGGCCCAAGGAATTTAGGGCCCACCCACTAAACGACTCCCCTGCACTCTTACACCCGGCGTCCGATCTCCGTCCGGGGTCAAAACCCGGTCAGAGTAGGGGGGTTCCCGCGGTCAACACTACAACCAGACACGCGGCGCCACCCCGAGGACGCCCGACCGACGGGTCGTCGAGGCGATAGTCGACGACCAACGACGTCAGTCTCCGCAGTGTTGGTTAGTCCTTGAGCTAAGGAATATATCTGGTAACGACGACAAAAACAATCAATGTTAACAAATTGTTATTTGTTTACCTTTGACTTTAACCCCAACCCGACGTGCAGATTTAAATTATTGCTCTCTAGTTAAAGCAGCTAACAAAAAATATACATTAAAATGTAATTTTAATTTTACGAGGTAGGTATGTAATCTCTTGAAAGCAAAAAAAACCTCACAATGATATCGTAAAAAAAGTATTTTTTGTTGATAAAATAAATTTATGTTATCTATATTTATAAAAATGAATTGCTGTTCGTTTGTCTCGCTAAAACTCGAGAACGGCTGGACCGATTTGGCTAATTTTGGTCTTGAATTATTTGTAGAGGTCCAGAGAAGGTTTAAAAGGTAGATAAACATGAAAATGTTTTTTATTTTTCCTTTGGCGTCGGACGGTTTCATTTTGTTTGTTATAAGTTTATTTTATACTAGCGACCCGCCCTCGCTTCGCTTCGGAAACATTAAAACATACATGAAACCAAAAAAAAAAATAAAAAAAAAATTTAGAAAAGTAGCCTATGTTCATCAGGGACAATGTCGGCTTCTAATGGAAAAATAATTTTTCAAATCGGTCCAGTAGTTTCGGAGCCTATTCGAAACAAACAAAAAAACAAATCTTTCCTCTTTATAATATTAAGTATAACAAAAGTTTAGGTCTTTTATTTATCGATTAAGGCAATACGAAGTTTGCCGGGTCAGCTGGTAAATACCTAATAAAAATGTAATAATTTGGTATTTCGTTGCAAAGATGTAAAATTAGTTTTGGATCAATGGGTAAAACCGGTCACAGTTGGTATTGAGCAGAGAATTATTTTATTTTTATTGATTGGGTAGACAAGCTCACGGCTCATCTGGTGTTAAGTGGTTACCAGACACCTACGACGTAAATGCCGTCACACGCCTCGAGCTATGAGTTCTAAGGTCACGGTTTTTAAAGTACAAAAGTTACTCCGCCCTTCAAAATGTCCTACCACCCTTAACAATTAATAATAACAAAATAAGTTGCGGACTTAACTCGTTTTAAGAAACTATTAAACATACATATTCTTTAAATTATATATGTTTTTTTTTTAAATTAATTAAATAGTTATCGCATTTCAAGGTCTTTGTTATTCACAGCATTGATGAGTGTCTTAAAAGTGTTGAAATTCGTGACAATAAATTAGAAGTGTTTTGAGGTTAACCATTAAAATTATGATCATAACCAAAACTGACATTTGAGTTTTACACTGATATATAAAAATATAAGCTAAAGTATCCGTTTGAATAAAGCCAATCGTGACGTCCGTCAATTTAGGACAAGTGAAGGCTAATTGCTTAAAAATTGGCAATTAAAGACTCGTTTTTATTTAAAGTGTTTCTGTAATTAGGGAGTATATTCCTCGTAATTGATTTCCAATCAAAGAAATTAAGGAAAAAAATACTTCTTATTACTTACTCGATATCATTCCTTCATAGTGGAAGGTGTTCTTTAGCGTTTGTTAAAAGCGTGCTTCATTGGAAAGATTGATACCTTCTAGAGAGAATTTATGGCATAAGGACATTGCTGGATACGATTATGTCGTGTGGCTTTCTTTCCCTTTAGGCCACAATGAACTTTGTTGAATATTATTATTGGCCGTCTGTTCCAAACTTTACCAGAATAATTTAATAAACATAAATAACTGGGAAAGAATCACGCATAGTCATCCGGTCTCAAATTAGGATTCCCTGTGTTATGGGTACCAGAGAGTGACATACACACTTATATAAATTTAAATATATACATAATAACATTTAGGTAATAAACACCCAGACAAGGAGCAAGCAAACAGGGTCGCTAGCTACTACTATACCACCGACTTAATCAGTTGTTAATCGATATTGACAATGAATGGTCATTAATTATTGGTACGTCTATTGAAAGTGTAAAGTATTCCTATCTTAAAATCTAAATCATGTTTACTTGAAGACGAATAAATAAAATATCACTCCACGAACTTCATACATAGCACAGGAAAAGGTCAATGTAAATAAAAAACAATTGTTATGTATTCTTTTAATATTTATAAAACTTAAAAAAAAAAACTTAACAATATTGGTCCCAACAGTTATATAATGCAATCAGTTTCATTCATAAAACCTGTTAATAAACCGATTTTCTTATAATTTTATCAGACTAGTTATAATATTGCAAATGATTTAAGTAACAAGGCACGTGGTTTATTATATACAGACATCAGCGAGTGATTTCTTTTATACTGGCAGCTCCGATTTTCAATAGTATTTAAGATTTTTATGCGGGCAACACTAGGTGGGATTGACATGAGCCTGGCAACGCGACTCTGCCTATATCAATCCTATGCATTTATTTAGTTGTGTACAACCGTTAAATCTAGTACTGTTGTCTGATCTCTCTGGCAAGCTATATATCGGTATTCGGATGATCAACATTTATATATCGAGGGGTGAAAGGTAATTTGGTATTGAGGTAAGATAATTTTGGTATTAGTATGTGTAGTATGTGTGGTAGTAGTATAGTACATATAAGTCATATATTTTGTAATAATAGAGGAGTATTAAACGGACACTCGTGTAGGAGGCTTAAACGACGAAGGGGAAGATCTTCCACCGAGCGGGTGATATTTGCTCGGTAGACCGACGGCCCGAATGTTGTTGTTCGGAACTTGTATATATGCAAGCTTATCTTGAAAACGTCGTAAGCGAGATTCAGGCATCTGTCTTATCTTGCGTTGTATGATGGTTACCCGCCACACTCGGACAAGAGAGTTGTTTTCATTCGAACAAGAGACTCCCTTCATGTTGGTTTAATACTACTTATTACAAATTGCATGGCTTATATGTACTACACTACAAGTATCAAGAATTTTGTTATACGCATTTCTTTTTCATCTAAAAGGAAAATATCTTTTAAAAAAAGATTTTAATAATGAAATAGACATATAAAGATTTACGACGACAATGACAGCAACCGCGCCGTGTGGAATTAGGAATAGGACTGACTGGATAGGGAGGGGATTGTTCTCTAATAAAGGATCATAAGTGCTGATGCTATTCGGGAAAAGTGATGATGGAAGCTAAGCTAGGAACCAGAGGGTATCATAACAATTCGATGTTTTTAATTGAACTTCAACTAAGTTTCCCCCGTTCAAAGAGCTGAGCAAGTTTTTGTGGTTACGTTATTTTTTCCAAAATTTAACCTTTAAATGGCTCTCATGTAGTAAAGTTGCAAAGATGTCGCTTAAACTAACTAGGCTTTCACCCCACAACATGTTGATTAAGCACGAGCTTTTTCTATTACATATAAACACAATTTTTCCATCGAGTTTTTTTTTTTAATTTTATCGGGTCAGGACTCACTAAAATTACCATCAATCGGCCTTCGATTACGCAAAATATTTTCAATACACCCTGTGACCGAAGTTTCTCGCATTCATTGACTATAATAATTCGATTTTTAACAAACAAGTGAAAACATTTCTTTTGTTTCATGTCTCTGCACTAGCTTTGGTGTTACCAATAATAATAAAAAATTGAACAAAATAGTTTTATTTAATTGAAAAAAAAAAGATTGCGCTTTTTTTCAACAGATTTCCTTCTTTTTTGTTCGTTTAACATCTATTGATGAGTGGCAGTTTTCATAAAATAAAAAAAAGGCAAATTAAATATTATTAATTAATAAAACGAATCTAAATATGCATAGTGGTTTCAGTGATTTTGACCGAATTCCAACCAGTGGATGAACGCTAGTAATAGGATAAATCAAATGTAAAATATAAGTATAATATCATGGAAAAACATTTCAATATAATCTGCACATCTATAAAATATTTTTGTTGATTACAAAGTCCTTACCCTATCTAGGGGTGTAAGGCTCCCCTCGATACGTGTATTTGTAAATAAATATCAATATAAAATGTTACATTGAGTATTTCATACGCAATTTAACACAATATTCAGCCGACAAAAAAATCATATAAAAATATATTTAATACCAAATACTTAACATTGACTTAAGACCACATTAATCATTCATAATGGCGTAAAAAATTTAACCAACTTATACATATAACTCTGAAACACAATTATTAATCTTATGATAATTTTTAAAAACTATAATTATGTATATAAAATGATTATTATTAACATCTTATTAATAATATTATGTAATAGAGTTTCACATATCGTCCTTTCGCATTAAAAGTGTACAATTTCCAAAAATATTCGAAATTGAGTTAATAAACGGAATCATTTGGTATCACCAGTATTTTTTTCATAAATACTGTCAAAAGAGCATAGTTTAGTTTTAGTTTTTTTTTTTAGTTTACCTATATTTTACTACTATTAACAAATTTAATACGTAATTTTATCTTACTTTAAAAGACAGATAAATAAGGTAACTTGTAAAAAAAAAAAGTATTGCAAAGATGATTAATATTAAAAATATCACATGTTAAACCTTTAAAACGCTCTCCTGAAAAATTAGTAAGTTTTGAGATTATACAGTTTTAATGCGAGAAGACGATAATAATATGTCTTCAGCTATGGAAACTGAAAACTTTGTGAACTTCTTTTTCTCTATTTAAAGACCTAAAGCTTATTATAATACAAAGGAAGACAAGGCAGACAGTCATAAGGGAGTTTTTGTTGAGCACGCGGGAACCCAGCAAGATCCTAACAATATTTTTCTTTCAGCTGCTTCCTTAGGATCTTACCTGCCGAATTCTTGGGTATTTCTTCCACGAACTGGACTTCCTTGATCTTCTTGAAGACGGCCACTTTACTGTTGACGTACTCTAATAACTCATCAGCGTCGAGGGTCTGACCCTGTTGAGGGACTATAAAGGCCTTCGGTACTTCCCCCGTTACGGGGTCCGGTATGCCCAGGACCGCGCAGTCTAGGACCTTGGAGTGCGTTCTGATGACGGTCTCCAATTCAGCAGGCGGTACTTGGAAACCTTTGACCTGTATAAAATAATTATTAATTGAAGACATGAGTGGATGAAGGGGTTAACTACCATTTTTAAGATTTATGAATTTTTAGGTGTTATGTGCCTATAAACCTGAATAGACCTTAAAACTCCTTATTTAAAGGCTATTTTTATAAATTGCATGTGATGAAGGAGTTATGTAGGAAAAAAAAGTACAAGCAACAAAAGTTTGTTGTCCGTTTTCTCAAAATGAACAAATTGTATCATAACGATATGCGATTAACTAATTTCATGAAAGCTTCAGGGTAGCTGCGTTATCTTTTTTTTTATTGCCCTTATAGGCAGATGAGCATACGGCCGACCTGATGGTGAGTGGTTACAGTCGCCCATGGACTTCAGCAATGCCAGGGGCAGAGCCAAGCCGCCGCCTGCCGTTGAGTACTCTCCACAAGCCTCGTTGTGTGACTTGTTAGACAAAATGATACATACCTTGATGAGTTCCTTCAGTCTATCCGTGACGTACAGATATTTGTTCTCGTCGTACTTCCCAATGTCTCCGGTTTTGTACCAGCCATCCTCCGTCATGACCTCCCTGGTGGACTTTTCGTCTAGATAATAACCGGACATCAGGTTTGGGCCGCGACACCAGATCTCGCCTTCCTGCGGATAAAAAAAGCTACATTTTAGTAAATTGCAAGGTTCTAGAACATGCGCGCCACCTGTCCTACGTCACGTCTATGGTAGTGTTACGCCGATAACAGTAACGCCATCTATCGTCGAATAGCAGAAACGAATATCAAAAGAACTAGTAAAATCGAGAACGCTCGAGAAGTGTAACGCCATCTATATCAAATTGCGGAAACACAGATCGAAACGACTGGTCTTGCCGTGAATGTTCTCGATAATTGTAGAGATTTCGTGTCGACTATTAAAGCGTTGCAGAGATGACATAAAGGCAGTTAGTAATCGGATCTACTCGAAGCGAAACAGTGAACGGATCACTTGAAGGGAAGCGGAAGAAGTGAATTACGAATTGTAAATGGTTCTAAGTGGGGATGTTTTATTTATCCCGAACCCCAGCGCGTAAAAGTACTATAACAAATGCCTTCACTGGTATGCGAACGATGGCTTTACGAAGTTAATCAGATTAACCACAACTTCGATTACGAACAAATAAGGATACAATCCATAATCTTTATTTATACTAGCTTCAGAGCGACGATCAAAACTCGACCATAATCACTGATAGCTCAGGGGTTACATTTGATGTATGTATTCTCTTTTGATATTGACAATTTGGCGAATAATTTTGAAGCAGTTGCTCTTGAGTTGTTAGGTCGGTCAGCTATTTGCTGGTGGTAGGACCTCTTGTGAGTCCGCGCGGGTAGGTTCCACCGCCCTGTCTATTTCTGCCGTGAAGCAGTAATGCGTTTCGGTTTGAAGGGTGGGGCAGCCGTTGTAACAATACTTGAGTCCTTAGAACTTATATCTCAAGGTGGGTGGTGGATTTGCGTTGTAGATAACCACTTAGCACCAGGTGGGCTGTGAGATCGTCCACCCATCTAAGCAATAAAAAAAGGCTAATCCCATCCCTCCTGACAGAGCTTTTGCTCGCCCACCTGTCCTGGTGAAACTGGAAAGGCCTCCGCGCCTCCAGTAAGCCTTGAATAAAAAAAAAAGGAAAGAATATTAACTATGGATGTGTGAGCCCTACCTGCCCCGCGCCCAATGCTTCCTGCGTGTTGAGGTCAGCTACCTTGACCTCGCAGCTGCCGAGCACGTGTCCAACGGCCGCGTGGTTCGCGTCATCATTCCTACCGACAGTGACGGCTCCATTCGTCTCGGTCAGGCCGTAACCTTGGCGGAATATTATGTTTTTCTGGAAGTAAACAGTATCGAGTGGTTGAAAGTCTTTTTGGTTTGAGCGTCATTTTTGCAAATTTACTACATGAGTGCCATTTAAAGGTTAAATTTTGATAAAAATAACGTAAACAAAAAACTTGCTCAACTACTTGAATGGGGTAAACTTAATTGAAGTTCAATTAAAAACATAGAATTGTTATGATGCCCTCTGGTTCTCTGGAGACCCTCTGGAAACATTTAAAAATACCAAATAAAATGCAACTTTGATTATTACAAAGATAAATGACCTTTCACCTCTCGGTATATCAATTTGGCGATCGTAATAAGGGTCTCGGATACGACGTGTGTACTCGTCATAATGCGATTGGTTGTGGTCGTGGTGTGTTTGTTTGGTGGTGGTTGTGGTGGTGTGTTCGTTTGGTGGTGGTTGTGGTGGTGGTAGAATCAGCGAAACACTGCTCTGGCTAGGACTAGGGTTAGCTAGTTCTCTCAGGTTGAGCCAGTGAGCTCACCTACCCGTCCGGACGTAGATGGAATACTGGAATAGCCTCTTAGGCTACCAGGGAATAGGTAGTGAAAAGAAAAAAATAACATTTCAAGAGTGTTCTGTAGCAGGAAGCGGCATAGTGTCAACATAACAACAACAAAAAACCTAAATGACGCGAGGACGCTTATCTAACACGATGAGGTCATTAAAACTACACCACGTGTAAAAAATAAACATTATTTGATATATATCATTCAGTTTACTGCATACAATCGATTATGCGGCGAATGATTAATATTAAAAATATGGTTTTGATATCGGTAAGCCCAAGAAAAACAATAAAACTTTTTTTTTATTGCCTAGATGTGTGGACGAGCTCACAGCCCACCTGGTGTTAAGTGGTTACTGGAACCCATAGACATCTACAACGTAAATGCGCCATACACCTTGAGATATAAGTTCTAAGGTCTCAGTATAGTTACAACGGCTGCCCCACCCTTCAAACCGAAACGCATTACTGCTTCACGGCAGAAATAGGCGGGGCGGTGGTACCTATCCGTGCGGACTCACGAGAGGTCCTACCACCAGTAAATGAATTATTCGTAGTAAAGTATAAATGAATTATTTGTAGATGCGGGTAGGTCGGAAAACAATGACCACTTTAAATCTGATCTCGATACATACTTTCTGCCAATTGAACTATTTTCATTCAAATAATTACTCTTGAAATTAATTACGGTGACACATTACACGACCCCCAGAGGCACAGAGATTGATGTGAACAGCCTACGATACGCGTCTCAAAATGTTGTTGTATTATAAATAAATCATATCTTTTCTCACATTACAAATAATCACAAAGTGTACCGAAACAGAACACCGAAAACTCAATATCATCATTGCGTCTACCAAGGAGCGAAGCCAAATGAGATATAGTTTAAAATCGCCGCCGCCTAAAGGATAAGATGGCTCGTGTATACATATCGACGATACGAAAATGTCGGTGTTCGAATCCCGCAGGCAAGTGCCGATTTTCCTAACAAAATACAAACGGATGACTTCCACGATAAAGGAATAGGATCGCTTAATCAACATCAAACCCGCAAATATTGTAATTCGCATAATTCCCAAACGGCCAGCTACCAAAACCCCACTTGTTTCTACAGTGAAGTGATATAGCGTTGTGCTTTGAAGGGTGCACAGCCCTTATATGATACAATTTAGACCTCATGCCTCAAAGTGGGCGGCGGAAAACACGTTACGTCTATCCATGAGCTCCGTCAACACTTAACACAAAACCTTGACCAAGCGGCCGTGAGCTGTATGCTTAGTGCGAGTTTTCTAACGTTCTCGATAGCGTAAACGTTAACTCAATTTTGTATGGAGTTTTTTTTTCTTGCTTAGATGTATGGACGAGCTCACAGCCCACCTGATGTTAAGTGGTTACGGGAACCCATAGATATCTACAACGTAAATGCGCCACCCACCTCGAGATATAAGTTCTAAGGTCTCAGTTTAGTTACAACGGCTACCCCACCCTTCGAACCGAAACGCATTACTGCTTCACGGCGGAAATAGGTGGTACCTACCCGTGTGGACTCCCAAGAGGTCCTACCACCAGTAATTACGCAATTTATAATTTTGCGGGTTTCATTTTTATTACACGATGTTATTCCTTCACCGTGGAAGTCAATCGTTAACATTTTTTGAGTACGTATTTCATTAGAAAAATTGGTACCCGCCTGCGGGATTCGAACACCGGTGCATCGCTTCATACGAATGCACCGGACGTCTTATCCTTTAGGCCACGACGACTTCATTAAAACGTTTATCTGCGTTTGCCGCTAGGGGCGCTGTTTTAACTGCATACAAATTTGAGTTAACATTCACGCTATCACGAACGTTAGAAAACTCGCACTAAGCACATTGGTTCACCCGCCCATGTAAGGTGTGGCCAGTTTAAGAAAGATAAAGATAGTTTAAGATACCAAAAAAAAACCTAACGTATCCCTTGCTCCCAAGGTCGATACTAGTTTTAATATAGTTCTCGCCTAAGCTAATAAAAATAAACATTATCATCAATCGACGAGCGATACAGAGCTACAAGTACAACAAGACTTTGGACCTTTCATAATTCGATAAGATATAATAAATTGTTATATTATCATCAATACGGGCGTAAAGTTATTAAGATAAACTCAAGTGCGAGGGGTCGTCCTATCTGGACAGCGTGTCCGGATAATAACGTAATCGATGCCTACTATGATAAAAAGAAAACTTTGATCCCGAGAGTTTTTCATATTAATTGATTAATATAACGGACATTGTCGTGTCCAAATTTCATCGAATACTAACCCAACTCATTAGTTTTATGGCGATTCTTGGTGAGCATAGTAATTCCAGTAGGACCAGCCCTATGAGACGTTAGGGTTGACAAAAGCGGCTTATTCATTTTCTGTCATCTTGACAAACAGATAACATTTCATAAGTTTCAGTACAGGCCATTCAGTCAATTTCTTAGATGATACGTCCCAGGTCGGTCGATTGGGATGATATCACAGTACACCTGCGACTTTTATAGCTTTATTATTGTACTTTTCTCTCGTATGTCAATCTAAGCTAGTGAGCATGCACGGTTAACTATCATAATTTTTTTTTTATTGCTTAGATGGGTGGACGAGCTCACAACCCACCTGGTGTTGAGCGGTTACTGGAGCCCATAGACATCTACAACGGTGGTGGTACATACCCGCGCGGACTCACAAGAGGTCCTACCACCAGTAATTGCGCAAATTATAATTTTGCGGGTTTGATTTTTATTAAAACACGATGTTATTCCTTCACCGTGGAAGTCAATCGAGAACATTTGTTGAGTACGTATTTCATTAGAAAACCCGCCTGAGATTCGAACACTCTTATCTTTTAAGGGCTTCGACCTCATGTCCCAGGCCACACCAATGTAGTTATCACCATGAACTCCTGTAACCTCTTGACCAAAGCCGTCTACATTTGAAGCAAAAAGATACAAAACGTTATTATTCATTTTGTTTCTATTATTTCATTATCGTCTGCCAACTTAATTGCTCAATGATAAAGAGAAATCGTTACGTTCGTTTTGTTTTGTCTGCTCACGAAAATTAGCTTTAATTATAAACTTAATATTGACATTTTGAATTAACATTTTACGTTATGATCGAAATTATTAATTCACTGGTGGTAGGACTTCTTGGGAGTCCGCACGGGTAGGTACCACCACCCCGCCTATTTCCGCCGTGAAGCAGTAATGCGTTTCGGTTCGAAGGGTGGGGTAGCCGTTGTAACTATACTGAGATCTTAGAACTTATATCTCGAGGTGGGTGGGTAAATGCGCCACGCATGTAATACGTTGTAGATGTCTATGGGCTCCAGTAACCACTTAACACCAGGTGGGCTGAGAGCTCGTCCATCCATCTAAGCAATAAAAAAATAAAAAAAAGGTTTTCTTGAATGTATTGTAAGCTTTAATTGTAAATGATAAGAGATGGAGTAAGACAGTAAGGGAATGGTGGCCAAAATTAAATCGTGGATGTGTCGGAAGAGCTATGGCCCGATGGACCGATGACATAGTCAGGACGGAGGGGTGGAAAAAAGGGGAGACCTATACCCAGCAGTGGGTATTAAAGGGCTGAAGATTAAGGAAAAAAATATTGTTAGCTTATAAGAAAACGATGTCAGATGGCCCTCAAACGATAACACAGAAAAGTACAAAATTTGAAATTTCAGTCAGTACATACTTCATACGATATTTTTACTGTACTATCCGTGCCCTTTAAGGGAAGGCTGTAAATTTCAACGTTACCATTTAGTTAACTAAGATTAGTTACAGTTAACTGTTTCCATAATGTTAGGCGTGTAAACAAATTGTCAACGACGCTGACGTCATCATTTTAACAACACCATGGATCCAACCTATCCGTCATAGACAATCAAAAACCAAAGGACGCTGCCTTTGCTTTACATTGCCTGTTCACGAAATACAATACTTACAACAAATTGTTTTTTTAATAAATAACTTTATAGACAGTAAGTAAGTAATTCATTGCGGTTTCGACTTCGATAACTGAACCCAACTGAATATTTTCATTTTATTTTTATTCTTTTTTTTATTGCCCTTGTCGGCAGACGAGCATACGGCCCACGTGGTGGTGAGTGGTTACCGTCGCCCATGGACTTCAGCAATGCCAGGAACAGAGCCAAGCCGCTGCCTACCGTTAAGTACTCTTCACAAGCCTTGAATCCTTTGAAGAAGGATATGTCATATTCGAAACTGTTTTGGAGAAATTCGGGTGATTTATCAACGTTTGACGGTAGTTGAATGATTAGAACTCACGTTCTTTTCCAATACGGCCGCAGCATCCGCGGCCGAGAGCGGAGCGGCTCCGCTGATCATGCCCTTGACGGTGGCCAGATGTTCAGGTTTAACCGCCGGATGCTTACCCAGGAATACCACTGCCGAAAATAAACATTCTACAGTTCTCAGTTTACGTTTGATTTTGGATCAGATCTTAATTATAATCCAACGACTATTGAATATGCAATACTTCTCAATATTCCATTGAATGTAAATGATGATAGGGTACATTGTGAGGACGACGGAAGAAGCTACCGTCCTCTAAGCATCGAAGCACTTACGTTTTAGTTAAGTTAATGCGAATAGGTTGCAAATCGGTAGGCAGCGGCTTGGCTCTGCCCCTGGCATTGCTGAAGTCCATGGGCGACGGTAACCACTCACCATCCATTCTGGTTAGAGGGATATGGTAAATTTAACAACCAAACGTACTTTATAAGGTAAATCATTTTAGTTTTCGTAGCTTAGTTTTTGTTTTAATTGCTTAGGTGTGTGGACGAGCTCACGGCCCATCTGGTGTTAAGTGGTTACTGGAGCCTATAGACATCTACAACGCAAATGCTGCCATCCACCTTGAAGTTGAGTTCTAAGGTCTCAGTATAGTTACAACGGCTGCCCCGCCCTTCAAACCGAAACGCATTACTACTTTACAGCAGAAATAGGTAGGGTGGTTGTACCTACCCGTGTGGACTCCCAAGAGGTCTTACCACCAGTTGTTAAAGCCAGTATCGTTTGCTGTTTGAATGACGGCAAAAACGTTTTACTAATGTGAGACTTAATCGATCAGCTCCTACTATTACAAAATCCCTCCTATTTAATACCAACATATCCTCTAATACCTAATTCGAGCCAGTATATTATGAAGGTTACGATAAACATACCAAACATCACGTACATTTCGCACTTACATTGTAGATTAAGCAACGTCGTTCACAATACGGCGTCTATGAACTCCGCAAACAACTTAGAATCATTATCGTGAACTGTTCTGGTGTAATAAAGCAACATTGCAGGCATTACAAGTCAAGTCACGTAATGAGAGACGTGCCCACGAATACCATTGGTAATACATAATAGCCATTGTTAACGAAAAATAATTGTGTTGAATTTGGTCGCCTAACTATCACCCTGCACCACCAAATGGCTCCCATAGACACAGCCCACTGAGTTTCTCACTGTATCTTCTCAGTGGATCGCGTTTCCGATTCGGTGGTAAATTCTGCGAAGCACTGTTCTCGCTAGGGCTAGTGTTAGCAACACTCCCGATTTGAACTCCGTGAGCTCACCTACACGTCAAGGAGAAGCTGAAATAGCCTCTTAAGACTATCAGTATAGGTATAGTAAGGGAAAAAAACTAAATGTCGGGAAGCATTGGGTCGGCGATGGCCCTGTGGCGGGTAGCCATCATACAACGCAAGATATATGACAGATGTCTGCCTTTCCCTTAGTTTGAATGCTTAAACGACAAAGGAATTATCTTCCGCCGAGCGGGTGATATTAGCTCGGTAGACCGACGGTCCGAATTTTGTTGTTCGGAACTTGTATATATGCAAGCTTATCTTGAAAATGTCGTAAGCGAGATTCAGGCATCTGTCAAATATCTTGCGTTGTATGATGGCTACCCGCCACAGTCCATAAGGTCATCTGTCTACAACGCTAATAATAAAAGCAAAGCTAGAACATACATTTTCTCAACAGTTTTAACTATGATAAATGCTGTGTAATTTATCTTACCCATCGGCGGAACAATGAAGAGCACTTCCGCCTTGTACTTCACGATGGTCTGCAGGAAAAGATCCGGTTTGAAATACGGCATCGTGACTAATTTCACGCCCTGCGCCATTTGGTTCATCATTAGGGAATTGAAACCGAATATGTGGAAAAACGGCAAGATCGCTGGCAACACTGACTGGTGTGTTGCTGCAAATAAAAAAGTTACGTCTCATGACTAACTTCCGTTTTCAATTCGAATTTATACAATAAATAAATTCGCCTTAAAATCCACCTCTATCGTCGTCGAAGCGATCTACAAATCGCACCTTTAGAATTATAAAGACCCAACTAGAAAAATGTGTTTTTTGGAAAACATCGATTAAAGTTCTCAAACCGAAAAAAACGTAAAGGAAGGGGACGGAGTGAAAGAGACCGATGGATAGCTTTGTCCCTTTATAAGCTACTTCTGGTCATCTGATTACTAAGAGTCGCTGAAAAGGGTCGTTCTAGGTCCGTTTTTTTAATTAAAGACGTAATCTGAAAATTTTCGAAATGGGTCTCTATAATTCTGCGTGGTATAAAGGTGCGAAATACTTTACTACATGTGTTGAAAACTTTACCGAAAAGAACTTAATATTTCTAAGACGACAATACTAAAAACCATATTGTACATTTTTCATTGCAACATTTTTCATTGCACGCAATGTACAACATACAAAAAATGTAAAATGAAAGTCGAAAAAATCTAAGCATTGACATTAAATTGTGATCCTGCAAAAAAGACCACTACTTAAACTTTGCTTCGGTTTGTCTTAGGAATAATAATTTCTTACCGTGTGCTAAATACGTTAAAATGTTATACAACAACCATAAATTGGGTTTTAAAAACAAAGAACACTAAAGATTTACAGAAACATATCTATTAGTGAATGTGGATGCAGTTACGGATGTCGCGTAAGATACAAATATTTCTACAAATTACAATTACAGTTCTACGACCGATTTAAATATATATATGTATATCTAAAGAAAATCTACAGATAATACTGAAAACTACACAAGTCTATACATAAAAGCGATTTTTGTAAAGAACATTATGCAGAGATTTATTCAAACTACTTGGACGCTACGTTATTATGTACCTTATTTAAAAAATTTACGCCATTTTTAAATGTTACTTTGTTTGAAACCCAAACCATGAGTTCCTTGCCCACTCTTCTGTAGTGAAACTGCATTTTCTGTAAAGAGCTTATTTGAATAAAACTTTTTTCGATTTTAAAGCACGTCAAGAATTATTATTATACTTAAAATCGTCCCTATTGCCAATAGAATTGTATATAGTTTTAACACAATTTCAAAAACAAATGAGCGAAGGCATTGAAAACGAAAAAACAAAGACACTATAATACATATTTATAATTGAAATTATAATATCAATTAGTATAATTAATTGAATCATTCAGTTTACTTGTTAAATGAATACAAAAACGATTTTTAATTTATTAAATGTTATTGTCAATTTATCTTTTATATTAATTAATTAATTTTATTAAAACAAATGAAAGACAATACGAATAATGCTTGTGTCTAGAATTATTTGCGTGAAAATTTAAAATTTATTTTAATTTCGATTGTACGTATGTAAATTTATTTAAATAATAACGTGAAAATTCTTTAGTCGCATCACAATGTGTTATTATCTATAGGTTTGTTTCAAACATAAACTAGAAATAAAATATAAAACATAAAGTTCCACTATTATTGTGTTTGTAAAAAAAAGGTGTTTTTTAAGCCAATAAAATATAAAACATAAAGTTCCGCTATTATTGTGTTTGAAAAAAAAAGAATGTGTATTTTAAGCCGCGCAGTCGCCATACGTTTGTTTTTTGTTTTTATTGCCCTTGTAGGCAGACGAGCATACGGCCCACCTGATGGTGAATGGTTACCGTCGCCCATGGACTTCAGCAATGCCAGGGGCAGAGCCAGGCCGCTGCCTACCGGATGTTTGTATGATGGACCAGCCATTACACAATTGAGATTACGACGGTGGACCTCATGACGCGAGACGAGTGGGTCTGCGTGGTCACCTTCTTCGAGCGAAGCTAGCGACCGTCACACTAGTCAAATTTGACGTTCAATTAAATGGAATTGCTGAAGTCCATGAGCGACGGTAGCCACTCACCATCAGTTAGGCCGCATGCTCGTCTACCTACAAGAGCAATAAAAAAAGTGCTTCGATGGAGATGAACACAACAATCCGATTAAAGATGTGGATCATGGGCGCCTAAAGATTACGATAAACCAAACTGCACTATAAAAAAATATTTTCATACAAACTCCTAAATGAATACATAGTATATCTAATCTCAACACTGCACCGTTAAACGTAGCATATTATATTTCAAAATCAGTCGAAACTTAACATTTTTAACCTATAAAAAGTTTTTAAGCACGTAAGCCAAAGACTTACCGGTGGTCTCTTCTATCACAACAATCTCCGGGTCTATTATCATTTGGTTCAAGGCGACAACGCCTCCGTGATCGAGAACCACGGCCTTGGGGAAGCCCGTGGTTCCACTGGAGAACGGCAGGATCGCGACGTCTTTGGGACCCCTCTGAACGGACTTCAAACAGTCAATGTCGACGTTGAAATCTTCGGCTAGTTCGGCGAATTTTATCGCGCCCTCGGGCAGACCCTCGTTGTCAACTAGTATTATAGGCACGTTGACTTTCAACTCGTCCAGTGCCTGTTTTATGTTCGCGTACGACATTTTGGAACTGACGATAGCTTTACAATCGATCAGCTCCAATTGTCGTTTTAATTCATCTACAAAAGAAAACTATGTTTCATGTTTCAATTTTAACACGGGCTTAAGTGTACCAGTTTCGATGGCAACTTAAGCCGTTAATGGGATAATTATGCAATAATAAGACGCCTATTTTCAATCGTATGAAAAAAAAATTGTGTCGACAATTTTATTTCCTTCAAATATTACTTTGATTAATTCTTCTAAGATCTTACAGGTACTTCATTTTAGAATCGCACGTAACAAGATGCCCATAATATCTGATTTAGTTAATCATAATTTTCTCGCAATTTTTTTTCGTTTACAATATATTTATTTGCGTACATTGCCTTTTATCGTTCACTAAGCCAGTCGTGAAGACACCAATATGCACGATTTTTTTACTTACGAGACGTGTAAGCTGGGTTCATCATGCTGGCAACACAGCCAGCCTGCAATATGCCCAGCAATGTACAGGGATATTCTGGTAAATTCGGCAAGATAACCGCCACTTTGTCGTCATTCTTCAGTTTCAGTTTCGATCGTAAGGACGCTGCGAATGTTACCGACATCCTGTGCGTTTGGGCGTAAGTGTACCCGTGACCGGTCAGCGCGCATACCTGGGAAGAATCAAATGGGTCTCGCAGCATTTCGTGTGTCAACTCATAGTACTTGATTGAGTTAACCAAATATTTATCGAGAAATGAAGCAATGTGTTTTTTATTGGTAGTTAATCGGTAACAATATCGCAAGGACATAATATGAATGCCACCGCCTATTTTAAGATGTTAAATTAAAATCTATACATTTAGAATGACTCTCAAATTATTCAACCGAAAATTCACGATTGCTTGCTTATCGTAATAGACAAGAAGGTATCAAAACATTCTATTATCATGATTTTATCATGTTAGCTTTTACTAGTGACGTGGGGATATCTTGAGAATTATCTTAGGACTACACTTTACACCATAATGTTTTTTTTTTCGTATTTCCTTTCTTTCCATACAGTCTATGGTGTGGATTAGAAAAAAACGTATCTACTAAGGGTACTTTCAAATGCTAGCATAATACATCCAACTAAGCTATGTAACATTGTCTAGTAAATTCAATAAATTCTCACGTTACGAAACTGGGACGATTTTTTTTTCTTGTTTGTAAGACTATATTATGTCTCTTACGATACATTCGAGTGTTATTATAGCTAAGAACTACGAGTCTACACACTTTTATATATTTAGCATAAATGGACAGATCAAAACATTTGCCTATTGTATATTGCCGAAGTTCACAAAACGCATGCTTGCCGAATATATAGACTGAACCGACTGACTTGTGTTGGNACTGGGACGCTTTTTTTCTTGTTTGTAAGACTATATTATGTCTCTTACGATACATTCGAGTGTTATTATAGCTAAGAACTACGAGTCTACACACTTTTATATATTTAGCATAAATGGACAGATCAAAACATTTGCCTATTGTATATTGCCGAAGTTCACAAAACGCATGCTTGCCGAATATATAGACTGAACCGACTGACTTGTGTTGGCTCACAACGTAGGATCCTTAGTTCCGCAAAAATTTATGCGAATTTATAATTTTACTCTGGCGTGATTGCGAACAACAATAATCTTAGTACCAGTATTAGGTGATCCAAAGTTGGACCAAAGGTGAACCAAAGTTATCGACATTTTATTTATTTATTGATTATACGGGTGGACGAGCTCACAGCCCACCTGGTGTTAAGTGGTTACTGGAGCCCATAGTTAAGTACGTATTTCATTGGAAAAATTGATACCCGCCTGCGGGAGTCGAACAACGTTGCATCGCTAGATAGGAATGCACCGGACGTCTTATCCTTTAGGCCACGACGAACGATAAGCTGAAGTGACAATGGACTAGACATATTAGCCGTATAACCGATAACCGTTGGGGTAAACGTGTTCTTGGATGGATAACGCGAATTGGCAAACGTAGTACAGGACGCCCTCAGGCTCGGTGGAGTGACGATCTATGCAGGGTGGCCCGCAAAAGCTGGATGAGAGAAGCCGAGGATCGTGCTGAATGGCGTGCAATTGGAGATGCCTACGTCCAGTAGTGGGCTGCTATGAGATGATGGTAATGCTGAATGATCTTAGGATTTTCGAATTTCACGAGTCCTAAGCATAATTAAAACTACTTTTACGCTTTAACCTTGCGTTTTTAATTGTCAATATTTTCTATTCTAACACCTGGAATCTTGCTATCGTGAAGACGAAAACCTTACGTTCGACTATTAGTTAATTCTGTGTAAAAAATATTAATAATTAAAAGTCTAGATTTTTTTAAACAGACGCCTTATTATTAACATATATGAACTCAATCTTGAACAGTCTAATGTTAATTTAATTATTAAAATCTTAATGATATTCGATTTGATTACAGCAAACTTTTACAGTTTAACCTCATTCAAAACGCATTCAAAATTTATCAAAAAAATTTATAAAAGTCTACGTTTATCTGGACAGAGTATGAATGAACTAGCAGTAATTTCATAGTTTAGTGATTTCAGGTTTCATCTTGATTACCCAGATGAATCCCAATTTTTAGTAATCATAAGTATCCTGGTAGTTAATAATCATAAGTTCTGAATAATAATTTAATTGGCAAAAACTAAAGGATTTTTTTTATAATTCATGTATGCACACAAAGTTTAGAAAAAAAGAGCAGTACAATTTCAAAACATTGTATTCGTCAGTAGCACGCGTGTCTTTAGTGAATTGTCTTATCTTCACTTAGCCTTATCGGCTTAAATAATGAAGCCTGAAGTACCGAAAATACTAGCCTGATAAAATTCACTTAAAAATGGACTGTTACTGATGGCTAAAAAATGTATTATTTTCCGTACCTAATCGTTGGTAGCATAAGGGGGGCTATTCCAACTTCGCGCGGACTGGTAGGTGAGTTCACGGGCTCAACCTGAGAGAATTGCTAACACTAGCCCTAGCATGAGCAGTGCTTCGCTGAATCTACTACCGGATCAGAATCGCGACTCACTAAGAAGATCCGGCGAGAAACTCAGTAGGTTGTGTCTATGGGCTAGTTAGCACGTCGAACTCTTCTGACTCTTCTGACGAGTTCGACGAGAACGGTGCTTGAGGTACCTAAAAGCACCGAGAGTGGATCCTGGGGAACCGACAAGACATGTTTTGGGTGACGGCGGCTTTGCTTTGTCCCGTCGCCTGGGTCGGATATGTAAAAATGTAAATATTTAATTCCACTGTATTGTGCTGGTGTGCACAGTGGTCAAAGGCGGTGATAGAGGGAGCGCCTTTCTATTTGGTTGCCCAGCTGTGACCGGGATTAACTATCCCCATCACCCGAATACGAGTCCCACTCTTTCCTCTCATATAAACTACTAGGCTGCACTAAAAGTATCGGGAATGGAATATTTCCACTGTTCCTGTCATATTAAAATCTTTTTAATTGAAAACTCCTTGGTTTTAAAAATCGAATACCATTTATTTATTTAAAAAAAGATTCTCGGTCTTGTCACGAGGTTTTGTCAAACTTGTTTAGTCGTTGAGAAAATGGAATTGACTCGAGAAAATTCAAGAGCGATGATTTATTATGACTTTCGAAGTGGTTTAACACAAAAACAGTGTGTTGACCGGATGATTTCTGCATTTGGTGATGAAGCCCCATCCAAAACCACAATTTATCGCTGGTTTGCTGAGTTTCAACGTGGACGTGTCAAGCTCAGTGATGATCCCCGTCAAGGTCGTCCAAAAACTGCAGTCACCCAAGAAAACGTTGATGCTGTGCGTAAGCTGATTGAGGAAGATCGACATGTGACATACCGCGAAATTCAGGCAACTTTAGACATTGGCATGAGTCAAATACAAATAATCTTGCATGAACAATTAGGTGTAAAAAAGTTGTTTTCCCGATGGATACCGCATTCGCTCTGTGAAGAGCAAAAAGCGGCTCGCGTTACTTGGTGCGTCAGAACTCTCGAAAGATTCCACGCAGGATCCTCAAATGCTGTATACAACATTGTATCAGGTGACGAATCCTGGATATACGCGTACGAACCCGAAACAAAAAACCAGTCACGAGTTTGGGTGTTCGAAAATGAGTTAAAGCCAACAAAAATTGTTCGTTCACGGAGTGTTGCAAAAAAAATGGTGGCCACGTTTGTCTCCAAAACCGGCCATGTTACGACTATTCCTCTTGAGGGACAAAGAACGGTTAATGCAGAATGGTATGCTAGCATTTGTTTGCCACAGGTCGTTTCTGAACTCCGTAAAGAGAACTGCAACCGCCGCATCATCCTCCATCACGACAATGCGAGTTCTCACACCGCGCACAGAACAAAAGAGTTTTTAGAGCAAGAAAACATAGAATTATTAGACCATCCGCCGTACAGCCCCGACCTAAGCCCTAATGATTTCTATACTTTCCCTAAAATAAAGAATAAATTGCGTGGACAGAGATTTTCATCACCTGAAGAAGCTGTGGACGCCTACAAAACGGCCATTTTGGAGACCCCAACTTCCGAATGGAATGGTTGCTTCAATGATTGGTTCCATCGTATGGAAAAATGTGTCAAATTTCGCGGAGAATACTTCGAAAAGCAATAAATACATTTTTAAATAGTAATGTTGTGTCACTTCGTGAATTCCCGAAATTTTCAGTGCCGCCCTCTTAGTTTACACACATTTTACACTCTCTGCCAAATATCACTTTGCCCTCCTGCCTGCTTCGGTTGAGTTCTGTCTAATACATGATTAGATCGCGGGTTGTAGAGCGAAAGATATATTTTAAACGGTTCAGCTACCACCTCCAACTCAATGATTTTCTATTGAACCAACAAATTTATTGAAGTGCAAAGGCCTTCAAAAAAGAACTTGAACCAAAGTCCACTTTTTTTCTTCAATTAAAAAACAAGGCAGCAGTAATTAAAAACACAGCTCTTGCAGAATCAAAGTTATTTAACCACAGTAGTGTATTGCAGTAAGCAGAATGAAGAACCAATAAACTAATGTGTAAATTTTCTGTAGCAAAACGTCCCCTGGAATTCCAAGCTAGACATTTTTTTTATTTTATTTGCTTAGATGGATGGACGAGCTCACAGCCCACCTGGTGTTAAGTGGTTACTGGAGCCCATAGACATCTACAACGTAAATGCGCCACCCACCTTGAGATATAAGTTCTAACGTCTCAAGTTACAACGGCTGCCACACCCTTCCAACCAAAACGCATTACTGTTTCACGGCAGAAATAGGCAGGGTGCTGGTACCTACCCACGCGGACTCAGAAGAGGTCCTACCACCAGTAAGAAGACAGATTGTATACCAAGCTCTCTAGCTAGGCATTGAATTAACAGTCTATGGACATTGAATGCTAACACCCACCTTGAATCACCACGTTTAAGTCACAATTAAAATGTGTAAAAACTGTTACCAGCTTTTAAGCTGGAACAAACGACTAGTTGACAGCAGAAAAATGCAGAATCTTTAAATCTACCCACAAGGACCCACAATATTTTAACCCAGTTTTTTTTATTGTATCTGTATTCATTACAATATTTACTTATCCATCTAATTGAAGTTATGAAAACAACTCAAACAATTGCAACGATATACTTTTTAAAAGATTGCACCACAGAAATTAGTTTGGTAATTAACTGAAATAAAATGCTTTTTGTATAGCTTCTATTTGGTTATTAGTGTTTCCAAACCCATCTATTTTTAATAAAACTTGATAAATTTCTAAACAAAATATTAATTTTAACTCAAGATAATACACAAATACTTGGTATTTATGTCTTCAGGTTGATTTAAGATGAGCATGTAAATGTAGCANAGTTTTAGCAAGAAATTAGTTTGGTAATTAACTGAAATAAAATGCTTTTTGTATAGCTTCTATTTGGTTATTAGTGTTTCCAAACCCATCTATTTTTAATAAAACTTGATAAATTTCTAAACAAAATATTAATTTTAACTCAAGATAATACACAAATACTTGGTATTTATGTCTTCAGGTTGATTTAAGATGAGCATGTAAATGTAGCAACGGAATGTGAATTAGTCTTCCTTCATAATATAAGTATTGTTATATACTTACTGTAGCAGTCTTGTCGGGCCATCTATCCAAATTTTGCCAAACAAAATCATTGATCGTCATATTTGTTACAGGAATATCCTTGTAGACAGATGTCAGAATGTTTTTTTCTACTGTTTTTTGCCTTATACTTGATGTTGCAGTTGCATACTTATGTGTCTTCAACAATTGTTGTGCAGTACGTCTCAATGTATTCGACATTTTGATCTACAAATAATATTCATATATTTGCAGGCTTTTAGGTCAGGGGAGCTTAATGTTAATAGTCTGTCGGTTTGAGCCCTCAATCTTGTGTCTCAAGGTGAGCATTGTCATGCACATTGTGACGTTGACTGAGTTTGATAGTGTCATATCTTCAAGAGGGCAACGAACCCATATTATCTAATAAATAGTTTTAAATGCTACTGGTCAACTGTGTTGACACATGAAATCGGTATTAGAATGTGTAATTTTTTTTATTTCTTTATTAATAGTTATGATTGGACAATCTACTTCCTAAAGATGCCGAAATTTTTATTAATTACAAATTAAACAAAATCAAGTAAATTTACAGTTGCATTCTTAAACAATTTATTTGCGAGATTTACAGACAAGAGGCTCACAGACTTTAAAAATTAGTAACTAATATACGTGAATGTAAATTTTAAAAACATTTAACCAAGCCGCACTATGCAGGTTTAATTATTTAGGACACAAATAAATTAACATACAGTGTACAATGTTAACGAATTATTACTTATTGTAAGAAAATATTATTAGATAATTATGTAAATTAAATTGCCAAAGGTAAATAAAGTTACAAAGGTTTTAATATAAAATTCACTGTCATTATCGTATAGAAGTTCGTGCATAATTTATTGAAGATACATAATATTTATCGAAAAAATACGATTAAGCACGCTCTATTGTTAATGATTTAATCAACTTACCTTACGTCTCCGTTACACGACTGAGATAGATTAAAAACTTTACTAAATAATGGTTTAACACTGTTAGTTCTACCGCCGCTATTTAATAGCAGATTCTTATGACAAAATAATAATACTAATCTTATCGGTGCTTAATGTAGTAATAAGTGACACGCCTTTGTGTATATTTTTTTTAATTTTACGAAATAATGCGTTGAACTTTTGCGCCCTTGGACTTTGATATCAAACATCGAACTTTCACTTGTTTTGTTTTCAACTTGTAAGTGCCCTAAATGTATTATCTATGGTGCCTAGATTTATTAAGTGTATAATCTATGGTGCCTAGCATGGCTATGACATAATTAAACAGGTGCCAGTGCTGCCAGATGACCGTGTGAATTTCCCCCCAACTTTTTTCGAAAACCCCCCGAATATAGGCTTTTTGAAGAAAAAAAAACCCCAAAACAATTTTTACTTATTTTAAAGAAGAAATAAAAAACCAAAAGGATTCTTTTATTTTTTAATCAAGCTGCCCCTATAACTTCAACCATCTCTAAACAATTATTACAATCCTATTCACTTTTGTTATTATTATATAGAGCATACATACACGTTTTCGAAGTTAAATATATTTAACATGTCCGATGTGGGAACAAAATTTATGCATCTATTTGGCAGTGAAAATCGAATCCTGAGAACCGATTCGGCAGTTTCTATTGCCATTTGGTTGCATAATTTGTCCTATATAATATTAACTTGTGAATAGTATAGTAGACTATAAAATTATTCCAATAGTAATTGCGAATTGTGTTTGTGGATGAATTATTGTTACTCAAAAAACCTCAGAAAATTCTCCCAACTAACTTTTCCTCCCCGAATGTCCCCCAAAAGAATCTTTCCCCCCGTATTTCCCCCCCAAGGTCGAAAAACCTCCCGAATTTGCAGGGACTCCCCCCATCTGGCAACTGTGACAGATGCCAACAAATTTTGTTTGAGCAGAATTTGATTTTTCTTACAGGAAAGGCGAAAGCATTATACTGTACAGCCTAATCTTTTTTATATTTAAAAAATTAAATGGAGCGAAACAAGGTGAAGTAATTTATTGATCGGGGTAAAATTAAATTAAACACGTGAGATGGGACGAAAAAAGTGGATTTTTTAGAAGAACTCGTAACGGCACGTTCTATAACTTTGAGACATATCTAAAAGATAATTTTATAATTTTGTTTTGTTAATGGAAATTGGTAGCTGGTAGCACTGAAAGAAAATGATGTGAATCCAGAGATGCCGAATCTTCAACAGAATACATTGTAAATTGGAGGAATAGGGTCCAGGGGGGTAGGATAGGGACAAATCTGGGTTGTCACAATACCAATATTTGTTGTTATTATATTCTATTTCTCAAATAGTGAATTGGACGTTCTACGACCACTAGATATTCTGCGACCAGATGATTTTATTTAATATACCTATTAATTACATACCTACTTATGTTCGATTATAATATTTATAAAATTTTAAAAGACCTTTTTATCTGAAGTTCTACTTCTTTTGGCCTTAGTTTGATCCACACATATATCGGGTAGGTAGTTAGGCACTTACCTACCTAAAAACTAAACACTGCCAGTCGTATTGTAAAACTCTATTGTCCCTGATACATGACCATTCACCCCAAAACAAAGAAGAATCAGGTCAAGCTAGTTTTTTAATTTTTTATGTATAATTTCCATACAACTATATAAATTATGACATCGTACATCAAAATGTACACCTCCAGAACCATTCTAATCTCAATTTTATTGGTATTACCCCAAGGAAAACCGTTGCAAATTTGTGTTGAAATTAGAAAGTGTCCCGACTCCCCGCAATCTACCGTGTACCTACTTAATGATTGCATGTGTGTATTGCGTGATAATTCTGAATTGTCACGAACTTTACTTTAGAAGCATTGAAGAACTGCAATAACCACGATAATCCCTACAAAGCACAAATGTAAGAGCTTTAGATATAATTTTTCAAGGTTGCCGGTTTAGATTCGTTCCGAAGGAACTAACCTAATTGATCCACTTCCAATGTTGTTGTACACTGCTAATTCTAACGCTAGCAGTGTACAACAGCAGTATAAGCACAAATAACCAGTTACCAAATGAGTTTGTCTGTGGATCTTCCCAACAAAGATACCGATTTGATGGTGGATCTGAGAGTGATAAATACACTCAGGAAGCAACTGCCTTTGAGCTGTTAAGCCTCTAAAAACTCCAGTGAATTTGCTGTGTGAAGCACAACTTGTAATTTAATTTAATTGGTTTTAATAGTATGTATGTACTTTTTTGTACTGTATATTATAAATTTTTAATTTCATAGGGCGTCTTGTAATTCCGCACGAGTGGGCTCCATTATACCACCGCTCTGCCAGTTATGACGTGAATGCGTTCTATTTTTAGGAGTTGGGACAATGCCTACTACAATAGTGACTTACACTAGACAGCTTAGACTTAACCTAAAGACGCCTGCGCTAACGCGTTTGTATCGCCTCTCTTATTGTACTAACAGGGTTCCGTCTTCATGGAAGAACGCCCACGTCCACCCTATCCCCAAGAAGGGTGACCGGTCGGACCCATCGAGCTATAGGCCTATCGCGATAACTTCCTTGCTTTCCAAGGTGATGGAGCGAATTATAAATATACAACTCCTGAAGTATCTTGAAGATCGCCAGCTGATCAGTGACCGACAGTACGGTTTCCNCCACCGAAATACGAATTAAAACTCAATTTAATTACTACGACACTTAAGGCTCACTATTGAACTTCACCATCACGATACTCTTCGCTTCCGATTAACTGTTCCTTGCTTCGCTAAGGATTTAAGTGTCTTCGCGTTGCCAAGGTTACGCTTTTAGTCGTATCGATTATTTCTATAAGCTTCCAGAACTTTCCCGATACAATTAGTTGATTTGACATTCTTTTTGCTGTTTGACGACAAATGGCATTACTCGGAACGGTATAACAATATAATAATGTCCTATTAGAGTGTACTTAAATTAATTCTACACGAATTCGTTGATAATATTCAGCTCATGTCAGGTACCATCATCTTCTCTATTTGGGCACCGAAGCAGATTATTGGTCTGCTTTGCATGAAGATGTTTGTGATAAAATACAAGCCTTCCATATTGTTTCAAGATGGTTGGCGGAAAGTATGTTGTGATGGCCAGAGCTTTTGGTAGCACTTGTAACTAATGTAAATAGCCTTCAACGGCAGTAAGTAGTTGATCTTAATTGGAAAATTAGAATATTTTTTTTTTTATTACTTAGGTCGGTGAACGAGCTCACGGCCCACCTGATGTTAAGTGGAAGCCCATAGACATCTATAACGTAAATGTCAACACCCACTTTGAGATAAGTTCTAAGATCTCAATTTTTACAGTACAACTGAATTATTAGTTATTAAAATAAGGAGATAATACAACTACAGATGGAAGATACGAAAGTTGATGGATAGAGCGGATGTCATATACCCATTACTTCTAAGCTTAAAAACAATTTAAAAAAACACCAGAAGTTTTTTCGAAAATATGTTTTATTATTAAAGAAAAAAAGTTATAATGAAAAGAATACAATATACAAAACAAAAATTGAGACATCTGCCGAGATTATGTTCACCTAAATGTTAAAAAAGAAATATATTTTCAAAATTAAATAGATGGAAAAATTTGTTTTTTTTTGTAACCTAGAATTTTACAAATTATTAATTTGATATTACGTTACAAAACAGGTTCACAAGGCATGAGGTTTTTTTTAAACACCATTCTTAATTTATAGATAAGCATTTAATTAAGACGGAAAAATAATCTTGAATGAAACATGAATTTATAATTATGAAAATAAAGATTTTAAATTTTTCGCTTCGAAAGTTTCGAAGCGATTATTTAGTTCGGTGTCACTTTTATGTAAATAAGAGGACAAGGTTCCGGCCTACTTGATAGCTGATACCGGAACCCCTGGCCCCTTAAACAAGTCTTAGTTGCGAATATCCTACAGTTCAAACTGCGATCCATCGAGGAAGAATGAATCCGAATAATTTTTAATAGTAATATAGGAACTATACTACATGTGAAATTACTTTCGCAGCACTATGAGAACGCAAGCATTGTATATGACAGTGACGTTATTGACATCAGTGACAGTTCCGTGCGTTTTTGCGGCAAAATTTCAAAACTTTTAAACAATTTAATTCTTAGCTACTCACTTAATTCTTAGTGAATATCTGTGACCTTGCTCGTTCACGAAGCCCGCTATAGAAAGCAGAGTATTATATACACTTGACATTGGCGAAATCTAAAAGGAAACGCCATAAACCTAAGAGATAGAATAGAATTAAACAATTTATATTTATGTGTATTATCTAGGTATATGTCTAAAAATGTGTTTAATAATCAAATCTTTGACGAATTTATTTATTGTTCTCTTCAAAATACTGTTTGGCACAGCACAAATTGAGCATGTATTCGCTGACTAAAAGAGTTGTGCCAAAATTGCAGTATTCCTTTACAATCTACGTATCGAAATGTAAACGAATGCTTTTGAAAGCCCCTAAGCTAATGGCTTGAACTTTAAACAAATTTTAAATTAATAAGGTGTGTTAATTTATGTACCTATCTAAAAATTAAATAATCGAACTTTTTTTACAATTCTATATGGATTATTTTATCAATGGATCGGCAAAACATGAACATGAAAAGTAATTAAATGCTTTTTTTTTTAAACTTAGTTTTAATTTTCAAAATTATTGATTATGAGAAGAAAAAACAACCAATGTAGAATAACATTGACTAGTAAGCTAAAATATTTTTGGCAACGTTCTACAAAAAGCCAAACAATTAATAGATCAGTGTGATCTCTTATACGCTAAAGTGTTCCATGTAATATGAATTAAAGAATTCTAATTTTGAAGTTGCCAGCAACTCTACCTTGAAAATACGAACGAAAAGTATATAATGTATCCAAATGTAATATGTACAAACTAATCAGTGTCAATTTTTAGGTTTAAAATAAATTCTTTTAAAAACTAAACGATTGATTCAAACTTAGTTTTAAATTTTTTTAAAAGTAATTGTGTTTCACTAACTTACCCAATAACTGTTTTGGAAACCCTTGATTGAAAAAGAAAAAATCAAAACATGTAATTTTTCAAGGACGTAGATATACTATTTTTACGAAGACTGACGGACAATTTACATATTTATTACATTTTCTAAATAGAACAAAAAAAATAACTAGTAAGGTGGATGAATGAGATTTAACTTGTTTTTCTTACCTTACACTGGCAGTCGCAAGCAGTTAAACAGGCGACCGTCGCCATCTTTGATATTAGGTTTACCGTGAGCGCCCGTGGACATAATACAAATTATTAAGACATTTGTAAACTGAAAATATGATAGCAGATCCAACCGATAATTTATTGTAATGGCACGGCGTGTTTTTCAGAACGTCGATAACAAGCAAAACTAACATTAATAACATACTTATTTTAGCTTGGTATGTTTATTTGTATATAATCCAATCTTTGCACTTCATTGAAACAGGATTTACGACCTTTGGTTGACATGAAAGTTTGCATCAAGGACCGATGACTTATAAAATATAAAATAATTTTATAACTTCACTCTAACAGGATTAAAAAAACAGAAATTTTTTGTTCCATTTGCTATTTTAGCCGGCTTATTTAGTTTTTAACTTTTAAAAATATTGAAATTCTTATGAATATTAATTATAAGAATTTCATGGCCTGTACTTAGGCGTAGGACAAAAAGACAATTTCGTTGAACATTTTCATTTTAGGTTTTTTTTTCTTACTTTTGTAGGCATTACGATGATCAATACTATCGACTTAAAATTTTGATGACGAATTTGGATAGAACATAGTAGTTTAATCAAAATATGCAAGCGATCAGCTGACTTGCATCTAATGTATTATTCCGATTTATTTTCACGGCCTTGTTTGGTCCAACTTTGAATTTCGATTCAATGAACAATGGAAGTAATTTTTGTGGTATGTGTTGCTCCACTGAAACAAAAAATGCAAAATGTTAGATTTTTTATAAAATTTTCGCGTTTATTTTTATTATTTGTGTAGTGTTTAGTTATGTTTTAAATACGTCTGTCATTAATTTTATTAATAATGCCACTCGTCAATTATATTATCATATGAGAGGGTATTGTTTTTTTTTGCCTAGTTATGCTAGTAGCCTTGAAGGGTATAACCCTTTACCGGACGTGTAAGCGAGCTCCTAACTAGCCCTAGCAAGACGTGAATCGCAGAATCTACCATCGGATCGCAATCGCGACCCATTGAGAAGATCCGGCGACAAAACTCACCGGGCTGTGTCCGTGAGTTAATTTCCACGATGAACTGTTTCTTGGACTGTTCATTTACCAAAATTCAAAAGTTCCATACCATTTCATACCATGTAGTCGTCGTGGCCTAAAGGATAAGACGTCCGGTGCATTCGTGTTGAGCGATGCACCGGTGTTCGAATCCCGCAGGCGGGTACCAATTTTTCTAATGAAATACGTGCTCAACAAATGTTCATGATTGACTTCCATGGTGAAGGAATAACATCGTGTAATAAAAATCAAACCCGAAAAATTATAATTTGCGTAATTACTGGTGGTAGGACCTCTTGTGAGTCCGCGCGGGTAGGTACCACCCCGCCTATTTCTGCCGTGAAGCAATAATGCGTTTCGGTTTGAAGGGTGGGGCAGCCGTTGTAACTATACTGAGACCTTAGAACTGATATTTCAAGGTGAGTGGCGGCATTTACGTTGTAGATGTCCACGGCCTCCGGAACCACTCAACACCAGGTGGGCCGTGAGCTCGTCCATGCATCTGAGCAATAAAAATAAAATTTCGAGGAGGGGAAAAAACTCACATCCATTTACTGGAGATTTCCGATTTCCACCTCAAACAACCTTTTACCGCCTTTCAGGAACTTCTCGGAATCTTTGCCGTGCTTGTTTATGTATTCCTCGAGTCGGATCAGCCACTGCGCCCAGTGCTCCCTCAGCTTGTCGGTGGACAGGTGGAAGACGTCCGCCTTCGAGCCGTCCGTGTACGCTATGACGAGCAGCGCGTCGCGGACCTTCATGTGCTTGTAGTTGAGGTCGTTGCAGACCGCACCGAAGTAGGCGGCCAGCTGCACCGGGTTGTCGTAGGTCAGGGCTATCGACTTCCTCGGCTTATCAGACTTCTTCCACTCGATTAAAGTCGGTTTGTCTCTGGAAATTCGAAATTTTAATTTAGTTAATGCACGATTACAGATTCATATTTTGTCTTTGACGTTTCCATGAACGAGTGCCGGTCACTGTCCTCGTCGAAGGGCTCGACAAGTGAATTAACCCATAAACACAGCCCACTGAGTTTCTCGTCGGATCTTCTCAGTGGGTCGCGTTTCCGATCCGGTGGTAGATTTTGCGAAGCACTGTTCTCGCTAGGGTCAGTGTTAGCAACACTCCCGGTTAGAGCCCCGTGAGCTCACCTACACGTCAAGGAGAACCTGAAAAGGCCTCTCAAGGCTATCAGCATAGGGAAAAAAATGAATGAGTGGAGTTCGGATATAGACATCGGTAATGTCAGGGGAAGACCGCATCGATCCTTTCTATTAAATACTCCTTAAGTGCTTTAGTTTGTTTTTATTCCGCTAGGTACGTACGTACGCAGGTCTTGTAATCGGAGCCCATAGGCATCACAAAGTGAATTTCTCCCTAAGCCTTGAGACGCGAGAACATAAAAACTCAAAAATAAAACAAATTTATAAAAAAAATTATACAAACTCCATTTAGTTTTATATTTATATACAAGTAATCAAATTTTCACGGAATAGCGTTAACGCGCTGAGTATTTCACTGTAGCCATTTTAACGAAAACTACAACTTCCTAAACAAAACATTACTTTTGTTACATTCCACCAAGCTTTTTGTTTTGTTTCTCGTTGATCATTCAATATTAAAATATTATTATTAACCATGAAAAATAAATTGGGGTGGATCGTGATAATAACGTACAGAAATTGCAATAAACCAATCCCAGATAACTTTATCCTATTTATCTATATCAATTTGACGTTCAGCAGTTACCGGAATGCTTTGATAGAAAAACATTGCCCACCTTTAGAAGCGAGACTCGTTTAGCTACTCTATCACGACCCTTCGAGTTCACTAGAATAGGTAGAAAAAAAAGAAGCGACAAAGACATTAAGGCGTTCGGGTTCAATGACCAACAACGGTCAATGACAACTGTTTATTTTCTTTCTATAATGCTTCATACATTTTAATTGAGTCAATTTCAAAGCATTATTCATACAAAGCAAATTAATTATGTAGGCTTCATGATTTTTTTTTCAACTATAAATATGTAGGTATATACAAACAAGCCAGTACACTTGCGATAACCTTGAGACTTTCCTTGACATTACAATTCAGTTATTCCGAATCTGTAATGCCAGCGACTGATTATTTTGAGCGATAGCCAAACAGAGATATAATATAATAAATAGAACAAAAAAATATTTTATTTCGCATTTTCCTCCAGGTACAAATTAAACCGTAGTGTTTTGGACATTACTATGTTTTTTTTTCTCCTACCTACGCCGAAAGTTCGGTTTTCCTCCCGGTGTACAGGAAAGAAAGTCTAACTTTTCCTCCCGCTGTACAGGGAAGAAAGTCTAAATTTTTCTTCCTGGGTATTGACATGTGCGCATTCGCGGTAGTGTCTACGTCTGCTCTCACGCACCTAAAATTCTCCGCCATTGTTGTGGTCGGGTAATTTGTAATATTGTGTTTAGTCTAAAAGTTAAATAAACAAAAGGCAATAAGATTTAATAGTGAAGTATTAAACAAAGATGAGTTCATCAGACAGTTCTTATTCAATTAGTAGTAGTTTATGGCCTGGTAGGAGAAAAAACATGTACGATTTTATCATTCCCTACGTATTCGCTGGTAGCTTAAGGGACTATTCCACGGGTAGTTGAGCTCACGGGCTCAACTTGCGAGAATTTGTCAACACTAGCCCTGGCAAGAGCAGTCCTTCGCACCGGATCAGACTCGAGACACATTGAGAAGATCCAGCGAGAAACTCCGGGACCCGTGTCCATGGGTAAGTTACTTATGTTTTTGTTATTACGTACTAAAATTATATAAATTTCTATATATTCGACTCTATTCTATAAATTTCCAGTGACACCGGGTAGAAGCGGCCCGAGTCCAGACAGTACTGGAATCATTTCATCTATTCCCTCATCATTGTCCGTTTTATTGTCGTGTGCAAATTGGTAAATTGGCGGTACGATTCAATTTTATATATCAGCTCAGGGTCGCTCAATTCAATCCAGTCAATTATTTATCTGTTTGAGACGTACTTTCAAATTGATGAACGACGCTTTCCGTAATCATTATAAAGATTGACGGAATTGCCGCATTTCTTTCGAGTTTTTTTTAAGGGATTTTATAACCTGGTAACTAAGACCTTTACGTCATGTCTTATTTTAATTTATATTCTTATTTTTATGAAAGAAAAATGTGAGACATTAATCAACTGGGATGAAATTATATGAAATGAGATGGGATGAAATATAATCTCAGTAAAATGGTGGTCATTTACTGATATTTTTTCAGTGGACTTTTTGGAGGATCCCGAGAAGTTACATCCAGCGGCTTTGTTTATTTTCCCACATTTGTGCACTTTGACAGATATTAAACAGTTAATAAACCACCGTTATTACACATTTAAACCTGAAGAAACACTAAATAGACAAAATAAAATAAATCACACAACTTCACTCCTCACGTTCCCGCCAAAAAGTCCTTTCTTTCGAGTCTATTATTAAAATAAGACCAACGTCAACGCAATAAATTAAAGATGAGTGCTTGTTTCCACTAACATCATCCAGCTTTCATAAATCAATAAAATTGATGGTCCCTTTCTCGAGTACTGAGAAATCCATGTCGATTAGACTTTATTAGATGAACAAAACGGACATATTACTACTATTACGTTTTCGACAATTTTAGGCCTATTACACTACCACAAACTATGAATGTACAAGAAACGATAAGAAATACGAGAACTAATAAAACATTATGTATTCAACAGTTCAATGACATATGGATATCAGTGATAGTGTGAACCGGAGTGAAGTTAAGAAGTGGCAGGCGCTTCTCAACCTAAAGTATTCCACCTAGCTTTTACGTAATTTACTGACAGAAATTAAAAATTTTGTGGCCGTGAAAATCGTTTCAGGATACAGTAATCAGCACGAGTGGTGAGCTCTGACCGTGACAGGCGCAGAATTACATTATTGGGTCTGTTTGGGGGCACGAGGCAAGAATGGGGATGGCGTCAGCCATATCTATTACGTAATTGGATCGTCCCGCGTCACAAACCGTCAGTTGTGATCCGTTTCTTATGTTTACACGCGAATCACTGCAGCAAACTACACTTTCGTGCGATTTTATTCGCCACACATTTTGCATTAACCTCATTTAATTCTTCCAGACACCAACTTCTTATGAATAGTTTACTATGAATAAATTTACATTTAGCAGCACAAGTAAGTATATACATATATTATTTAAAACTTTTTAGTAAACGTTGAGGGAAGAATTGACTTATCGGAAGTCGGATATAAATAAGGTTATTTCTGACTATAATACGAGCGAAACCCCGGACTAAACCGTTATAAAATTACTAATCCATTTTTAAATCCCAAATTGAACGAACTTAATATAATTATAAAAAAGGTAATAAAGAAGTGATCCATTTAATTTTACCCTAAGTGTACGATGCGCAGACGACCCCCTCTCTTTTATCGATAGTTCACGACTCGTGCCTCCTGCTATAGTTATAATTTTTTTTAGTTTTCCGTTGCTTTATTAAGGCGAGTTGCATTTGTTTTTTTGTTTCGAAACTATATATTAATATGATTCATTTTTATTATCATGTTACGATCACCAATATCACAAGGTCATAGGAATACGTTATCGCACTTTGAATGCTCTATTAGTAATTAACTAAACCCTTTATGTGTATTTATAGTTAAAATCTAGATATTAGAAAATCTGCAGCTATATTCAACGTCAACGCAATGTTTTGTTTATCGTATAGATTGTGGCGTATGTTTATCACGTATACGCATAGATAATGGTTGAACAAGAATGTTGCTTTGGGGGCGGGGCCCCACGTATAATTTTTATTTTATTTTATATTATTATTATTTTTTTATTGCTTATATGGGTGGACGAGTTTACAGCCCACCTGGTGTTAAGTGGTTACTGGAGCCCATAGACATCTACAACGTAAATGCGCCACCAACCTTGAGATATAAGTTCTAAGGTCTCAAGTATAGTTACAACGGCTGCCCCACCCTTCAAACCGAAACGCATTACTGCTTCACGCAGAAATAGGCAGGGTGGTGGTACCTACCCACGCGGATTCACAAGATGTCCTACCACCAGTAGTAAATATATTATTATGAACTGTGTTACGTTTTTGCGAATTAAATTGATTGGTGGGCTGTTCTACAATTGATATAATTTTCCTCCATATGGAATTGTTATTTATCTGTTCAACCTTTAAATAATAATGAATAGTTATTATTTTGGTTATGCATATTTGCAATGCTTTCCAATTGTTTTATGCTTCAGATAAAATACCTAAATATTATGTGTTATTCTTAGACCCTAATTGATTTTCCTGAGCACACGCTTTATAAAGATGTGAATTTTTAAAATAATTTAATTTGAAATTTAATATTAAACTAATTCTAAAACAACCACTGAGTTAACCTAGTGTAGATGATACCCAAAAAAGCCGGTAAAATGAAAATACTGATATTTCGTTTTCCTCATTTTATGCACTAAGGGGGATAATCAGTGTATTACAAAAATAAATAATAAAAACCAGGTACAAATCACAAACAATCATCTGCCACAATAGTAGAATCATAAACATACTTATATATTTATATAAATACATATTTAGGTATTACAACACAGACAAAAAGCAAATAAGCTTGTATAAAGTTGGAATAGAATACACAACCCTCAGCCCAGCAATCGAGGCACTAACTTCTGTGCTACTGAGTCAGTGAACAATTAAAAAGAAATTACAATGTGATTATGATTATTAATTTAAAGCAAAGACTTAGATGTACATGTTTTCAATTTATTTGGTGAACAATGTTAGAACTACTGGTTGCAATAAAAAAAAAAAGAACTTACTCGTAATCAGCAATGGCATCAAAAATTCCCCTATACTTCAGTACGGGGTGTACAACATTCGATTCTATGGCTTTTGGAGAAGATATACTTTTCAACACATCTGCTACAGACACCCATACACCCTCCACTTCCTTCTCTATACGAAGCTGGCTACGAGGTTGAGTGAAGTAATCCTTTAAAGTGTTGTGAAACTTTGTACCGACTGCCATTTGAGCTGAAACAGTTAAAATATTATAATTATCTTGTGAAACAGAAGACGAATTTCAATTACAAACAAATAATGCAATGCAAGTGGAAATCTTTGTGCTATATTATTTGCCACATGGTTTGGATAGTCACATTACACAATAAACGAAGACTTAAAAAAATATATTATTATACAATAAATTTTGAAACTTAAAGTTGGTCAGAGATTAAAACTATATGCGTGAAACACTTAAATATAATACTAGATTACATTATTTTTATATTAAAGAGCTTCGAACTTCTAAATATAATTGATTGTAATGTTGTGAACAGAACTATGAGCTATCAACTGTTTAATTGTTGTTTATGTCACCTAAAGACTGAGAGAACACATTAAGATGGCAAGCATGCCAGAATATGAATAGATTGCACAAGTACCTTTAAATTGCTTGGTTTAATAAGAGCTCAAATTCAATGAGGGTTATTCAAAAATGATTTTCTGTTCATTCAATAAAATTTTATTTTCATTAATTCATCCATTTTGTAATAATAAAATAATACTTTAACAGTTTGCACGTTTTTTGGGTGTGATATTTAAATATGGTGGTAGAACCTCTTGTGAGTCTGCAAGGGTAGGTACCACCACTGTGCCTATTTCTGCCGTAAAGCAGTAATGCGTTTCAGTTTAGGGGTAGGGCAGCCATTTTGTTTTATATAACATTATTTATGATATTTTTGTTGCCCTTTTATTTATAGTTTTCCAATAAATTATGTACATAACATTACAACTAGAACATCTCACAGATACATGTCTAAGTCTATTAGCAAGTTTTATTTTTAACATGTCAACAATCAATGTAAATCATCCACACAGCAACTGGTAGCTGCACCAATTATTTGTTTGGCTTCATTATGCAGATATTTATAAAAGAAAATCAAATCAGTGCCAAGCTACAAATGATGATAATATTTGAACTTTGATTGTTATTGTTTTTGTGTTTATATATATATTGTACCACTATGTTTAAATTTTATTATGCAATTTTGTCAATTTCCATAATAGATTAACAGGTCATCTAATAAAAAATGATTTATTCACTCATGGGAATTTGGAATCTCATCATAATCAATTTGGACAGATGAACCATATGGTTAAAGATATTTGGAAGTAGCAGTTCACTGATCGCAGAATTTTTTATGTATTCAAATGGAGGCATACAATCATGTTTTTATTAATGATTTGAAATTTATATAAAAACAAAGTTAGGAACAATATGAAGTATACTTGTGGTATAAAATTATGTCTTTAACATTGTTGAGTTTTTTTGTTCTGCACAGGTTAGTATCATGATCCTGCCTACTCCTGCTGTTGTCTATTAAAGCTTCACCTTATTGTGTACTTTAATGTTATGGAATTTGTGTGAAATGTAAAATATAAAATAAAACTCATGTAAAAAGGTCCTAATAATGTTGATCATTTTTTAACCAAATCATTATTGTTGTTTGTACACTTTTTTTAATAAAAACTTGTTTTGTGAAAGCTGCGACAAAATTAGTTGTAAAATTCACTTAACAAAACAGTTTCACTTACCTTGGTAAAATCTATTAAATTCTTCAACTCCCATTTCGGCAATCCTCTCTTGTTTCCACTTCTCCAAAGCCAACCTAGACTCTTCAGTCATTGTTTTGTTTAATATTAGTGTCACCGATGGGTATTGTTCAGCATAATCATTTCTGTGGTGTTTTATCTGCAAGATTTTATCTTCACTGGGATATCCAGGTTGCGCTGGTGAACTTTTGGCTGTACCACATACTACAGATGTTTTTAAGCCACGTATAGCTGTGTTATTTAAAAGAACTCCAAAAATATTCAAACAGTGCCTTGTATTTTGCCACATTTTGTTATTTATTACTTGAATCACTGTACTGTGTGCAAACGGTCGAATCACAGCATTATTAATGACAAATTTCACCGTATTTTCTTTAGTCGTTCTGTTGTTTTGTTGCGTAGTATTTTTAGCTGTAACACAAGCGATAATGAATGCGTGTGGGCAATGCGGCGCCGAACCGTAACTGTCATAGGATTTAATTGGCAAGATATCGAATTCATCGAAAGTTGTCAATGTAAGCAACCATTAGGACGGCCAGCAACAATTACTTGGCCATTGAGTGTATGGAAAGTAGTTGTCACAAGGTTAAAATTTAAAAAACGCAACGAATACCTTCTTTTTGAATTCGCTGTTTCTTTTGCTTGCTCGTTTCTAATAACGGACCGAATAATTCCTTATTTTCTTTATTGTACAATTTAATTTTTTCTGCCGGTTTCAGTACAGAAGTGGGCTGTACCACTTTGTTTCTGACAAATTCTTTACTTTTACATTCGAATGATATAATCTGCCCGATTTTGTTAATTGGTCGAAACATTACGACATAATGTATATTTTATTGCTTTAATATATTACTAAACAGATAAGTACATACGGACAGCAATGTGTAATTTGATTGGTGACTTCTTAAGCTTTTTACTTCTCTCAGTTTTATCATTAGTTCTTCGTCGGTTTTTTTTTCGCTGTCAATTGTCACTTTTATTAAATGTCAATAATGTCTGTTGACAGTTAACAGCCAACTTTGACAATAGAAGGAGTTTTGAAAATACGAGTCTGTGCTCTATAAAAAGTTTGGTTAATGAAATAAAACTATCTCAGATTTGTTCGTAGTTTATTTAAAATAATGGCTAATAGCATTGGTTTGGTGGATTTACATGATTAAAATGTGGAGTAAATATAAAGAAGAATGGAGTAGTTGTAAATTGTATACTTGAGTATTCTGAACTTGTATATTATTATTTTTAGTTTAAGGTTAGGAGATGAATTGAGGTGGTACGCTGGTTCATGCTGTTTTTGGTTTAGGATCGGCGTATTAAAACTATTAAATATAAATTGCTTGAATTTTATTACATTTAGTGTGCGTTTTTGCAGCGTTTGTAGCGATTTTGTATTATTAAATTATGTCCTTCTTCAAACGAGATTAGAAAGAAAAGCTGTTTCAAGGGGTAAGGTCCCTAAGGACATTGTTTTAAGTCCACAAACGACGGTTTTATTTATTTATTTTTTATATGATTGAAGTATTACTGATAGCCTTGAGGCCTTTCCAGTTTCACCAGGACAGGTGGGCGAGCAAAGGCTGAGCCAGGAGGGATGGGATTTGCTAACAGCTGCCCGAGCGCCTCCAAAGGAGACCTAATAACTCCAGAGCAGCTGCTTTGCGAATGAATCTATTACCGGATCGGAATCGCGGAGTACGGTTACCGGGGTCCTTAAGCCTACTCCTAGTATTAAGGGTTAAAAGAATGAAATTGCCGATTTGTACTGAAATTTTTTTAATTTCAATTTTTTAAAAAATCTTCGTTTTGAAGTCGTCGTGGCCTAACGGATAAGACGTCCGGCGCATTCGTGTTAAGCGATGCACTGGTGTTCGAATCTCAGGCGGGTACCAATTTTTCTAATGAAATACGTACTCCACAAATGTTCACGATTGACTTCCACGGTGAAGGAATAACATAGTGTAATAAAAATGAAACCCGTAAAATTATAATTTGCGTAATTACTGGTGGTAGGACCTCTTGTGAGTCCGCGCGGGTGAGTACCACCACCCTGCCTATTTCTACCGTGAAGCAGTAATGCGTTTCGGTTTGAAGGGTGGGGCAGCCGTTGTAACTATACTTGAGACCTTAGAACTTATATCTCAAGGTGGGCGGCGCATTTACGTTGTGGATGTCTATGGGCTCCAGTAACCATTTAACACCAGGTGGGCTGTGAGATCGTCCACCCAACTAAGCAAAAAAAAAAAAAATTAACATACTTATTTAATCAAAATATCTACCATTATTATCTATAGATTGCTGCCATCTAATAGGATGGTCATTTATGTCTTTGCGATAGAACTCTGGCGATTTACATTCTATAAACTGTGTAAAAGCATTTTGTACTGCCTCCTGGGAAGAAAACTTTTTTACTTTATCATGTCGAAAATTGCCCAAATCACAAAAAAAAAATGTAGTCCGTTGGAGCCAAGTCTGGAGAATACGGAGGGTGACGAATGGTTTCTAATTGCAGCTCCTGTAGAGTTAAAACGGTTTCTCGTGCTGTATGAGGTCTCGCGTTATCATGGAACAATAATGGTGAAGATCGATTCATGAGTCGGGGCTGTTTCACTGCAAGTTTTGCTATTATTCTTCGGAGTTCGGCACGTTAAACATCTACCGTTATTGCTTGACCAGATCGGAGAAAGCTATAATGAATAGCACCATGTTGAGACCACCAAACAGTTTACCTTTTTATTAGTAAGCTTTGTTTTAGGACACTGCTGCGGCGTTTGACCTGGGGTCAGCCATTGCAACGGCAACGATAAGGCGGTTATCATGACGCATCGCCTTAACAAACGACGGTAATCTGTTAACCAGCACTAAGTAGTAAGTAGTACTTTTTAAAATAAACACAGAGTAAAGTATTACATATAAAAAGCGACTTAATATTATGATAAAACGATGGAAGTAATTTTTGTGTAGTTACAGTTTATTAAGATATCCATTCCTCATCAGCTAATAAAACCATGCATGTCATTGCGATGAAACTTGGTACAGTTGTTATTGATAATCCAGAGTAAGTTAATGTTTTTTTTTATTACTCCTGTAGGCAGACGAGCATAGGGCCTACCTTATGGTGAGTGGTTATCATCGCTCTTGGACGTCAGCAATGTCTACAGTAAAATGTTATGATACCATCAAAATATATGCAGACAGTGTGCTAATTGCGAATTTTTTAACGTTCTCGATAGCGTAAAAGTTAACTCAAATTTGTATGCAGTTGGAACAGCGCCCATAGCGGCAAACGTTCCAACTCCATACAAATTTGTGTTAACTATTACGCTATAGAAAACGTTAAAAAACTCGCACTAAACATCAGAGCCTAATTGGATTTCACTAAATTGATCTATTCCAATAATAGTTTAAAATTATTACCTGTAGTTTCTTATTAACAAATGTAGCATCACGATACAGCTTATATTAAGACTAATTGTATCGTTCCTGATGAATTATGAAAAAGTAATACGACCCTGGTTCTTGATCACCATCTCGCCTGACAAGCCTCCATTGGTAGCTAATAAAGACATTCGGATACTCCCGTTAGGTATCCATTCCATTAAGAATATCGTTATGAAGGAAGGCATTAATTCGCGATGACCCACTTAATTGGGGCGGGCTATTTAATAATTTGGGAATGACCTTCGTAGTATTTTGTTTTGCGTGCGAAAGATCGCACGGATCAAAATAGAACTACCTAGATAGTCCAGAATGATAATTATTGGAATATATTGTGATCATCACGTTTTAACATCCACGCCTAATTCATATTGTTGAGCAAAAGTTTTTTTTGTAAGTTGCTTTATCTAGTATTTATTACAACTACTTTATAGTACACTCCTGGCTGAGTTTTTTTTTATTGCTTAGATGGGTGGACGAGCTCACAGCCCACCTGGTGTTAAGTGGTTACTGGAGCCCATAGACATCTACAACGTGAATGCGCCACCCACCTTGAGATATAAGGTCTAAGGTCTCAAGTATAGTTACAACGGCTGCCCCACCCTTCAAACCGAAACGCATTACTGCTTCACGGCAGAAATAGGCAGGGTGGTGGTACCTACCCGCACGGACTCTCAAGAGGTCCTACCACCAGTAATAACTATAAAAGTAATTAAACTGTTATAGTAGTTCTTTTTAATTAGGTCTATAACTTAGACTTAGACAAAAAATAATGTTAAAGAAGTTATCACGTCATTAATGTAATTGTATGTAAACTGATCATAATAATATGAATTTTATGCACAAACATTGTCAATAAAATTAATTAAGAAAATATAATAGTACCTAAGTATTTTAGATAATATTAAAAAGACGGAAATTAAGTATTCCGTTGCCACAAAAAATTACTAAAATAAATCTCCAAGCTGCGAGCGCCGGACATTTTAATTAAAATTCCACTCTCGCGGTGTGTGCCCTGGACGATTTAATTTTTAAAATACCATTTACCGTCTTATCGCGGCCCGGACAAACTTTCATTACGTTTCAGCGAAGTAATTACTTACTTGTTTCTGTTAATTAAATAAGAGCTCCAGTTTTGAATAAACTCCACACTTTCTTGCTTTAAAAACTGTTTCAATTTACCTACCTAAATTCATATTCTGTGTGTTTTGGTTATGTGCAAATGATACATTTTTAAAACGCGTTTTCTCTAAAACTTTTTAAACGTGAAACCAGACTCCTATAGAACTTGGCAGGTTTTATCCGCACTTCACTGGTGGTAGGACCTCTTGTGAGTCCGCACGGGTAGGTACCACCACCCCGCCTATTTCTGCCGTGAAGCAGTAATGCGTTTCGGTTTGAAGGGTGAGGCAGCCGTTGTAACTTTACTGAGACCTTAGAACTTATGTCTCAAGGTGGGTGGCACATTTACGTCGTAGATGTCTATGGGCTCCAGTAACCACTTAACACCAGGTGGGCTGTGAGCTCGTCCACCCATTTAAGTAAAAATAATAATAATTAATATATTAAGATAAAGACACTACGTCTTTATCTTAGAAGACGTTCTTGAACACATATGAGGTACTTAATCATATAGAGAATGTGGTGTTTAGTTGCGGTTAGATCGGAATGCGACATTGTCGTGTTCCAAGTACCTCCAACGCTGTAGTTATCTGTCGCCGCATTGCATATTCAAACTTTAGTCACATTGAGTTCGTGTCACGTTCGTCCTCTCCAGCGAATTCCCTGGAATTTCATGGCGAGTCAATTAAAACTTTCGTTCGGTTAAAACTAAAGTCAATTTCGCTTGGATGTCGGATTCGCTTCTTAGTTTCGTGTTCACAGCGAATTCGGAATTCCTTGTTTTACTTCAACTTCTTTACGGATCCGTGTATATTCATATATTAACCCCTGTTTTAGATTTGTTGAAGAAGATTCGTAACATAAATAATAGGAATAATCAAATATTTTTTAATTTCAGGATTGAGACCGGTGCAGTTTGATAATGCCTAGGAAATTATAAGGAGCAATGTTGAAATTTTTATTTATGCTTACCTACACCATTCACACTTATTAAAAATCGCCGTGCCAAGCTAGCTTGTTCATAACATAAAAATTAAGAAAAAACCTGTATAAAGAAAATACAAGCTCAATATCGATTTGGAAGTTTTATTCAAGAAACCCAAGCATCCAACAATGCATTCATACTCAAAGCGAAGATGGGCGTAGCGATATTTGACGCATTCTTTGTCACATATTTTAAATTTCCCCAATCAGGGATTGTGGAGTATTGGATGACAGAAAAGTCGATTTGAAGTTTCCGAAGGAAATCCCAGTTGTACTTTGGTCGAAGGCGCGTGGCCGCGACCCGAGGTACCCAGTCTCAAGGTGACCAGGATAGGGACATGCTGGATGATCAGGTCGTACAGCATCTCGTGTGTAATTTGGAATTTCAAAATCC